GCGTGAAACGCGCAGTACCATAGATCCGGTTTGTGTGACGTACTAGTAGTAGTAGTAGTAGCATGAATAGCTACTAGTAGTAGTACTACTACCAAGGACAAGGAAGATATGAGTAAACAGTTTGACCTTACAAATAACCACAATTGACCTGTCAGTGGTATGCTGGAAAATCTGCTGGACAACCAAATAATGTGCAACCCATCCATTGAACAAGAAGTCAACCACAATGGCTCAATTGAGTCTGTAATGAATGCCTTTGGTGGTGAGTTGGACCTCAACACTGCTGGTGTCAATGTCAGCATAATAACAACACGACCCTGCAGAAAAAGTTTACTACCTGACCCTACAAAGGTCAAGATAAAGCTAATGAAGATTATGCAAGACAACAACATACCACCATGAATTGCCAAAATGGAGCTGTACAAATGGGCCATAGGCAGAGCAAATGTAGTATTCTTGTTTAACTTGGAGCAACAATATATATACTGGTTTGATCAAAACACAGCAAAAAGTTCTAGAAGAGTGTTAGTACAACATGGCCCCAGAACTACATGTTAGTCATTTCAAACCATATCTTATCAAAAACCGACATTCCAGCAACAATGTCACTCACAAACAAATCTATGAAGTATGCAAATCATCCCACAGTACTATTTGGTGGTGGCATCATTATCAATGGACAACAGAAGAGTTTGGAATGTCAGAATGAAATTGCTGCGGCATTTTTCATTGCTGGTGACACAGAGCAGCAAAACAAGCTCTGTGAGCATCATTGCTAAACTTAGGTTAACACAAAAATGATATGCAGGCTTTGTAACTGTCCCTGCCCCCTTAGAATTAACACAAGGTTACCATATTGAAGGCCTCTGCTTCAAAGGTGTGTATTGAGTGTGTCAGTGCCAAATATGTTTTAAAAAGAAAAAAAGGATGTGTCTTGTATTGAGATTTTAGTTTTTGAAAGGGTGGCTGGCAGAGGTTTGAAATGTCAACAATGGTGAGTATGGTGGAACAATGAAATTCAATTTTGTTGTTAGTCAGTGAATGCTAACGTGTTGCTTAAGTGTAGTCATTGTTGTGTATGTGCAATGACAGCTTGTTATTCAAAAGGCTTGTGGGCAATTGCATGTGGTAGAGGAGTCCTGTGAGGAGAGAGCACCACACCTAAAACATCACCATGGTGATGGTGATTTTTATTGGAAGGGTTCATAACCTGTGGGAGTGACTATCTAATAGTGATGTAAATCAAGTGCTAGAAGAAAAGTGAGTTGATGCTCTTATCAAGGATCTACAAACTATGAATTCTAAGATTGATCAAAATGAGGATTGAGTGATGTGTGTGAATGGAATGAGTCAAGTCAATCATGTGGGATTGAATAAGTCCTGAATGTAGAGTGTGTATGAATCATATATATGGTATTGCAGATATGAATCATACTCATAATCTGATATCCTATCTACAAGAAGTAAAAGGAACTGCAGGAAATCCAACACTTGCCCAAAGAGGACAACAACACTGACACTTCTGACAAGATCACTGATGATGTCCCCCTTTTGCTATGGAAGAGTCAATTAGAAATTCAGATTTGGCTGTTTAGTAGTAGTCTCAAAGACTTTTTTCTTCTGCTCTTCTGCTAGAAGCAATATATTTGCTGGTGAGAAAGCTCTTTCTTGACAGGATAGTATTCTTGCTGTGCATGGACGACATTGTCAACAAAGCTTCATTTTATCTCTATTATACCAACCTTTCCCCCCTGCAGGCAAAGAAATACTAACCTCCATTAGACAGCCACGCATCCCAAAGATAAATATTCTACATGCCCAAGAGTGTTCTGTAGATTTTTGCGAAAGGGGAGTTGTTTGGTTTTAAGACTTCTGTTGTTTGAATTCTTTTTAAAATTGGGAGATACAGCTCTCTATGTATTTTGTAGGTATAAAATTCATAATCTATTAACATTGAAATAAATATTTTAGTGTTTGAAACGTGATGCTACCTGAGCTTAGCAGTTATCATGACATCCGCAATAGCTTCTGAGATGAATATATCGTAACGTTTTATTCGTTTGTTTCCAATTCTGAATTGATTGTTGAATGCGACTTTCTTTTGCTTCCTTCTTCGAACAAAGCATTTCGGATCTATTTCCGCTACTTCTGATGGTTCTACCGTACAATGTTCTGTTAAAGCGTTTGGCACCTGGCCCGTCTTCGGACTAGATATAATAGTGCATGTATGCTCTCGGGGTACGAGTTTTCATGCCTTTTTTCATGCTTACCCTTTTGTGCTACGTTCTTTCTTTCGTATCGAATCTTGCACGCGAAAATGGTTGTGAACTACCAACCGCTCAAATAAATCTCCAGTGATGAAGTGCCACAAATTGGAAGTCTCCTCCTGTGAACAACAATAGAAAAGATTCCCACAAATTCTCATAGCAACTGGGGCTGATTCTCGCCTCGACCATTTTCGTAGCCTCTCCTCTGTTGATGGTAGTGTGAGTAACGATGTTGCTTCTCGGAAGGCTTCAGTATTTGGAACGAACACATAAGGTTCTCGTCGATTGAAATCATCGCACCAGCATTGTCGAACTCCCCGCAGTAGTTGGGTGCAGAAAACAATGTGACGAGTCTCCGGCCCGCAAAAAACTCGTATCCATCTTCGACCACTTGATGGGCACGAACGATTAGGTCCAAATCCTGTCGCTCTAAAAAGTTCTCTACTACATCGGAACCAAAAATATAGGATACCCCTCGATCATTTTCGGCCCATCCCTGGCAGGGAAGATGTAGAAATTGATTTGTAGTTTTATATGAGCTGTAATGTCAAATCAGCCAAACAAAATATGACGCGCATTTTCAATACACACCAGAATTCTACCACTGTTCCACAAAACTACGGGTGAATTATCACGAACAAAAAGCTATCATCTTTCGAAATACACAACTCTGCACTTACTTGTATGTTAGGGGACGGATCGCTCCACAGCAAGTCGCACAAGATCCCCATGTCGGGAACGTCGCACGGTCGCTGAAGATCGGCGATTTGCTGGAGGTCCTGCAAGTCCGGACTAAGTCCACCGTGCATGCACAATATTTTTTCGTCCACTAGGGCTGCCACCGGCAAGCAGTTGAACACGTCGCTGAAAATTTTCCACAACTTGATGCTGTAACGTCGCTTGCATTCGTCGTAAAAACCATAGATCCGATTGATTCCCGCAGACTCGTGGTTTCCTCGTAACAAAAAGAAATTTTCGGGGTATTGTATTTTATAAGCAAGCATGAGGGATATGGTTTCGATCGACTGCTTTCCCCTGTCGACATAATCTCCGCAGAACAGGTAGTTGGAAACAGGAGGAAAGCCTCCGTACTCAAAGAGCCGCAGCAAATCGCTATATTGTCCATGGACATCTCCGCAGATTTTGATGGGGGCTTCCAATTCCAGGAGCATAGACTGGCTCAGAAAGATTGGACGAGCCCGCAAACAAAGGAGCTTTATTTCTCTTTCCGTCAATCGTCCCATTGTTCCTGGTGGCGAACCCCGCAAGCCTAGCAACCGTTGCGTTATACTGATTATGGGCTCCATTCCATGGTTGATTAAAGGAGGAGTCGCATCGACAGCATGCAGTCGGGATTCCTGCCGAGAAACCGTCGATCCGTTTGCTGCCGGATCATCAAGGCTTGACGCCACCGAATTCGTGGCACTATTGATTGAGTCGCTGTTTAAGTTTGAGGCAGTGGTTCCATCTGTAGTTCCGGAAGGAGAAAGTCCAAAATAAGAAGGGTTCAAGTGGGGGCCATCCATATCCATGGATGTTGAGATGGTTAGCGGACTCACACCTCTTTCGCTACTGTTGGGTGCAAAAATATCTTGATTTTGTTGCTGCATTTTATTGCGGGTACCCGCATCTTTGGCACCCATCGTTAGCTTCGTGCGAACAATCGAACGATCACAGATCAGGACCTGGTGTCGATGAATTTGATTTGATTGGCTTCCTTGGTTTCTTGAACGTAATCGTATGTTTTTGTCTTGACGGCTATTTGTTTCAATATTTGATTTACAATATCATTTTGAGATTCAGCCTTCGTTTGGGTTGGTTGTGCTTTAGATCCATGGTATCCTTATGGTGCGTATGTCTCTAGGCTTGATACAGGATTTCGTATACTTGGAACCTGTTCTCTGTTGTTATTTTTCGTTGTTTCCGTTGATGGGCGATGATTCTTTTTGCCAAATGTTCGCAAGAAGATGATACGGTAACAAAACAACAACATCAGCAGAATTAGTAATCTTACTTTGTACTAATCCTGCTCGTACTTGGTCGACTCTGCTTTTTGATACGAAAAGAACAGAACAAAAATCAGTGATGTGTTACGGATTCAAAGTTCGAACTGAGGAATGTTTTCACCTCCGTACTTTTGCATCGGTTTACTGTAGGTACTTGGTACGCGTTGACGCAAATGCAAGTTTGCCGTCATCTTACTGCTGGTACACAGTACTTCCTCCGTCCATGAATGAATGTCCAGTTTGCACCTCTTGAGTTGAAATAAGCTCAATATATGGCTGTTTTCAATGTTTCTTTTTTTGTTTACCAGGTCTATTATAATTGTATGCAAGTATATAGATTGTATTAATAAAAAGGGTCTGACAGACTTGTGCTATTTACTAAAAGAAGGCTTTTTTGGCATATCACCGCCCAATGTGATTTTAACAGCAGCAGTTCTTCTTGTTGGGTTCTAACGGTCACTTTGATACGCCACTACTTGCACATGATAGCTAAGAGTGACACATTTTCAAGGCTGTAATTCTCTTCAGTATGGAGACCTTCTTTGTATCAGTCATTGTTCTTGTTCAAAAGAGGTGCACCATACCATTGTCAAAATTGTGTTTGCTGTGTAGTAGTAGTACTACTACTAGTAGTAGTAAATACTAGTAGGCTGTGGTATTTTCATGTGTCAAAAATTAATTTTCATTCACACATATGCACATTCCTATTTTGTAATACTGTTTTAACGTATTCTACACAGTCATATTTTACTGGGGTTTAAATGATAATATTGAAGAGTGTTAACTAAATAAGGGGACTATCATACCTGGACAGCAGAAAAGGTCACATTGGAAGGTCGTCACCATAGTACTAGATGGACGGAGGAAGTACTACTTAGATTTTCAAGTGTTGAATGCAAGAAAAAATTAATTTGTGAAGTACAAGTAATACAAGTACAAGTATTTTTTTTAATTTTGCAAATCTCAGCATCTGAACATCAGAGATTTCTTGTGCTACCAACTTAAAATGTCGTAGCAGTAGTACCAGCAAGAACAATAATGGAGTAACAAGCCTTCTAGTAAAAAGCTTATTTTTTCTTATCAATATGAAAATATTGTCAGTTGGGTTCCACCGGTCATTTTTGATATGTTGCTAGTACTTGCACATGATACTAGTAGCCTAGAGTGACACATATTTGAGGCTGTAATTCTCTTCAGTATGGAGAACTTTCTTGCATTGGTCATTCTTGTTCAAAAGAGGAGGTGCACCATACCATTGTCATTCTATTGTTTCCCATGTTACTAATAGACTGTTTAATTTCATGTGCAAAAAAATTACTCACATGCATTCTCATTTTTATCTACAGCACTGTTTCTACGTGTTGTTGTACACACCAGTCATACACAGCAGTCCTCATTCATAGAATTCAACAGCCTGAAACTGCAAAATCTATTAACAAGTAAATACTGCACTGCCCATTATTTTGGAAAAAACAAAGTAGGGCAAACTGTACCATTATTTAGGAACAGAAGTAGTACTAGTAGTAGTACTACTACTAGTACAAGAAGGAGTGGTGGTAGCCATCATCCTTGTTCTCCTCCTCCTAGTACTCCTAGTACTAGTACTAGTACTAGTACTAGTAGTATTCTCTTCCTCATCCTCCTTGTTGTCATCATAAACTAATACTAGTACTTCTATTAGTACTAGTAGTAGTAGTAGTGCTACTAGTTGCACTAGTATTGGTAACAACAAGAAAGGAGGAGACAATCTCATAGAAGTACTATTGAATTGAATTATTGGAAGTACGAGTTGTGCTACATGGGCCAACAAATGAGCATAATAAGAACAAGAATATAAACAGAAGAAGAACCACCACAGGGCTGACACAATCACACAGAACCACCGAATGGTTCGACCCGTACGACATAAAAAGAGAGAATGAAAACTCGTCTGGCTGGCGCAAAAATTGAAGGAGCCGTTGCATGTTTTACGTACGTACCTGTACGGGTACAGGTACGTACCTTATCGAACAACTCGTACTGGTACGGTAGGCCAGAACAACGATTGATTTTGTTTTCGATGATGTTACGAAGAAAATCTCGTTTTTTGACCGGGATAACGTAAGTGAACCAAGACGAGAAGATCTACATGTAATTTGTTGATGATCACACACACCGAAACGAAGAACTCATGACAATGGCACTGCAACGGCAGGATACAACAACAATCTCATATTAGATTCTGAGAATCATACCAGACGAGAAACGATCGACTTGCTCTTTCTGCGTCGCAGCCATCATCTCCGCAGTGAACGGACGCATTTCTATGAGCTCCTTGTCATCACCTTCGAACTCTTCTTCTCGTCGTCGTCGAAAGAATTCTTCAAGTAGCAAAAAAAATAAAACATCAGCGGGTCGACGCAATATGGCGGTAGTCGAACCATCCTCTCCGTCGACTGCCTTCTCGTGGAGACAAGAGAAAACCTTACCGACACCCAAAAAGTCGCACGGGATACCCCCTGCTAAATTCCACCTCAAACAACACCAAGAAGGTCATGCCATCGACTCTCACGGCAACGGAGACGAGCCATCTTCATTACGTGATATGAAAGAAACATCTGTTCCGGAATGGAAGGAAAGAACAGAGCGAAATCTGCTCATCCAGGAACAAAAATCTTTCACGAAAGAACTCGAAGACAGGCGCAAAGGCTTTCGTAGAATTACGCAGCTGAAAACATGGCCCCTCCAAGATATGGCGTAAGTTGCCAAACAGTGTTGTGCGATGTCATGGCATACGGTGTGAAGCGGTATGGTGTGACGCATAAACGAAAAATCACTATTCTTTGTCGAGTATTCCAGCACCATTGTCAATAACCCTCCTGACCGAATCGATTCACTGTTTTCCATCTATTTTGCACTCAGTATGGATCATTTGGACCATCTTTTGGGCATAAACGCTAGCTATCAATTTCACGGTGGAGACTATCTTTCAGCAGAATCCTCGAGCTCGGTTTCTTCCGTAGAGTCATCAAAGCCCCGCCTCAAAACAACTACAATGATCAAGACTCTAACTACATCCACATCCGACAATCCAACCGCAGACGACTCTAACAAAAAGACCCAAAGCCAGGAGATCCGTGGAGGCTATCATGATTTCGGCGAACAATCTGCAAGCGTTGCTGTAGAAGAATCGATCGACAACCAAAAGCAACAACGATCGCCTCTATGGAGCTTGGAACCACGCATATTTGCAACAGAGAAAGGCGCCGGGAAACGAAAATACTTAGTTGGGCAATTCGGTCGGATAGCAGACTGGTACTGGCGCAAAACCGAACCCACCTCGCGGCATCTATACGAGGTTATTCGGGAGGGCACACCCTGTCGCTTATACTTTGATTTGGAATTCAGCCGAGCTCACAATCCATCGGTTCCCACAACACAGCTCCTCCACGAACTCGAAGACGAGCTAGCAACGGAACTACAAATGCATTACGGAACTTTTTTACCTCGACTCAAATCATCGCAAATCGTCAATCTTGATTCTTCCAATGAAAAGAAATTTTCAAGGCACTGGATTGTTCACTTATTTCAGGAGCCGGAAGGGAAGGAAGGTAAACACAGCACGACTTACAAACAAGAAGAAGAGTTTCTTTTTAAAGATGCCCCAACGGTAGGTCGTTTCATCAAACGAATGGTGGGGCGGTTGGCGGATGATATTGGAGTGGAGGGAGGAGATTTTTCGAAGAAACGACCTGCTTTGTACAAATATCTTTTTGTCAACATGAAGGACGAGGGCAAAAGGACTTGCTTCATTGATCTGGGTGTCTACACACGAAATCGACTTTTTCGATGTTTTGGAAGTAGCAAGAAAGGAAAGACTTCTGCTCTTCAAGCAGTGCTTAGTGAGAGAGTAGAACCAAATGTAGAGTATGTAGCAAAAGACGTTGAAGGCAGCAACAAGCTAACCGATACTGCTACCGAGCGCCACTATTTTCCACTAAGTATTCCACCCAAAAAGGAAGTCTCAGCTTCGCAATCATCAAGGATTCAGTCGTTTGATGATTTTATAGTTGCCAATGATTGGGAGCCCCACGCCCAAGCACTCGCTGACAGCCTTGTGGTACCCTTAAAGCAAGGACCACAACTATTGGCATCGACAATCGGAGAGGACAATAGCAACAATCTCATAAAAATTCTCGATGTTGAAGAAGGTTCATATGGATCAACTTCAGTTTCTGGTTTCCTGGATAGTTCAAAAGCAACTTCCCAGCGTAGATATCCTTCTGCTATACCGATGGCACGTCAGGGGAGTCCGCTCCCGTCTTTGGATCAATATGTTGTTGATAACTTGAGCAATCGAGGAGGTGTGCAGGGTTCCATACGTGCTTGGTCCATTGAATACGGACCTCGCGAGACACCTGTTTCATTCACCTACCACATACAAAAGAATCGGTTCTGTGAAATCATAGGGCGACCTCACAAATCCAATGGTATATTCTGGACTATTGACGTGAGCTCTTGGACATGTATCCAAGGTTGTTTCGATCGCGAATGTTACGGTCGTGGATGCCCAATACCGATATCCAACGATGGCAAACAAAGCGGGAAAGGAGGGAGACTAGACAAAATAAAGGAAGAATTCGAATCGTGGCAGGAAGAAGAATTCGAAAAAGCTCTGATGGCTCTGAATCTTGACCATGCCATCGCTTCACAAAACGATACCGAACAATCTGGTACGCCTACGCATCAAAGTGGAAATGATGCCAAAAAAGACGAGGAAGAACTATACGACTCGGATTCACTTTCCGATGACGCTTTGCTGCAGGCTGCGTTAAATAATCCAGAATTGTTTCCTTAGAAATTAGCTTTTTAGCACATAAAATTATATAATGGGATGGCTTGATGCAAGGATATCTAGAAGCTGGCAACAATTCTGCGTATCAGACTATCAGCACTTTCAACAAGGCTGGCTGGTCGCTTGTCGAATTTGCTGAAGACCTTGCGCATTATTTCCCTTCGGCACCGGACCTTGTTGAGCCAAAACCCTTCGATGTCGTAGCGCCGACTAGCAGGGTCGGAGAACAAGACCTCGTATCCCCTTTGGCGATAAAATTCGAGTCCCTTTGTGTTGTAATCTTCCACCTCGAGGACGATTTCATTCATGTTCCACCCCTTGCGAACGTGTTCTTCGCAGGCCTCCAGCAACTTGGAGCCGATCCCGTACTTGCGCGCGGCTTTCAGCACCGCCAGGTTGGTCAGGATGGGCCGCATGGGTCGCTCGTTGAAGGAAAACCCCTCCAGCACTGAGGCCACATCGGAAGACGACTCCGACGACGACTCGGTCGCTTGGCCCAGGCCGTAGGGCCGCTGCGTGATCTCGACAAAGCCCAGGAGGTCCCCCCGGACGTAGCACTCCGAGTCATCGCGGCCGCCCGCGGGGTTTCGGCTCGTCCCGGCCTGTTCTTGCGCCGGGAGTGAGCGCAGGCCGTCCATGTTGTAGGCCCCTTCCAGCTCGTCCTCCATCAGCAGGGGCTGCGAGAGAACGTCGGTCACCCCCGTGGTGCGCTTCACCTCGTAGGCTAGGAACATCTCGTTCGTGTCTTCGTACCGATCCCGTCTTCGTTCCAGGTCCGCTGCCTGTAGGTTTTTTAGGTAGTTGATCTGCCATTCCTTCAAGAAACTGTGGTGCCGGAACAAGAAAGAAAGGAAATAGTGAGCCACGGCGGGCTTTGCGGCAGCAGAGCACGGCATAGGCAGGCCCAACGCACATCCGAACTTCGTTCCACCCTCTATCACAACTTACTTAACCCTGCCCTGTCCGCTCGGATCCAAGAGTTCCTGTCGAATGTTTCGTCGGTTTGGAAAACAAAAAAGGTTAGGAGACGACAATGCAACACGGCCGGAACCCGTGAATCGAATCGAATCGAATAAAGTTGTGACGATATCGATGATTCACAATCCGTGCTCCGACACGGAATCATTGGTTTGCAACCGCATGTCAACGCAACAGACGCCAGCACATCCCGACTGCCCAACGCAACGGACCTTGAAAAAGACATCGATGCACAGATCGCTGATCGCCTTGTAGATCGCGTCGCCCGAGGGTTTTTTGGTGGAGATCGATTCGATGAGAAAGGGCGGGGCCGCGACCCCACCCTCGGCCTTTTTCGGGCCACGGCTTTCGGTTTCCAGGAAAAAGGGAATGGAGGCACCCAGGGGCCGAAGCCGTGTTCTCTGCGCGGTGAAGGCGTGTCGTGGTGGTCCCTCCCCGAAGTGTCCCTGCACCGCCCGCAGCCGCTGCCACCGGCCGTGGACTGCCACCGAAAAGGCGTTTGCAAAACGGGGCGTGGGACCGGAGTGGCGCGGGCCCAAAAGGTGGGGCGAGGCGAGCAGAAGCAGCAGCGCCACCGCCAGGAAGGTGGTTCCATGGCAGCAGAACCGGGGGTTCCGTTTCCTCCCGGGCCCCTTCCTAGATTCGGGGGCCATGGCGTCGGGCGTCGACACCGTGTTGCAGCCGGAAGGACGGATAGTTCGTCGGACCGGGAAACGGTCGGTCAAGGATCGCGGGAAGCACGGCACGGCACGACCTGCGGCACGGCAATTCCGTTCCTTCCCACCGTCCCCTGCCTTCGACGCTCGTGGTTGTCTTTTGCGTTTCCGTTGTTGGCTTCGGCGACCCAGCCCAATCCAACTGTGGCTCTTGTTGCTCTAGGTTGTTTGTGCGTCGAGACAAAGCCGGTGCCTCGAAAACGATATTGCAACGCAACGTCGATGGTGCGATTGCCTATCGGGACAGGTACTCGTATGCAGTGGCAACAAGCTTCGAAATCGATTGAGAAAAAGAAGCTGAAGAAAACAAAGAAACGAAAACAACGAAAACAGAATTAACACAGAAAACGAAAGCCGTCCTCACTCACTGAAAACCCTGCCAAGCCTACCCCTAGCGCGTAGGGACAGTACAGAATGGTACGGACGTCCTACTCACCGAGACGAGTGCCAAACACAAATAAATACCGTGTACGAGAACATGCTGCACATGGGCAAGTGTACCGTACGTACCGTTCAAAATCAGCCTTGCTCCGTTGCTTCAACAGCTCGCTCGTCTCTATCGGGTACGATGCCAGGTCTTGTACGGGCCGGCAACGAAAGGTACGTACTTTACCGTATGAAGCGGAACTCGCAACGCAGTTGTTCAAAATGACACGCGACCTGCGCGTGAGTCATGCTAGTCGGCTTGTTGAACGACGAATGAATCACTCCGTTTTTTTATCGTACCGTGCGGTTCGTGGTTCGTACGGTACGTACGGTACTACTTCTATCATTTTCATGATGTTACCTACAAATTGCGATAAGGTACGTTTATATGTAAAGTACGTACGTACGTTCTATGAAAGTGATACTTCGTACTTCTACATTACAAATTACAGGGACCAGTAGTTTTAGTACGAAGCAACCATGGAAGCTTCGAAAAAAGATTTTCTATCCGCACCCGAAGCTCTCTCTGTCTCCCTCATCTCACGAACGCCCCGCTCTCCTAAATTCCATCCACCCCTCACTCCATACGTACGGTACTCTTCTCAACACAGCAAAGCAAGCAAGGCACCGCGAGAACCATGCCACCCACCCTTTCGATCGCGGACGCCGTTGCCGCCGCTTCCGAAGGGCTCGATTCCCGGGCCACCGCGGTGGCCCTGGCAGCCATCGCCCTGTCCTTCCTGGGGGGCCCCACCCTGGTCCACCTCCTCCGGTGGATGGCCGCGTGGTTCCGCCTCGGGGTGTTCCTGATCGGGGGGGGCACCACCGTGGGCACCGTCTCGGACCTCTATGTCCACCCCGTCAAGAGCATGCGGGCGACCCGGCTGGAGGAATCGGCCCTCGACCGGAAGGGGCTCGAAAACGACCGCAGGTTCATGGTGGTCTACGAGCGCCCCCTTCCGGCCCACAAAACCGAGTGGGGAAAGACCGACACGACCCACCGGTTCCTGACCCAGAGGCAGTGTCCCTCCCTGGCCACCATCTCTACGGCGATCGACACCGTTCGGACCGACGACGGAAAAGCCGAACGGGTCCTGGTGCTGGAGCAGGCCACTGTTGCGCCGTCGTCTTCCGCACCAAAGGTTTCGGTCCGCGTTCCCCTGGCCCGCTTGGACGGGAAGCCGGAAACCACCTACCTGGCGGGCATCTGGGACGACGTCGTCGCCGTCGAGGACCTGGGAGAAAGGGCCGCCGCCTTTCTGCAGGCGATCGCCGACGCCGACGAAGAGCTCGCGGCGTCCTTCGAGGGCGGGGGCCGCAGGCCGGTGGTCCGCCTGGTGCGGGAGTCGCTTTCGCCGCTTTCTTCTCTCGGCCTGCTCAAGGGCGGGCCGGAAACCCGGGCCTACGTCCCGGCCTACGCCAAGGCGTGGCACGGCGGGGCCCTCGGCAAGCCCACGCTCACGGACGGCTTTCCGGTCCTGATCGCCTCGGAGGCCTCGCTGGACGTCGTCAACCAGAGGCTGGTACACAAGGGAGGGCACAAGCCGATATCCATGAGCCAGTTCCGGCCCAACATCGTGATAAAGAGGGGCTCCATAGAGCCCTTTGAGGAAGACCGCTGGAAGGTCGTGGCGATCGGCAACGTCGTCTTTGCCATCGTCAAGGCGTGCCCGCGGTGCAAGCAGTCCTGCACGGACCAGACCACCGGAACGGTGAGCAAGGCGATGGAGCCCCTCGAGACGATGAAGGCCTTCCGGCGGGCCTTTGGGAGCGCCCCGAAAAACGGGTCCGTCTTTTTCGGCCAGAACGCGATCCCGATCGGGAGGCTCGAGGGAAAGACCATCAAGGTGGGAGACCCCGTGCGGGTGCTGGAGCGGGGGGATCCCGTGTACATCGACTGAACGGAAGCGAGCCGCCGGCGAGCGAAAACCCCACCGGAACGGAGCAACGCGGGCCCACTCGCCGCAGCGGAGCAACGGCTCGCAACACGCGCGGGGCTGTGCGAATGTCCCCGCGGAAACCACCGGGGTCGCTGTCTACGGACCGCCGAAGCGGTGGATTATTCATAAAAAGAGATAGAATCTGGTTTGTGCTCAATACCGTGTGTGCATCCGCATATCGTACTGTTTATATTTACTTCAGTTTCATCGTTTTCTGAAACTCGTTGGAGGTGGGACTTTTCATCAGTTCCCTCAAGGCAACGGTCGCGTACGCAGACGAAGGCAGCGTAAAGCCCACAATCATCGCAATCAGGGTCGGGTCTTCCTCGGTTTGTTTGGGATCGATTCGGATTTCTTCACCGTTCATTTTCATAAGGTCGGTCTGCAGCAACGGTTGCAGGGGGTGGTTGTACTCTCTGACGGAGTAGTCGAAATCTTTCGGGTGGATGACGGCGTTTCGATAGTCGCCGTTCACACTGATTTCTCGGTCCTGCAGGTTTTTGAACATGTCGAGGGTCAGTCCCAAATCGGTTACCAGCTCTTTCAGCACAGTTCCCAGTTCGTTTGTGGGGAATACCGTTTTGGATCCTACAACCGGAACCAAAACGTCCTCGATGGTGTACTTCTTGTTCTCTATATCGCTCTCTGTCACGATGTGGACCCTGGACTTTGTGTCCTCGTCGGAATTCGGAACGAGGTCTCCGGCCACGACGTTTTCTCTTGCCATCTTTGCTATCCTATGCGAGGTGGCTTTGTTGAAGATTAGGCTCTGAACGGCATGAATGAACATCATTTTCAGGTTTTTGGGGATGCGAGAGAAAGCCTTCTTGTAGTCGAACGGATTTTTGGCGAGGGACTGCATGATTGCGATTTCGGCTGTCATGAATCGATTCATGCTGTCGTCGAACAAACACAAATCAGGACCAAAAGAGGGTTAGAACGTTGCTGTCTGCGGTGCGTCCTTGTTGACAATCAACACGACGGGGATGGCGACGGCGATAATTCTCGTCGACGGCATTCGGCCTCCCAAACTACATTCACTCTTACCGTTTCAGTACTCGCTTGGCGGTGCTACTCTCGTTTTCCTTCGTCTCCCCGTACGTAAAGCGACTCTGCCAGTCTTTTCGGGCTTGAGTGATATCTGGTCGGTCTTCGGAGTTCGGTTCCATCAAAATATCTACCGCTTTTTTGAAATCTCCCTGTAAAGCTGCAATACCTACTAGATGAGTGTTGTTGAACTTTCCAAACCGTTGGGTTCCGTAGTAGTTGATAAACCCTTTCTCTTTCACGGCTTGCGCTGCCTCTTCCAAAACTTTCTTTCTTTTCGATTCGTCGTTGGCATTGTCTCCCAGCAACTTTACATTTCGCAAAACAATATCGAATCGGTTCCCCTTCAAAGACCCTAATCGAAGCTCCCGAGACACGAATTGAAAGTTGCCAATGTGCACAATGCTGTAACCCTTCTGCCTCGTATTCCCGCCCCCGCCTCTTTGTTGGTGGTGGGACTTCATGATTTGCTCGGGAAGCGTTTTGAAAAGGGTGCAGAACTGACTCGTGATGCCACGTTTGTCTTTCATGCCGGCAAAGCCAATCCGAGCCGTGCTTCCGCGTCGCATCACATCCTTGGTGGCGGTTGTGGTGTCACAATTTTCCTTGTACATGACAAACCGTAAAAACTCGGGACGGTCCGAGGGCCAGTTTGACCTTGCTTTCTTTTTCAGCGCACGGTCGCTCATTTTTCGCTTCTTGTGCGTACCAAATGCCTTGTAGTTGGGCATTTCTGTTTCGAACCTCGCGTGCCATATTCGGATTTTGCCGTCGAGGGTGTCGGCGCGGGCGCATTTCAGCGAATTCCTTACCCAATTGTGGACGGCTTTTCGCTGCTCTTTTTCGAGAGAAGGCAATGTCACGAATTTCTCCAAGGCATCGCTTGCTTGCTTGCTCTCATTGTCTTCCGACCCGTTGGCATTGTCGCTCTTCGCTTGGCTGTTTTCGCCTCTGGTCTTCTCGTGTGATTTCAGCAAAACCATTACTTTCTTTGAAACATCTACATCCTTGATCATCTCTACCAACTCAGATTCCAAATTTTCGAATGGCAACGATTCCGATTCTCCTTCGCCTGTAGCTTTCCCCCCCTCTGGGGTTGCTTCCATCTTCTCGTCGACTGCGACGACTGGCTTTCTTTCTGCCTCTTCAGTTTTCGGTGGTTCTTTTGTCGCAACCTCTTCCTTCTTCTCTGTATCCTTCGATGCCTCACTTTTAGGTACATCCAACGAAGTTAGTCTTGCCACGTTTCCATCCAGGTCTATTTCGTGAACCAAAAAGTCCGAATATCTTGCTTTCACTACTGCCGTAAAACCCGAGAAAGAGGAAGACGAAAGATATTCTGAAATGCCCAGACTTTTTTCGATTTCGTCGTAGGTTCCGAGGGCTTCTATATCTTTTGTATTGATTGACGTGATTGTATCATTCTTACCGTCCTTTGGTTCTTCCTTGGCATCGGTACTGGAGGACGGAGGATCGGTATCTTTGCCATCATTGTCGTCGAGCGAGGACGACGGTTTCGCGTCCTTCATATCGGCGTCTGTCATTTTGATTCGTAAGTCTAAGAGAAAAGTGGGCGGTTGATCGCTGTCGGGCTAGTCGGGCTGATGCTTTCGAATACTCTCTTTCGATCTCAAAGAAGGTCCATGGAGCTGTTCGGTATGAACTGACGCTCCGCTATCGAAAAATGTGATGTTTTTATCCGAAGGCAGGGTAGATTTGGATCTTGAAAACTTCTGAGAGCGCACGCTTCGGTTTCGGAAATCACTGGTCGGTGGTAGGCAAGACAATACGTACACGTACTGACTTAGCTTTTTCATCTTCACGATGATGCCATCTAGTACAAGACTACTACTATTGTGAGGTAATAACACGTAGTAAATCACGAGTGAAATAGTGAGTGACAGCAATTAGCGCATTCACCACTGAATTCACTCTTTATTGTAAACACGTAGTCATATGACACTAAAGAGCACCATACATACATTTTGCAGGTGATGATGTTAGTAGTAGCTGGTGGTGCTGGTGCATCGTCTGTATCATAGTACAAGAGAACTTGCCTACTACTAGTAGTAGTACTAGTACTACTACGTCACAGTACAAGAATCAATCACTACTACTAGTAGTATAGTAGCCCAAACCTCCACTGAAACTGAATTCACTAACATGGCAGATGCTGGTAAGGCTGCACTTCACCTTAAATGGATACAACAACTAGAGGAGCTAAAACTTCTTCCACCAACACAATCTACCCCCATACTAATTGCAGACAACCATGGAGCTGTACTAGTAAAATGCCAAACACACACCAACCTGCTCATCGAACAAGACATGTTCTTCTTGAAATGAAACACTTTGTTATCCTACAATGGAATTATGATGAACACATTCACTTCTGTATCAAAACAAATTCTGATGAGGACTACAGTGACTAACTGAGCAAACCAACAACTGGTAGAACTAGACCAGCAAATTGCCGTCTACTAAATCGTCAATATCGGTGATGATCCAATTTTCCCGCTCATTATCAAAATTCCCTGTGCTTGGATCCCTCTTCGTAATGACAGTTCTCTCCATTCGAACAAGATGGGGTGTCTTTTGGGTTTCTGTTGCACCAGATAAAGACGAATCCTCGTCAACTTCCTTTCCCTGCAAAATCTGTCCTGTTGCCAGATCCTTGACGTAAAAGAGTTCCTCGCACCAAACCAAACACTGAGCAATGATGGTGCTCTCCATGTATCCATTGGTTTCCAAGTGTTCCTGTCGCAACTGACTCAGGTAGGTTGCCCGACCACTCGAAGTTGTGTTCAGCATCTTGCGATACAGATTAAACAGCGAGGCGTCGCTCTTTGCGTTCCTTCTCGACAGATAAGGGATGGCATATAGGCCAATAAATTTGGTATCATAGGGGTTCATTTTTAAACGTACTTCCAGTCGTTGGGTGTTTTTCACCAAAGTTCCAGAACTGTCGTTTTCAGGCATTGCTGCAGTCTTGTCCATGGAAGACTGGTATAGTTCAAGGACCTTTTCATGAAACATTTGTCGGAGTTGCACTGCATTTCTGTCAATGGGATCACTGCAGCTACTGCCGTTATTTTCCATGCCGTCAACATTTTCATCTTCATCCAAAACACTGATGCGATATGCACTATTTCCAACACTCGAGATTTCGATGGTCTCCCGAAAGTCTATTCGACACGTCCCGTCTGCCTCTTCGGAAATTATTCGATTGGCAGGTATCGGGTTTCCTCCGCCATACGAGGGGAGATTCGACAGCAGGCTTGCGACGCCCTGTGTGAAGGACCAGGACATATTCGAGGAAAGTTCATCTTTGAAATGTGAAATCCAAAAAAGCTCGTACCAAGGAACGTTCAGAAACATATATGCCGTGACGATAGCGTTCAAAGAGGAGCTGCCGTAGACATTTTGACTTTGGCTCGTAAGCAGAAGTCCAACTTTCGAATGTTCGGGAGTCCCCGGAATTAGACGGGCAACTGGCGATGATTCATATCTCCACGGAAACAAGACTGATGAAGGATGTGGAGTATGATCCTCGGTAACGTTAGTATCTCTATCTTTAGACGGACCAGACCCGTCTGCGTCTCTGGACGAAGGAAGAGACGACAGACTTCTTGCCGAGGTGGTACACCGACGAAAAGTGTTGGGTATCATCCATCTAGAAGCGCTTCTCATTGGATGCGGAGATATCATTATTGCTGGGTACTTTTGGCTTTGACTGTGAGGAAAATGGAATCATAAAGGCTCGACCGATTATTACGAGGACGTTGATGTGCATACGCAATGCAACATTGATGCAAAATGTGCGTCGTATTTGACGTAAGTAAATTATGACAACGACGACTGACTATCAATCCCGCATCACGGGTCTAAAAACCACAATGCTAATATTTTTTCTTCCATTTTGGGGATTGGTTGCGGCCGCCGCCTTGTTTTTTTTTTTGAAGGATGGCGGTGGCCAAAAAAACTTACTACGGTGCAAAAACTAGGTTATTGCTAGTAGAATGACTTGTTGTCACAATAATGACTGAATGTTTAAGTTAAAAATGAAATAATTTATTTTGGTAAAGGTACTAATTTATTTGCAAAAATTAATATACCGGGGTTTGTACAAATCTACACTAAAAAAAATCTTTTTGTTTCCTCGGTAGGTCCAGGGCTGTAAGAATTCTTCAAAGTTAGTGGCTACGCGCACTAAAGATAGAGATAGTGAAGTGCAGTGCACTGTAGCCAATTGCAGGAGGTTGCAGTTTCTTATTCTCACACGGTKGTCTAGTAGTCCAATAAATTGCAAGTCTTCTTACATCCATTAGATGGAAATCCATTAGATGGAAATTGAATTTGAATTTTTAAACCTGGTGGAGCAAATCCCAAGGTCTTCCCACAATTGTTGTTGTGCTAGTAGTAGTAGTACTAGGGAAGGTATAGTACTACTACTACTAGTACTAGTCCTCCTAGTAGTACTAGTAGCACCACCACCACCAGAACCAGTAGACCTCCTCCCGCTCAACCTGCTCCTCTACCTTCTGGTGGTGGGTGGTTGTTGTTGTTGCACCTCCTCCCAACAAGTGGTATGATGCAGTGCTAGTAGTAGTACAAGAACTACCAGTAAGTCACAGATAAATGGATTCTAGTGTCCATCATTTTCTTTCAAAGTTCCAGAAGACGACAAAGGCTCTTGATAAAAATGGTGGTTTATGAGGTATCTAGTTGACAAAATCCTCTTGAGAAGACATTTACATTTTTGACTGTGCATGTGATGGATGAATAACAAGTCTGGGAGAAACTTGTTTACCATCCATCATACGAAAAGCCGATAGATGACAGCAACTCCTGCTGCTGATAAAACACGACCCTTCTAATTTCCATAGCTTTCAATTTACTAGTAGCAGCTGTGGTTCTAATCCTAACAAAGGCATTGATCATTATGGAGGTGCTTCACATCACACTCCAGGGAGAAGCTATCCCAAAGCTCATCCTGTCTTTCTATTTCTCTCCTAAAGAAAGTCCAACCATGGAGGCCTCTTAAGAAAGTGGTCCAAATTCATTAAGCAATCCACCTGGTTTCCTTGTTTCGTCAAAACATGATTTTCAACTGGCATTTTTCTTTTTCTTACATCAGTGCTTTTTACTCATGGACCGGTCTCAACCATGCACAATAACTATTTTTGTGTGTCCTACTGCACTGAAGAGAGAAGGCAATCCGAAATTGTCTCTCTCCATAATCCAACCACGGAAGGCTACTGGAACTCTCAAAAGATTTTGGCACGAATGAGCAAAATAATCCATCAGGCTTTCTATTTTGTAGCAGTGCTTTTGACTGCATAGAAAACTGCATACATTCTCATCAAACTATTACAATTACTGCACACAACAATGACTTTTGTATCTGAATAAAATTAAAGAATTGCTATGAGGTAGCGGAAGCTCGTCCGATTTTACTATTTCCCCCGAAATAGATGACGACAACGAGGACACACTCATCAGCAATCTAGATAAGATGATCTGATCGCAGAGATCACCTTCAAGAACCAGAACTCACAAAAGAATTCCGTACAGCTTCTAGATCTCGCTTTTTTTGTCTCGTCGCCGAAATCCTTTTCTTGATGATTCCTTGCTCTTCATCAAGCTCTTCAGGTACTAATTTCGCCGCATCATAATTAAGAATATCAATTCGTTTGCCAATTTCGTTCGCCATGGGGATATCCAAATACGAAGGAGCTCTTGCGACCTCCATCGATGAAATGGAACCTGTCATGCTCTCGGCGTTACTGCAAACAGATGTCGCCGTCGAGTCAGATAGATCTGCCAGCAAACCTCCCACTGTCCCTGTTGCAGTCCAACCCTCAATTGGAAACAAATCGTTATTATTGCTATTGCCGCCTCTAGGTGCATTCAGCTGCGGATCCAAACCTCCTGACTGTGCTACTCGTATCGGAGATGGGGATGGTACAGAGGAAGATAACGTTGTTTCAGATTCGTTTTCTGTTAGAGGTGGGCCTCCGTATTCCACTGGTATGAGGGAATTCACTACACCACTATTGGCACCGTCACCATCATTGCTAACATTGTTGTTAGCAACGATACCGTCAACCTTATTTACAATGGAGTTTTGTTCTTCGACCTCACAAGAACGATTGCTGGAGGGACCTCTTACATGTTTCCGCGTCGGATCGTTCTCACTTTTGACCTTATACTTTAATTCTGGACTAAGCTTGGGGCTAGTATTCACACCATCCGATTCATTGGAGGACTCGAATGAAACTGGATCCGTTCCTCCGGAATCATCACTATCTCGTTGTGGAGAACCTTGTTGCGTAGCCGAAGGTATTGTAGAATCTTTGCTGCCACTGTCTAGCGCTGATAAGCTTGGTGAAACACTTATGTTCGAAATGTCAAGTTCATGAAATCCATTCGATTTTGGGCCAGCATCTGCTTTCCCATTTCCGTTCGACTGGAGATCAGAAATGCTTTCTAAGAAAGTACTATTTAATTTGAATTGCTCTGCCATCATATTTGTTTCCAAGCCAAGCTCTTCAAAATCATCTGTTTCAATCATTTTGTCTAGATCCTCGATCTCCTCACAGATCACGGAACTAGGTCTGTGTTCTTCTTCATTCTCGGATTTCGCAAATTCCATAGTAGGAATTGAAGGTGCGTCCTCACTTTCTTCAACCTCCTCGAACAGTTGTAGACTCCCCCCGCTTGAATCATATAAAACATTTTCTCTTTCGCGAAAACCCGTTTCCTGGCTGCTTGTATTCTTCTCCAAGTCTTCTGCAACACTATCGCTCTCAGGATAAGACGATACTGTTGAAAGGCTCATTTTTTTCATCGATGTATCTCCCACTTCAACCAATTCAACACTTCCACCTATTCGTCTTGGCCCAGCCTTTATATCAGCTGCATGTTCATCATTTTCGTAGATACTTTCTCTCTCTTCCACATCTTCTCCGGGACTATCGCCATGAGAACTGGACTCCATTGTTGAATTGCTCTTTTCATCAGTTGATTTGCTCCCCATTTCAATTAAACCTGTTCCTGAAAGTTGCGTGCTCGATCTAGTCTCTACATGGGCAGCAGATTTATTATTTTCGTAGCTACTTTCTTTCTCTTCCACATCTTCTGCGGGACTGTCGCCATGAGAACTGGACTCCACTGTTGAATTGCTCTTTTCATCAATTGATTTGTTTTCCTCTTCAATCAAACCTTTGCTTGAAAGTTGTGTGCTCGATCTAGTCTCTACATGGGCAGCAGATATATTATTTTCGTAGCTACTTTCTTTCTCTTCCACATCTTCTGCGGGACTGTCGCCATGAGAACGGGACCCTATTGTTGACTTGCTCTTTTCATCAGTTGATTTGTTTTCCTCTTCAATTAAACCTGTGCTTGAAAGTTGTGTGCTCGATCTAGTCTCTACATGGGCAGCAGACCTTACATCGGCTGCAGATTTGGCATTCTCGTAGCTACTTTCTTTCTCTTCCACATCTTCTGCGCCATAAGAATGGGATGCTATTGTTGAATTGCTCTTTTCATCATTTGCTTTCTTTCTCTCTTCAATCAAACCTGTGCTTACAAGTTGCGTACTCGACAGAGGGTTTGCATCGACGGCAGACTGTGCATCTTCAGAATGTCTCGCGCCAAAGATATCTTGCAAACTCAGAGAGCGCGATGATTTATCTCTACTTCCTGAGACTTTCGATGAAGATGACACATCGTCGATTGAAGCACCTGAATTATCTACGTCAATGTTCAGCCCTTTCGTAAGAGCAGTATCAACTTTGCTTTTCTCTTCCTCTCCATCTTCTGCTGGCATTTGCGAATCACCAAAATCTTGAGAAGACAATCCTAACCAATCATCCTCTTCCAAACCTTTCGCCGTACGAACAATTCGGGACCTATGCCAATCCGTAATTTCTTTTGCAAACATGCCCCTTACCACATGCAGTTTTTCCTTCTCCGTCAACTTGCGGAACTTCTCATGTAGTATCCTGATCTCGATTGCTAACTCCGTATTGGATGTTTTGTAACGTTCGAGCTTGCTTTGAAGATTCCTCACGTGCTTCTGACTTTCAACCTGGAGTAATGAAAAATAGTTTTGAGATTCCTCTATCAATGGATGCGAGCATTAGGCAATTCCAAATCTAATTTTCTTACCTTTGGGTGTTTTAGGACTCTCACACCAGTTGAACACGATTGAGGCGGCCCCTTGGGAGTATCTCCGGGTAGCATTAGTTTGTTGTTCTTTTGCCTCTCAATTTCAAATAGCCTGTTCTTTCGTAAGTACCACTCTGTGGGGGCTAGGATAACTAAGGCAGCAGAGATCGAGCTCGATGCGATGATAACCGAGAACAATATATATTGTGCCGTTGGGCGATCATACAACAATGTCAAAACTGGACCACCTATTATCCATGCCTCAAAGAAGGGCAAAATAGATAATTGAAGCCATTGCATTTGGTGATATTCGAGAACCAATAAACGGCACTTCAGTGCCTGTAGCATGGCTATCAAGCAAAGAATCAAATTGTAAAAGAATATTGCCATCCCAAAACTGTGATACATAGTATCCTCTGACTGACAACTTCCATAAGTTTCAACCGTTCCATCAGACGAGGGAAATGCCGGCCCATTCGTCATCTTCTCTCTTCTTTGCCACGTCAAAGGATCTAAGAATGTCCATAGTCCAAGTAGAATTCCATTCAGCGCAAACACTTGGCAAAATACTTGGATCGAGTCCTTTGGCTTGACAATCATTCTTTCGTACTTCCCAGGATTGTTAAATATTTTTAAACAACACCGTATTCTCGAATATACAGCAGAAAAGAAAATAGAGAATCCAAGGATGTAGATCCAAGGCGCGACAACACAAGATATATCGAGAACTTCTTTGCCGAGTAGAGAGTCATCAAATCCAAGCGGTATGAGTGTTCCTCCCATCAGAAAGAGGCCAACAGCGACCTGAATGCTCAGAAATGGCTGAAAGGCTCGCATTATTGATTTATTTCGATTCCACAGAAACCACACAATAGTGCCGATGGACATTGAGCAAATCAAAGCTGCTATGAACCACCCAGTATCTCGATACGCTTTTTCAATGTAATTCATTGATTTGCCCTCTACGAATCTCCTCGAGTATCCCAACGAAGATACATAATTATTCAAAACAGTTGACTTGTCAAAATTGGATATTGCTTCTCGTATCCTAACATCCATATTGTTGGTTGTTTCTGCACGCAATGTGGCATCTTCGATGGTGTCAAAACCATCCTTGGTTGCATTATCGAAACCCCTGCCGGCCGTAAGATAGCGGTATACTTCTTGATCGAGGATGTCACGAATCTCCGATCCGGGGGGTATGCGTATCTCGCTTACTGTATTTTGAGAGTTTACTTTTTTGACTGTTTCAGTATATTGGACGGCTGTTGTTGCGTCAATTCCAGCATTGATCCAATCATACGCACTCAAGTGAGAATACCGATAGGGGCTCAAGAAAGCAGATCGTTCATTCGGCAGTGCGTCCTGGAAGGATTGTGCCTTGTTCGAAAGGTACGAGAAAAAAGATGCCATTGCGCGTTGGCTCTCAGAAGGAGCATCGTTCGAAACTCCTGCCACCCATCCTCCAAAGGCAGCATAGACAGGCTGGTTCACGATTTTGATGTCGCTATAGAAAGTTCCATGTGGGCACAATTTTGACGTGCAAGTTTCCAAACTTCCCGTTTCCCGATCTAGAACTCGACCCGATCCCGGGGTGCGAGCTATTCCAATATTATTCCCGAAGCTGTAAGTTCCCATGGCCGAAGTTTTGACTCGATTGGCCCAAGTGTAAGCCATGGCACAAGTGCCTTCTTCGAGGAGTTGGTCGGCACCCGAAGTAGAATTATCGTTGATGTCATGATCGCAATCTGTCAGTTCGTTTGGATCTTCATACATGGATTGTTCTGCCAATATTCGCAAGGTCTCTTGCATGGCATCACCCAAAATAGGATCTAAATTATCAGGATTCAATAAAAAGCCTGTGGAGGTTCCTTTGGTCTGCGTCATGGTGGATAAAACTAACGATGCCCAGTAGGCATTTATGCTTCTGCCGTCATCATCGCACCGCCTTCTCTTCCGACTGACGCAACTCCCGGTCATCGTAGTGTTGTTGGGTCCAAATGGCTTGCCGTGAAAAAATGCCGCCGCCGCCCTGTAGTCGTCCCAGGTTCGGGGCACTTCGACATTATACTTCTCAAACAAATCCTTCCGATAAAGCAGAGCTAGCACGTCCCCATCCAATGGCACATAGAAAGTCTCTCTGTCTGCATCGTCGGGATTGCTCAGGAGAGGTGTTAGCGATGGCGGCGACGGCGTTAGAGTATTGTTGGTCGCAGCGTATTGTTGGGCTTGAGATCGATAAAATGGTTGAATGTCTGCCCATTGGATATCCGTCGGGTTGTTGTCTATGGCCTCGTTGGCATCTCGCTCCCGCAATAAATATTCGTTCCAACTCCAGAGTCGGTGGGACTCCTTCAGAGCACCCACCATGTGACCCGGAAAAACAACTCCGTCCCATTGGCCAGCATCTGTCATGTTGTTGATGTATCCGAGAAGGCTTTCGCCCTCGGAAAGTAGATCATTATAAGTGCGAAAATCGTCGATGCCCGATGGACTTGATTGAATGTCGGACGTGTCCTGCAAAGTGATGGAAATATCTCTGTGGATACGTTGGTAATTACCAACATGGTACTCAAGATATTCTCGGAATTCCTCCCCCTCATAAAGAACTACGAGCTCTCGAACGCAGCAGCTTGGATCGCAACCCGTTGCTTCCATAGTGAATGTCACGTTCGCTTCCATCGTTTTGCTCCCGTATGTGTTCAATCGTTCAGTTTCGTGTCCGCCTACGGGCAAAGACGATTGTAGCCAACGTACTATAAGAAAAGGTCGCGTTTGAGAATTTGTTGTCTAGTTTTCCCTTTTCCCCTGGGTCCCCTTCTGTGGTCTCGCAAGCAGGCCTTCGTCCCTCCTCAAGGATTGGATTAATTGGATGGAAACGAAGCACGCGGCACCAGGTAGTAGCTGATTTGGTCTTCGTTCTCTACAGAACACAGCAGCGTTCAAATTGATTGCTACCTACAGAACAAAGTCCCTCTCTTTTTCACAGAGATTACGGCAACCTGGGGTCGCACCGATACCGAATGCCGTCTTTGTTTGGTGAATGTCACACTAGGCACCGTTGTGTTGGGATCTCGTTCTCTGCACGCATTGAGACAATGCACAGAGCTCCAGGGAACACGCTCTTAAAAATAATTAAGTTTTTGAGTCCGTAATTTTTTTCGATTTTCGGCTAACAACCATGAAAATTCGCGAGGAGGCATATTAATAGGAAGAGTCATTCGACACTATTCACAGGTTCGGTTCCTACCGTACCTGTACGGCCCCGAGGAATGTCTCTTCTTGCCAAACACCCAAGGGCACTGGTAAGTACTATATGAAAATGTTAGTACAGTACGTTCTATGGTAAGACCTTAGGTAATCTTGTAGATTTTTAAAGTATGAACGACTTAGAGGTGATATTGCCACAGAACATAGAACTATGTTAAAGACTACTGTACCCACAGTGTTGCTCTACGAGAAACTGGTACCGGTACTTGTACCAATTATGGTATCGCATTAGCGGCATTACTATCAGCAGTGATCTTCACAGTATTAATCCTATTTATGATGCTGGTGTTGCGAGGTAATACCACGTAGTAAATCACGAGTAGATAGTTCGATCTACCAATACGAGATTTCATACGGTGCTACGAGACAAACTTTGTTTGATCTAATTAGGCTGGATTCCACTGCACCCGGTAATACAAAACCAAGTCAAGCGACATTATCGAAGCATGAGATGTTGAAGGAGATCGCAGTACGGATGTAAAATTTACGCCAACATCGGACCATGAAAATTTTTGAGACGATGAACCTGCTTGTGGTGACCGCAACTATGGGTGCAGCAATAGCGATGTCGTCGTCATCGTCATATTCATCGCCATCTTTCGCGAAAGCCGATGTCGGCACTGCGCTGACTCGAAACCTGCAAACCGCCGACGTATGCTGCAGAACCTGTCGATATGAGGAGGATCTAATTCAAGCTACCCTGTCTACGGCAAAGAGCATCGACGTAGACGTCGTTACTAACGATGTCAGCAGCCACAACGGCATCTCCAACGACAATACTGCCAATGCAACCCAGCCCCGCACCATTCGCATTCTCACATGGGACCAACCAAAAGCAAAACTCCAGGCCTATGCCGATTTGTACCGAGAGTCTCACCCGGAAGCCCCAAAGGTGCGCATTTACGGTGTGCCGGACCTCAAAGATTTGCATTACGAGGTCACGAACGAGTTGCGATCGCCCTCTGCCATCTACGATGGTTACGTGGTCCCCCCCGTCTTTCTGGGGAGCATGTATCTTCAGCGTGGCGGACAGGCACTAGTCGTTTGGACCAACGAAGACGGAACCGAAACCCAAACCGACCAAAACGGCAACCAATACAACAGGTCCGTGATCGATGATCTATTGCCATACTATCGATACAATGTAGCGACGTTCGATGGAAAAATTCGGGGCCTCCCCATATTGTCAGGCTCACAGGCGATGATCCTTTTTCGAAAGGACTACATGGATGCCCTGAAACTTCCCACACCCAAAACGTGGGACCATTGGATTACACTCGCGTCGTTGGTTTCGAACGCAGACCCACCCTTGTTGGACGGCAACGGGGACACGACACAGCCTGTTTATGGAGCCTGTCTCGGACTGCTCAACGAAGCCGGCTGCCAGAAAAGAAAGAGCATCGATGGTCGACCCTGCGACAGCCAGACCATGACTTATCTCGGAATGATGCTGGCGAGCATGACCCAATACAACGGAAATTCGACGGGGTTCATGATGGGAATCGACAACACGACCGAAACCGGACTCGATCCGCTCTTTCAACCGACACTGACACGGGTTCTCAAGTGGATGGAAGACCAGATAAAGTCCAGCAGACCTACATCTCTAATGGAAGACGCCCACGACAGCATGGCGCACTTTCGAGAAGGTCGCTGTGCTTGGACTATTTCTATCAATCACGACAGCGAGTTATTGAAAGACGACAACATCGGGTTTGTACCACTTCCGGGGTCTCACCGTGTTTTGGATCGGCGTCTTGCAGACAGCGGGAACCCAGATGATGCTTCGGGAACAATGGTCAACTGTACCAACACTTGTGATCAAAATTGTGAACTCATCGGGACCGAAACGCTTTGTCCCTTTGGGAAGGACGTCGACAAGTGGGGCCGTGTCAATCTTGTGCCTTTTGGAGCCGTCACTGCTACGATCGGGACTGTATCCGGAATTATTTCTCCAAGCAGGCAGAAATTCGTCAAGAAGTTTTTCGAATTCGTTCTCGCGTCCGACGCTGGCGATAAGGTCGGCCGAATGGAGCAACCCCTGACGAAATCCAAGCTGGAGATGTCCGATGTACAGAGCTACAAAAGCACCCTGAGATCGATGACACGCAGTCCGAATGCCGCCATTCCCTTTCGTATTCCCAATGCGTACAATCTCTTGGTCGACCTCGACGATAGGGTTTACGAATATCTACTTGAAAGTGATTACTCCAAGATCCGACGCGAAGAGGTTGCTTCTTCGGCGGAAGAATCCTGGCAAACGATGATCTCTATGTACGATGCCCGTGGACAAATGAAAGAGAATCTGCCGACCTCTTTCTTCTACGAACAATCCTTGGGTGTCTACGAGCCAATGCCGGCCTCTGATCTTTATATTGGCTCGACGGCCCGGAGTATCATGTGGACTTTTGCTGGCTTGGGTTGTTTTGCATCCGTTTGCTTTGGAATATTGGTTTGGAGGTACCAGGATGAGAGGGTGATACGAGGTACGTTCACTCCAGCACAGTTCTGTGAAGTGTTTGCTTCCCGCATCACATACTCGGAAGGGGGGTTACAAAGGTGCAATTTCGCTGCGTATGATGGATTCTTTCGGGAACATTTTTTGTCGCGTTTCAATTCGACCTTCTCATTATATGACGATTTCTTTTGCATTGGATAGCATCACAACCGGTATTCCTGTATTTGATTTGCGGAGGAGCATTTGTCATGTATTTATCAATATTTACACTGGGCATTGAAGACGACCTTGCTTCGTATGAGCTTGTAGCATTGTCTTGCGTTGCTAATTACTGGCTCTACTCTCTGGGGTTCAATGCCGTCATTTCGGCAATGTTTACGAAAATCTTGATGCTTGCCAAGGTACGTTGTGGCAAGAACGATGGTACCGCTTGCTCTTAGGGGCAGCTTCGGATGCAGACGAGGCACGATGCCTCGCATTCTCTCACATTTTTGTCCCCGTTTTTGCGTTTTTGGCAGGCCTTGCGCATGCCCCGCAACGAGCAACGGATCCAAATATCGAAATGGGATATTATTGTACCGTTTTTGGTTATTTTTGGAATCGACTTTGTCGTTCTCTTGGTATGGACCATTATCGATCGGCAAGAGTGGGTGCGGTACGTGGAGAGAAAAGAGTAGCAAATCGAACGAAATCGTCCTGCCCGGTGACATGAAAGCATGCCTCTATTTGTCGTACCGGGTAGTCTCACACACACCCTTATTTGTTCTTCGTGACCCAATTCGGTATCGTTTGGTGGAACCCATTAGAGTGCCCGTCCATAACATGAACCTATACGCGCTGAATATCGTGGAGGAGTCCACTTACGGGATGTGTACATCTCTGGAGACGGACTGGGATATTATATTCCTGTTGGCGTTCAATTTTATCATTCTGATTCTGGCTCTTGTTCAATCCTACGAGTGCCGGAGGATCACAACGGAATATGCCGAAAGCGGCTATATCTCCGTTGCGATCTTCGTTTTCGCACAGATCTGGCTCATTGCCCTTCCACTGGTGGTGTTAGCGGAGTACCATCCGAGAACCTACTTTCTGCTGCGGAGTTGCACGGTTCTTTTGACTGCATCCGCGGTCCTCCTTCTTATTTTTGTTCCAAAGTCGGTGTACCTGTATAAATCCCTGAGGGAATCGGAATCGGACGGGGAAAGTTCCATAGAATCCTCGAGCTCGAGCGACACCACCCGCTCGTCCTCCGAGGGCACCGGCGGCCAGAGAAGGGACCCACGGGGGACGATCGGCATCCGGATCGTCGGGACCCACTTCCTGAACGGAGACGAGATCGACGAGCTCCAGGACGACGTGGACAAGGCAGCGCAGCGCAACACGCTGCTCAAGGACACGAGGGAGAAACTGAACGAAAATCTCGAGGAGCGACAGTTCGCGAGGAAGACCCGGTTCAGCATGGCCTCCTACAAGAGCTCGGACAGCCTGAACAACAAGGCCATCGGCAGCCGTAAATTCTCGAGCTCCGAGTTCTGCTCGATCCTCAAGGTGAAACCGGAGCGGCCCAGGAAGAACCGGGGGCGCGAGCAATACCACAAGTGAGATCGAAGAGATCCGTCAACTTCCACCCCGTGCCGTTCGTTGTCCGGGTTGGGGTTCAAAAGGGGTTCCGGGGAAGTCACAGTGGATGCTTTTGTATTGGAGCTTTGTTTTACATATTATTGTATAATACTTCTAGCTTTGAATTTACATATACAGTAACTGTATAATACTTCTAGCTTCCAATTTGGTTAGATGATAAACTCGAGTTGCTAATTTTCTTGTTTACGCCTAGGTGATTGATTAGTTCTCTACGTACGTACTCGTACCAGTACGAGTGAACTGCGCCTCTTACGGTGCGTCTAGTTTACTTTGGGGGATTTAAATTTAACTTTGTCTATTTTTCCGCATTTTGCCCTCGGTTGCCCCCTAATTACCACCTCATTGGTTTTTTGAGATTTGAGTCCGAAGCCAAGAAAAGCGACGAAGATGAACATTCTCAGAGGACCAAAATACCGCACTACAGTACGAGTTACGTACAGTACGTACCGTACAGTAATTTCGAACCGTGCCCCTTGCATTTCCCGTTTCGTTCGTTGCAGGGTTTGGTGGTTTCATCGACTTCGATTCTGCTCCGGACCACAGCACCCGCACCCGCACACCGCCACAAACCACAACGCAGCATTCCGGATTGGCTCGGTCGCTTTCCGTCGCAATCCACCGGCCATCCATCCACCCACCCGCAAGCACGAGAACCGCACAACACGGACAACAAACCACTCTCGAACCACCACCGAACGGAACCACGGAGAAAGAGTTTCTGTTGACGATGAACGGTGCCGCGAGTCTCGTGGCGCGTTCGTTTGCCCGAGGGGCGACGAGGAGGCCCCTTTGGCCGCGGTGTACCGCAGCGAAACGGCCGTCTTCCGCGACGGCCGCCGCCGCCGGCGACAGCAGCAGCAGCAGCAGCAGCAGCAGCAAGAGCAACACCACCGGCAACAACAAGAGCAACCGCGGCCCGAGCGACTCGATGGAGCAAGCCAGGACCCGTCTGGCGCGGTCGGCCCTGGAGCGGGTCCCCAGGCACGGCTGGACGAAGGAGGCCATCGCGGTGGCCGCCTCGGAAGACCCAAAGCTCAGCCTTTCCATGTCCGGGATGCTCTCTCCCTCCGACCTCGTCGGCTGGTTCCTGGACGACCTGAACCGGGAGCTCCGGGAGCGAAAGCGGGAAGAGGGGGACGGCAGCAGCAGCGGCGGCGAGGGCGAACCCTTCGACTCGATCCGGTGGCGGCTGGAAAAGGTCCTCCCCTTTGTGGAGAGCGGCCGGTGGCACACCGGAATGGCCGTGGGGCTGTCGACGCCGCTGGAAACCCGGTCCCGCCTCCACGAGTTCATCGAGCTCGCCACCCCCCCGAGGCACGCCGGGAACACGGCCTACCAGGCGGCCCTGGGGGCCATCTTTCTGGCCACCGAGCTCCACCTCCTCTCGGACGCCTCCCCCGGGAAGGCCTCCACCTGGTCCTTTCTGGGGGACCGGCTGGAAGAGCTGGAGCGGGGCCTTCCGGAGGGAAAAAGCCCGGGCCTCTCGGACCTCCCGGGGGTCCTGGCGTCGCTCGCGGCTTCGGCCCCGGCTCCTCCGTCCCCCGAGGCGCTGGCCAACGCGACCAACAGCATCCCGGTGGTGGCCGGCCTGGCGGTGGCCCGGTCCCTGGTGGAGGGGGCCGCGAGCCTGGTCCTCCCGCAGCCGGCGGCGGCGCCACGGAAATCACCGGTGCGTTCCCCGCCGGGCAAGGAGGCGGACAACGCCGCCGCCCCGGCCGGAACCAGGGAGACCGACTACCTCGAGGGGCCTTCCCCGCGGTAGGCTTGGCCTCGCACCAGGGACCGGCGGGCAATCGGAAGAGCGTTGCCGCGTTTGGGCAGATCCCAATCCGACCACTACATACATACATACATACATGGATGCACATCAATAACAACGACAATTTCAATAAAACCTTCACAGCAATACTCGTACCATAGAGAAGATGCACAAGTTCTATTGCGGAAAACACTATCGAACGAACAAAGCGGGGCGGAACCCGCAACAGGCATCGCGATCAGATAGAATCGGTCGTTGCGATCACGCCGAGAGCACAACAGAGTAGCGCAAAATGCAATATTTTTACTTTTTGTCCTGGTGTTTTGTTTCGTCGTGGCGTTCCGTGCGGAACACCAAACGGGCGTCGCGTCGCGTCGTATTGCGCCGCTTCTTCTCTCCTCCCCCCACTGGTTCGTGTGGGTTGTTTTTGGTTGGTTCCTACTGCGGGCAAATGTCCGTCTCCTCCATGATCTCCTTGGTGCTGGTGACCTTGGCCGCCCAGGTGGCAAACTTCCCGGCCAGGTCGGTCATCTGGTCCCCGTCCAGGGCCCTCGGCAGGATCCACGTGACGTGGACGCTCCCCTCCACCTGGTCCATGCTTCCCTCCATGAGTCCCACGGAAAAGGCCCTCATGACGACCCACTCGACCTGGTCGAGGGGAACGTCCAGGCCGGAGGCGATCTCGGCAAAGGCGAGGTTCCGCTCCGTCGCCGGCTTGGCAAAGACCAGCTCGACGAGTCCCAGGAGGGTGATCTTCTCCCGCATCTGCTGTCCCATGTTGACGAGGGCGGGCTGCGAGGCGATCTGGGCCGGGTAGGTTTCCGTGCAGAGCCTCTGGAAGTCCCGGACGCTTCCCCGGGCGCAGGCCCGGAGGAGGTCCACCAGCCAGGCCTGCGGGGTCGTTTCCAGGACCCCCAGGATGGGGTTGCTGACCACCTGTCCGAGGTTGTAGACCCCCTCGCCGGTGAGGGCCGCCAGACAGAGGTCCACGGCCAGGGCCTGCGACTTGGTGTCCGTCGCCGCCGCGGCGCCCTCCTTTGGCTGGTAGTAGTTGAGGTAGTCGACGGCCTCGTTGTAAAAGGCCTCCGGCGGGCCGACGATTTTGTAGTAGGTCATGGACGTTTCGTAGTGGGCCGAGTTGACCACGATGGCCTCCGGCGTGTCCGAGACGAGCTGCTTGAGTAGGGGCCCGTTCGCCTTGATGACCGTGTAGATCTGGTCGAGGGTTTCCTTCCTCGCTTCGCCGTCCCCGGCGCTCCCCTCGCTCTCCGTTCCGGCCTGGAGGACCAGGAGGCCGATCCTGGACTGCAGGTAGAGGACGGGGGCGGTGTTTGTGGCGGAGCCGCTCCCGTTGAGCTTGTCCAGGAGGTCCTCCAGGACGGCCCTGGACTCTTCCAGGGAGGAGGACCCCGTCTCCATCCCGCTAAAGGCGACCGCCGAGGCGATCCGGGCCAGGGAGAGCTGGTTGATCTTCTTGGCCACCACCGAGACCACCTCCGTGTAGAGGCCCCGGAAGGTGTCGGCGCCTCCGGGCACCGGCCGCAGCGTTTTCGGTTTTTCGTCCTCCGAGCAAAACTCCAGGATCAGGACGGTCAGCTGGTGCCAGAGTTTCTGCTGGCAAAAGGACTCGATCTTGTTGTAGTACGCCTCGGCCAGGTCCGGAAACCGTGCGGCCATCCCGCGGCAGTACTCCAGCGAGCCGCTGGTGGCATCCACGTAGGAACTCATGCTCGCTGTTGCTGTTGCTGTTTTGTTTTATTTTATGTTTGGGGGTTGCGGTTGTGGCTGGGTTGTTGTCTTTGGAAAGATCTGGAAAGCTGTTTTGCTTCTTCTCCCCTTGCGCGTCTTGGGCTGTAGTGATTGCAAACGAAACGAATGGAATCGATACAAGAACGGTCGGAAACAAAGCCTCCGGGGAACGAACAGTCAGGGCTCTCGGGATGAAAAAGTGAATGTGGAAAGATGGGGTTTTGAGATTTGGGGTTTGTGCTTGTTGGGCATTTTGTTGGGTGTTTTGTGTTTTTGATCCGTCGTCTCTCGAACCGGATCGAAAACGGGGCCCGTCGGATCGGAGCGATCGATCATGCCATGCGCTCCTTTTTCGAAACAAGCAAGGTACAGTAACTACTTGTAGTACTAACTTAGTACCTTTAGATGTCGAGTCCCGGACGACTGATCCGGAATCTAACGTGCGGTCCATCGCCCCGTACATCGTACATAGTAGTACTATTGGAGTACGTAGCGTACCAAACATACCAAACTGACCGTAAGCCATGCAATCAGTTTCTTTCAAGAGAATTACCGTATGGCGCGCATTTTTTGGACGGCATTTTTTGGTTTCGATCCCACAACTGTTGCAACAAAACGAACAATCCCTCCCGACGTTTGAAATCGCACCCAGCCACAAGCAACCAGCAACCAGCAACGAGCGACGAGCAATAGGCAACAGCACCACACGCTATAGGGTACGACACCGCAACGTTCTTTCCCGAGACACCACATGGAAAATTCCTGCAAAAGCACCGCTTCTGCCACCGGCATCGTGGACAAGCTGGGGGCCTGGAACCGAGCCTGGTGCGGAGACACCACCGATTCCTCCGTTTCTCCAACTGCGGCGGAGGGAGACGAAGGCCGCGGTGGTGTCACCGGTGCCGGGGAGCACGCTCATCCACGGGACAATGGGAGGCCGCCAAAGTCGCCGCTGGAAGACGCGAGGCTCGCCCTCTCCCGCCTGCTCCAAGAACCACCCCCCACCGGTGGCGGCGGCGGAGACGGAAACGGAGGCGAGCGAGGAGTCCTAAGAGCCGTTGCCGACCGCATCTTTTCGGTGCTGGACGATACCCCCCACCGCGCCGGTGGAGCTTCCTTTCCGCCACACGGCACACGGCCCCCCCGCGAGCTCCTGCAGATGGAGTGGCACGTGGTGCTGCTCCTGGAACTCTGGGCGTCCGGAACGCGTTCGGGAGGACCGCGAGAGAAGCGGGCACGGGCAAAGCCGTTGCCACCGCCAAGGCCGCAAGCACGCTCATGGACCCCGTCGCTGGTGTCGGGCGTGCTGGCGGCCTCCGCGGGGCGGCGCCTCGCAAGGGAGGCGAAGCAGCGGAAGCGCGGCGCCAAGAAACCGAAAAAGAACAAGAAGAAACGAGCGGGCGGGAATGGGGCCGAATCCTTGCCCGCGGCCTTGGAATCCATGCCCGAGGCGGAGAAGGAGGCCCTGGTGGCCGACCACCTGGTGCGGGTCCTGTCCCGGGCCCCCTTTTTGCTGCCCCGGGAGGTACCACTCTCGGAATTCCTGGCCGACCGCTGCCTTGGGCCGCACGGGGAGAGGCTCTCGGGCGGGGGGATCCTTCCTCGCATCTTCGAGGCCTTTGAGATTCCCGCCGATCTCTTTTCCGCTCCGGGGCAAAAGGCCGGCGACCGGAGCGGCGCGGGGAAAGAGCCCGAGGCGTCCGGCGTCCGAGCGGGCAGGAAGAAGCCCACCGCGACAACAGCTGCAACCACAACGGAACAGCCGGTGCCGCACAAGAAACGAAAACCGACGCGGCAGGAACGGCTGCAGATCCTGGCAAGGAACAAGAAACGCCAGCGACTGGCGTCTCTCGCACTGTCCTCCAAGAAGAAGAACCGGGGGAGCCACTTCCACGGGCACATGGACGACATCTCCAAGCTACTGGACCAGAAAAGGTGGGGAGCGAACGCCAGGAGCAGCAGCACCGGCAAGCGCACTGCCGCCGGCACCCGGGAAGGGGTTCCCGCAAATCCCCACAAGAGAAGGGCGGGAGGAACATCCCTCCCGGCCGTGCCCGATCGCCGCCCCATCGAGAAACCCATGAGGACCAGGGAGAACAACATTCCTGCTCGGACCGACAGAAACCGTGGGGATCCCGGAGTCAAACCAAGCCGCGGTGGCCCCGCCCCGGCCCGAGCCAAGGATGCATCCAGGCCGTCATTCACCAACGAGAACGCCGGCGCGATGCCACCGGCCGATCCGACGCGGAAGTGCAACGAGACCAGCAGGGACAACAGCACCAGCACCAGCACGGCCAGCGACGCAAACCGCGGGGCCGAAACGAACCATACCGGGAGCGACGGCGGAGGCAGCAATGCCGGGAGCGGCAGCCACGGCACGATTCTCTCTCCCGTCACGACGCCCAAGCGGCCTTCCCGCCCCCGCTGTGCCAGCGCGGGAGTCGTCGGGGAGACGCCCGTCCCCGCCGGTGCCCGCTCGTTCGAGTTTGTGGTGGGAGAAACCCCCGTTCGGGGCACCCGCTCCCGGACGTTTGTGGGAGAGACCCCCGTTCGGGGCGGTCGCTCCCGGACGTTTGTGGGAGAGACCCCCGTTCCGGCCGCTCGCTCCCGGACGTTTGTGGGAGAAACCCCCGTTCCGGTCGCTCGCTCCCGGACGTTCGTGGGAGAAACCCCCGTTCCGGTCGCTCGCTCCCGGACGTTTGTGGGAGAAACCCCAACCCCGGGGAGTGCCACTCCGCCGCCGCGGGCGTCGTCGTCTCCCGGGCACCTGTGGTTCTCTCCGCCGCCCCTCCTGCCATCTCCCGCCAAGCTGAAGACCCTTCCGGCCAGGGGCGCCGAGGTTCCGTCCAGGCAGCCCGTCAAGCTGTTTGGGTTGCTGAAGCGCTCGAGCAGTGCGCATTCGGACGGCTCCCACGCAGCGGGCGGAACGAACGCGGTCACGAGAGCAAGCGGGGGAAGGGCACCCCGGGGGAACGGCCCGTCTTCGATCGACGCGGCGAGGGCCTACCTCCGAAGAAAGGCTGCGTGAGGCCTGAGTTCGTAGTTTCCAATGGGGGGAGGGAAGGCTACAAAACGACTCGGGGTACGATTGCTATTTTCGAAATTGCATCCTTGGACCCAACACGATACTATTATGCAGTCTAGTACAATTCACTACGTGAAGTATTTTGTCTTTTAATTATACAATGTGGGTGAAGGCTCTGCCGGTAACGTTCGTTTGTTCGTCTGTACCGTCTCCTGATGCAACTCCGTTTCAAAGGAAATTGCATTGCTTCAATGTAGCTTTTCAAACCGAATGACTAGTATTTTTTCATTACCAAGGGACCAATCGTTAGCACCCAGAAAAAGCCGTACATACAATACAGAAGCCACTTTGATCACAAATACAATAGAATTGACTTGTGTGAGTACAAGAAAACAGTTGTCAAAAGTCGAAGAGCACGCAGACAGATACTACGCCCGGTGTAGACTATGCATGCACTCACCGTCACGTTGAACTTGACGAATTGTCGGTAATTCCTTTTTCCTATGCACGTTCCCATCCACACGCAATGGTGGTCGTATCCCGCCACACAAACATTGCACTGCGGGCAGTGCACACCGTCGGGCGGCTGCCATATCTTGCACCGATCGCAAAACCGGTACTGGCTCGCTCTCTCCGGTGTCTCGTACCCCGGGATCTCTTGGTCCAAACAAATCCCTGGATCCCGACCGGAAACATCAGCCAATCGATAGGTGGCAACCCCGAGAAAGAGATAGGCGACAACGACCGAGGGCATTCCCAGCCCGTGTCTGTTGATTCCTCCGAGGATTCCGTGCGTCGCCACCAGCAAGAGCAGCCAGACAAACACCGGCCCGAGGGTGTGTGGTCCTAGAACACCCCAGCCGGAAGATTGGAGGTATTGTGGGAACAATATCCGCATGTTTCCAACGGTTCGTGTGGATTTTACCAGTCCGCAGCAGGTGCTAGACTTGCGCAGTATGCTGTTTTCGTCAACATCGTCACTCTCACCATCGATATTGAAGCTTTCGATCTTGGATTTTGTGCGGCTGGAAGAATTTCCCGAATCAACATCCCTGCTATTGGGCAAGAGCGATTCCATATCATCGAAATCGTCGGATTCATCCAAATTGCTTTCGTCGGTAAAACTTTTCTCCATTGTGTTCATTCGGTCATCGTTCGTTTTGTCGTCGGAAGCAGGCAAAGACGACGAATCACCTCGTCCCGCCAAAGATTTCACCGCCGAATCATCTATTTCCTCCTTTTCAACATTCGTTGTCATTGTTTACCACAGCCGATAGCGGTATCGGTACTCGTATCCATGAAGCAAGGAATTCAATGTTGTAATACTTGTCTTCAGTGCGGTTTAGAATGAAAGCGTGTTCAGTTTTCCGTTGATTTTTATCGAGCGTCGGCGGGATTGATGATTTCTTTCAGTCTTTCGTGAAATGAGTAAACAAACACCAAAAGAGACTTAGGAAGTCTTTGGTGTCATAGTCAAACGTAGATTGAGCTCCAAAATTATATGCTAAATTCGAGCTCGTATAGCAAAGACCGTCTCGCTGTCTCCGCGAGGCCAACGGCCACTCATTTTGAGAAAGCATCGAAAACATTTTGATCACATCCATTTCACGAAAACCAAAACGAAGGATCAAGCCAAGCGAACAATCCGCAGGAAAAGAAGGAAAGAGCAAAATCTCCTTCAATTTGTGCAATAAAACTCCAAAGAGTCAATTGCTCTTCTTATCCTTGATTCTTTAATTTACTCTTGAAAATAATTCGAACACGGTACAGCACCGATTATTTAATTCTACTGAAAGAAAGTCAAGCAGTGAGATTCTCAGCAATCTATTAGAACCATGTCGAAGGCACTCCAACGAAATCTGAAGGCAAAGATGCCCAAAAATCTGGATGGTACGTAACGATTGGATAGATTCGCAGCAAGAAGCGCAACTATTTTTCGCTGCCTCCATTAATAGGATAATTCTCAACCTCTCCAAACAATTTTCCATGTATAGGACCGGAATGGGACAGCAGCGACGAAGAAGAAGATGCACCAGTAGTGGCGGCAAAAAATACCAAAACCAAAAAATCAACGAAGGGGAAAAAGGTGGTGAAATACGACAGCGGCAAAAGCGACAACGATAGTAAAGACGGCGACGACGACGAAAAGAATCTCGTTTTATACATAGGTCATTTGCCCAGAGAATTCGAAGAATTAGACCTTCGGAGGTTTGTTTCTCAGTTCGGCAAGGTTTACAACTGTCGGGTTGCTAGAAAAATCGAAACCGGAAGGCCCAAGGGATTTGCCTTCGTCCGATTTGGCGACAACGAAACGACCAAAATTGTTTGCGAGACACTCCACGGCTACTTTCTCGACAAGCAACGCCTGGTGTGCCAGCTCCGACCCTCCCATCCGGGAATGTTTTTCAACACCGACGAGATCATTGCCAAACGAACGAAAAAGATCCAATTGGAACAACAACAGCGCAACAAAAACCTGGCCAGCTCGGAGAAATGCAAGGTGATTACATCGCGACTTGTGGGCCGGGAAAAGAAAAAGAGAGACCGCCTCAAGGCGCTCGGGATCGATTACGATTTCCCGGGATACAAGTCCAACCGGGCCGATTTCCAAGAAGAATACGAGCCAGAGGAGACCGCAGATACAACCGAGACTGAAGCGAAGGAAACAAAGAGTCCCAAGAAAAGGCGGAAGGAGTCTATGGATAGCACACATAGCGAAGGGAGTGCCTCCAAAAAGAAGAGCAAGAAGAAAAAGAGGGATTCCATCGATAGCATAAAGGAAGACGAAACGAAAAAAGAAAAGAAGTCAAAGAGCAAGAAGAAGCGAAAGTCTGTATAAATGACGAAGGCTGAAGCGTCCAAAATAGAGAGAAACTTTCTTTGTGTAAATGATCAACAATAGAGGATTAAAGTCTTCCTGAAAAATCGACGTTTGCGACTTATGTAGTTTGAAAAATACATCGCAGCAAATCAATTACTGGTTTTGTTCACCTTATCGTTCTCCTCCTCGAACCATTCATATCGTTCCCAGCCAGACAATGGATCTATCCGTTGAGGCAATTCTCCTGCTTTGTGCAGTAGTTCAATCAGTGCACCATCGGCATCGTAGATGAAGGCTCGCTCGTATACAACATTGCCAACCATAAATTGCTCTGCCTCCAGCGCAACACGGAGGGTTTTCTGAAAAAGCCGAAGGCTGTTTTCGTTGAGGTTTTCCATCCACGCAGAAAGAAGCAACATTTTATTTGTAGAGGGCGGCTTCGGAGAAAAATCGCTGTTACGTATGGTCGCGGTTACATCCAAGGCAAAGTGGTTTTGCCCAAGGTATTCTTGGTTTGCAAATAGATCGATGGCACGCCTCTTCATACCCTCGGGTTCATTCAAAATCCAAGATGGCACTTCTATGAGCTCAATGCGCGATGGTGGCGACATGGTTGTTGAATTGGTTGTCGAGGCTATCTGTCGTTGCTCTAGCCACGCAGCTCTCGCAGGTCCGGCCTTGAACTTGGCGGTGGTTTCGAATCCGAGGAGGCTGTAAAACTGAATGGCTAACGTGATGTTCCGAGTCTTTAGAGCTGTATGGTGTATCGACCCTACAGAATCCCGGACAGCGCATGAGACATCTTTTTCGCCCATGAAAAGACAACGGCACCCATGATTTCTACCTATGTCAGTGCCGCATCCACCTTCGAGAACAACACCGTTCACACTACCAGTCTGGCACGTGGTGAAACTGCGAACAACAACTACGCAAAAACAACACAGTAATAGGGTGAATCTACTCCCACGCAGATGCAATGAGGAGGATGGCGACACCGACACCTGAGAAAGTTGCGTGCCCATCGTCGAAGAATCGCCACAGCAGGAGTACAATGCTGCAAAATAGTGCTGCACCATAAATTAATTCGAACACATCGGGACGACGTAACGTAAAGCACTACTGGTACCTCCACACGAACCGCCTCGTACATGACATTCGGATTCGAATTACAGTAAGTTACGGGTAGTACGATACTGCATCAAAAAATCATGCACTTCATAATCAGAGCGGTAAAAAGTTTGTTAGTCATGGATATCGAGTCATGCACGTACAAAAGAAGTCAAAAAATGCTATTTGTAGTTTTACTGCGTTAAAGATGCTGTAGATGAAAAAACCTGTTTCGAGCACGAAAGCTACTATTGCACTGGTACAAGTTGAAAATGGTGGTGAGTGAGAAAAACGAAATCACGTATCTCTCCAGTTTGTGATTCACTTGTTGGGGCAGATGACTGTGCTTCCGACAACACCCGCAAGTATCAACGATGGCTCTGCCTTGGTGCACTTCGAGTCTGGAGATAATGAATAGTACTGATTTTGATGCAGTATTTTGTCTGTTTCGATATGTGGAGATTAAAATCTCCGGTTTGTTTTGTTTTTTTGGATTGGGCTTTGCCCATGTATTTACAGCATCGATCCTTCTTTGATCAGTTCATTGCTTATTTGCCGCTCTTCTTGGGGAGAAGGATGGCGTGGATGTTGGGAAGAACACCTCCAGAGGCAATAGTAACTCCTCCCAAGAGCTTGTTGAGTTCCTCATCGTTCTTTACAGCAAGAGTGATGTGACGAGGGACAATACGGCTCTTCTTGTTGTCACGAGCGGCGTTTCCGGCAAGTTCTAGAATCTCGGCACATAGGTACTCGAGGACGGCAGCGAGGTAAACCGGGGCTCCGGCTCCCATACGGGTGGCGTACTTTCCTTGACGGAGGTAACGTCCAATACGACCGACGGGGAATTGCAAACCGGCCTTGGCGGATGCGGTTGTGGACTTCTTTTCTCCACGGCCTCCTTTTCCTTTTCCTGTGGGATGGATGGACCGGACATGGATGGTGAGAGAAGTACGGGTAGGTAAATCATTTGAAGGAGGAAAATGTAGCCAGTCACCACATCAATACAAACTCCGAGAGACGTCCAAGGAAATCATCGTCGACAATTTGATTGAAGTTGGATCAAACGTTTCTTACCAGACATGATTGATTAGTGTTCTTTAGTTGTTGTAAAAAAGTTGATGTTTTGGTTTTATGGCACATGCATTTGGATAAAGGAACGATTTGGGAATCGATCGGAAAGACGCGTTTTGATGATTGAGGCCGTTTGTCTTGTCTCAACTGCACAAAATCAACGCGCCCGAATTTTCGATCGGGATTTTGCGAGCCTGAACGACGCGCCCGATTTTTTTTATCACATTTCGTCTGGACGTCGGTCGAAAAAGAAAATCGGGATATTGCGTAGAAATAATACCAATTCTACGCTCGACCAAAGCGGCGCGATTTTCGAACGAAAGCGTCTTCGCGCTGGCAATAATACTCAGTACGATCCAAATAGGAAAACGCATCACGAAGCACGATTTGTAACAAATCTTCTACGTTGTCTACGGAAAAGCAGCTTCACTCTCGATTACTCCCAATGCTCCCACAAACCCAAAATCAAATACTTTGAAAACATCAAACTAAATTTCCAACATGGCTAAGACCCCATCCAAGAAGGCTGCCCCAGCCAAGAACGCCCCTAAGAAGGCTGCCGCCAGTGGCAAGAAGAAGAAGCGTGTCGAATCGTACTCCACCTACATCTACAAGGTTTTGAAGCAGGTTCACCCCGACACCGGTATCTCCAAGAAGGGAATGTCTATCATGAACTCCTTCATCAACGATATCTTCGAGCGCATTGCCGGCGAAGCCGGAAAGCTTGCCACCTACAACAAGAAGGCCACCCTTTCCTCGCGAGAGATCCAGACCGCCGTCCGCCTCATGCTTCCCGGTGAGCTCGCCAAGCACGCCGTTTCCGAGGGAACCAAGGCCGTCACCAAGTTCAGCTCTGCCTAAATATTCAATCATCATTGATCAACAGTTCGATCCAAAGATCGAACGCTAACCAAAAAAAACAAACCGGAGATTTTAATCTCCACATTTGAAAACAGACACTATCACTACGAAACCTTCATATTATTTTGTGCCAAGCCACTATTGAGTTTCTGAACAGACTATTAACGGCATGGGTATGAGACATCACAAGGCAGTGATCCTCATTATTGAGGCGTCACCCGACGAGCCCCAATGCTTGACGGAAGCATAGAAGTACTCTCACGTAGATAGTACGAATACGAACGCGAGATTTCTGTTGTTGCCATAGCCACGTTTGACCAGCGCGAATACGAGTGACCGATTTTCAGATAACACTATTTTTTTCCCGCCTGTCCTCGTCAGTATGATGTAACAATCGATAGAAAGTTACTAATTTATTCCTACGTCACTGTACAACCTAGAAGGCATAAGATGATAGTCAATTTTTAAACCTGTGTATTGATGATAATCCCAATCAATCCCATGATAATTCAATACTGCTGTAAGGTGACATCATGTTCAAGTTCTTCGCTCGTCCTCCAAAACGGTTACATACCGGTAGCGGACAGATTCTGTTCCGCATCACAGAAAATCATTCAAAACGCCGTCCGTTGTTTCGATCTAAGACAAGAAGGAATCCCCTTCTCTATGTCTTCTTCTGACACCGGCTTCTCGATTAACCATACAGATCCCAATAGTCTCCTCTTTTGCTTACGAATGAACGAGCAAAGCAAAAGTAGATTCTCGTTTCAATTTACTGAGGGAAGATGATACACTGCTTCAAGTTACCTTTTTCATCACTCCGCCGAACATTTCCCAACCGTAGGTCTGTGAATCGCTATTCTGGTTCGGGCACCCAGTTTTCTCCCTTATCAACCTTCACAATACCGAAATCGGTTCAGCAATGGGAAAAGCTTGCCAACGATGAACTCGCCAAATCGAAGTCGAAAAAGGTTACAGTCGATTCACTTCGAACGGAACGCATCACTCCGGAGGGAATCGAAATACAACCGGTCTATTGGAATGTTTCGCACAATGATAACGACGGCGACGGGAATGGTCCAGAAATGCCGGGAATTTTCCCCTATACAAGAGGTCCATATGCCACCATGCATACCCATCGCCCGTGGACTATTCGGCAGTATGCTGGATTTTCAACCGCAGAAGAAAGCAATGCGTTCTACAAGAAAAATCTCGCTGCGGGACAGCAGGGACTGAGTGTCGCCTTTGATTTGCCGACACATCGGGGCTATGATTCGAACCATGAACGTGTGGTTGGGGACGTAGGCATGGCAGGGGTGCCGATAGACACAATAGATGATATGGAAATTCTGTTTGATGGAATCGACTTGACCAAGGTTTCGGTTAGTATGACGATGAACGGAGCTGTGCTTCCTATTTTGGCATTTTACATACAAGCTGCTATCGAGCAACATATGAACGATGACGATGACATGACTCAGAGTGAGGTTATGGCTAATTTGAGAGGAACGATTCAAAATGATATTCTCAAGGAATTTATGGTTCGCAATACTTATATCTATCCCCCAGAACCGTCAATGCGGATCATTGGAGATATCATGGGCTACACCGCAAAACACATGCCAAATTACAACTCCATCTCGATTTCTGGGTATCACTTACAAGAGGCTGGCGCCGATGCGGCACTCGAGTTGGGATTTACTATTGCGGATGGTCTCGAGTACCTACGGACTGCTGTAGACGTTGCCAAGCTGGATGTTGACAAAGTCGCACCAAGGCTCTCATTTTTCTGGGGTATTGGTCTAAATTTTTACACAGAGGTAAGAAACTAAACGAGAGGTAGAGATGCGCCAGTTGTTGCATTTCTCTTATAGAAGTTTGCAATATTTTTTCTCCTTTAACTGTTTAGATCGCGAAAATGAGGGCAGCAAGGTAGGATAATTTTGCGGAATTTTGTTTAGTTTCTGCCGAAAGTACGAATGTGAATGTGATTATCCACTCATTGTTGTTCGTCGTTCGAATCCTATCATGATTTGTGTGTTCGTAGGAGGTTATGGGCTGAATCGGTGAAGGAAAAATTCAATCCGAAGAATCCCAAATCGCTTTTACTGAGAACCCATTGCCAAACTTCTGGATACACGCTGACGGAGACCCAGCCGATGAACAACATTGTTCGAACAACAATTGGAGCCATGGCAGCCATACAAGGTGGCACACAAAGCCTCCACACGAATTCGTACGACGAAGCCATTGGTAAGTGCTCATGAAGGGATCGAAATTCTTTCTCAGAAATAAGAAACGGTTCTAACGCCTTGTCTTCCGTGTGTTTCAATAAAATTAACCCAGGCCTTCCAACGGAGCAATCTGCTCGGACAGCAAGAAATACGCAGCTCATACTCCAGGAAGAGACGGGGATAACTGACGTTGCTGATCCATGGGGGGGGAGTTTCATGATGGAATCCCTTACAGATGAACTTTACAACAAAGCGAAATGCATCATGGACGACGTGGAATCGAAAGGCGGCATGACAGCTTTTGTTAACGACGGGCATGCCAAACTCCTTATGGAGGAGAGCGCCGCGAAGAAGCAAGGAAGAATTGATTCTGGTGTCGACGTTGTAGTTGGCGTGAATAAATACCGCTTGAGTGATGAGGAAGAACAGGAGGAGAAAGTGGATGTATTGAATGTTGATAATTCCGCGGTCCGAAACAAACAGATTGCACGCATCAACGAAGTAAAAGCGTCTCGCAACGACAGCGAGGTGAAGGATGCCCTAGCCAACCTTGAAAAGAGTGCTCGAAGGTCCGACAGCACCAGCAGTGCAGACGATCCAAACAATCTACTCCACCTATGTATCGCTTGCGCCAAAGCAAGGTACGTGTTTATCGAAAATTGTACTTCTCTTGCTTGATGATCATAGCACCATCCACACGGCTTTATACACTCATATATTTATCATTGTGTCTTGCATTTCTCTCCCATTATGTCGTTTGTGGCCTAACCTTTGAAACGGAAGGTGCACCGTTGGGGAAATGTCCCAAGCTTTGGAAAATGCATGGGGAAGACACGTCCCTTCGACATCGATGATACAAGGAGTCTATGCTGCCTCTTTCAATTCGAGGCCTGGGGGAGGCGATTCGGAAGCCCACGGAAAATGCTCTGCCGAATACCAATCGATGCTAGACTTGGTTGAAGAATTCGAGGCTGCCGAAGGTCGACGACCAAGAATACTCGTTGCGAAAATGGGCCAGGACGGTCACGACCGCGGAGCCAAGGTCATTGCAACTGGCTTTGCCGACTTGGGATTCGATGTGGACATCGGCCCACTGTTTCAGACCCCCCGCGAGGTAGCCCTGCAAGCAATAGACTCAGATGTGCATATCATTGGTGTTTCCAGCCAGGCAGCTGGTCACAAAACCTTGCTGCCTGCCCTCCAACAGGAACTGAAGGAGCTTGGAGCCGATCACATGGTGGTTGTTGCAGGTGGTATTATTCCGTCTCAAGATTACGACTACTTGTTGAAAGAGACCAAGTCCTGTGCCGCTATATTCGGGCCTGGAACCAGAATTGTCGATGCTGCTAGGGAAGTCTTGAACGTAATTCCTTTAAGTCATCAATAAACAGCAGTACCCGTAGCATCGTGATGACCTCGATCGAATAATAATCGTTTACATCGACTTCAAAAAGCAAGAGAAGATGCCAGTTGGGGGTTCAGATAATTGAAACGATCACGTTAGCATCAGTAGTGGTGTGATGAAATATAAATTGAAATTAAATGTGAAGTTTTTATTTTGTTTATTTGTCTCAACTTATTACTGGCATGAAGGCTGTCATAGCTCAACTTAGATTTACACATGAGAGTGTGGAGTACAGTTGCATTTGACACATAGACCTGGAGCAACAGAGATACAGCAATGTTGATGATGAGAAACAATTGACACAACAATTTCCGTGAAAACTAAGCTACAGTGATATTACTAGGGAGTTCGATGACAGTTTGTTCGGATCGTCTGTTTCACCATGTGGAGATTAAAATCTCCGGTTTGTTTTGGGTGTTCTATCGCAATTGCGACTGGTTCATTGACTGAATGCTTAAGAGCGTTCGCCACGGATACGGCGGGCCAACTGGATATCCTTAGGCATGATGGTGACACGCTTAGCGTGGATGGCACACAAGTTGGTATCTTCGAAAAGACCGACCAAGTAGGCCTCGGCGGCTTCTTGGAGGGCCAAGACGGCAGATCCTTGGAATCGAAGATCACTCTTGAAATCCTGGGCGATCTCACGGACCAGACGCTGGAAGGGAAGCTTTCGGATGAGGAGGTCGGTACTCTTCTGGTAACGACGGATCTCACGAAGAGCGACGGTTCCGGGTCGGTATCTGTGGGGCTTCTTGACTCCTCCGGTGGCGGGGGCAGACTTTCTGGCTGCCTTGGTGGCGAGCTGCTTGCGGGGAGCCTTTCCTCCGGTGGACTTGCGGGCGGTTTGCTTGGTTCGGGCCATTTTGACTCTTTAGTTGATGAAAGATTTGTTGAAAAGTGTTTCAAAATAATTTTGTGAGGGGATTGCGAAGCGAGGAAGACGACGAATTCTTTCATTCGTGCAGTCCACCATGCCGTGTAGTAAAAGTACGGCCTTCGATTGCGACACAACAAGTACTGTACTTCGTATTCATACGGTAGGCAAAACGGCGTTGGATGCAGAAACGATCGTACAATCAAGTACGTAGCACGAGGTACTACCGCTTCTTCTACCAGAGACTAGAAGGGCATGGCTGGCGCTCCTCATTTAGCGCAAACTATCGAACAGAACCCTCGCTCGTAGACATAGTATAAATTTCTACTTGCAATTTTTAATTTCAAATACTGGCGCGGGTCGCGCTGCTTTTTTCTCCTTCTCGAAACCCCCGAAAAATTTCGGGCGCGGCCGTGCGCCACCTTTCGGGAATATCCCTTCGTAACAATACTACGAAATACTACATACGCAAATATAGTACTGAAAATTCGTTGAAAAACGGAGAGAGCCGCGGGCAGTTGTAGAAAGCAGCAGCAGTAGCAGCGAAGAACGACCCGAAACGGACACAGCAGCAACATTGCAACATCCGCAACATCGAAACCCAAAAACATCGACCTCCCACCTCACGCTCACAAAACAAAAGGTGAGACATTCGAATTGTCAAATCAAGACAACGTCTATTATCAAAAGTGACAAGAACCTGCATTACAGACGACACACCATCGCTGTTTGGACTTGCACGGTGTCCAGCACACACTGTCCTTTTGAGTGTACCCAAGCACAATTGTTTTCTAACTTCGTGCCGTCTTGTTAAACTATTTGTCCACAGAAATCTTTAGAACAAATCAAAAACTAATACATCATGTCTGGAAGAGGAAAAGGAGGAAAGGGACTCGGAAAGGGAGGAGCCAAGCGTCACAGAAAGGTCCTCCGTGATAACATCCAGGGTATTACCAAGCCCGCCATCCGTCGTCTTGCGCGTCGAGGTGGTGTCAAGCGTATCTCCGGATTGATCTACGAAGAAACCCGTGGAGTCCTCAAGGTCTTCCTCGAGAACGTCATCCGTGATTCCGTCACCTACACCGAGCACGCCCGCCGTAAGACCGTCACTGCCATGGACGTTGTCTACGCCCTCAAGCGTCAAGGACGTACCCTCTACGGATTCGGTGGTTAAAAAATCTATTTTCTACCAAAACGTATCGATTCGACAAAAACAAAAAAACAAACCGGAGATTTTAATCTCCACATTTTTGAAACAGACACCACCCAGACGTCACAATGCGTCTTTTGTATTAGTAGCTATCAAGAATTAAGACTCCTGGAGAACGGCAAAAGTGTAGTTTGAGCAGACGAATTCTCAAGTAATTGTCGTTTGTGCGGTCCACCATACAGCACAACTTGCAATACTACCTTGGAATACCCTCCAAGGCGTCCAATTCTCTTGATTCGTTTAAAATGTTGATCCAACAGCAACTCCAATACGGTAGTTATATTTAATGCAATTGAATTAAATAGCGTTTCTACTTGTACATATTTTATCTTATCTTACCCTTCCTATGTACGACGTCAAGTTACCCTCTCAAAATATCTTTGTACCGATCCACCCGAACGAATTCGGTAATGAAACGTGCGTGATCTTCCAGCGACTCAATTTCATTTTCGTGGCATCAATAATCAATAGTATCTTTGGAGACACCGTGCCAGCGTTTCGTCTATCCTCGGTCGCGTCGCTTTCCAGTCATACAGAGCGACTAATGAACAGAACATGGGATTGAAAACGATTGCCACTTATGGCCTCGGAAAAGGCAAGGCGGGATCGAGAAGGGTGTCCCTTAGGATTGCCCGGGGCTCGGTCCTCGACTTCTCCGCCAACGAAACGGCTCCGTCCGCAGGGAACCGCACCGGCGCGATCGTCAACGCCGCCAACGAGGGATGCCTCGATGGGGGCGGCGTGGACGGGGCCATCAACAAAGCCGGCGGCCCCGCGCTGTGGAAGGACCGCAAGGCCCTGCCGGTGGTGGCAAGGGGAAACGTTCGCTGCCCCACCGGCCACGCGGTGGTGACGGGACCGAATTCCTACGGGGCGCTGCACGTTCCGTACGTGGTGCACGCGGTCGGGCCACCCTACGCCCACTTCGACGAGGACCGGTTTCCCGAGCTCGACGCCGCGTTGAGGTCGGCCTATCGGCAGTCGCTGGACCGGTGCCGGGAAGAGGGCGTCACCGACGTTGCCTTTTCGTTGCTTTCCGCGGGCATCTTCCGGGGCAGCCGGGGCCTTCCGGACGTCCTAGCGATAGCCGCGGAAGCGATCCGAGACTGGGTGGACGACGCCGATGGATTCACCACCGATGCGGCGAACGCTGCCGCCGGTTCTAGTCCCGACGGCCAAGACGAGAGCGAGGTGCCGTCTCGCTCTCGCCCGCATTGCTTGGAGAGCGTTACACTCTGTGGCTTTTCCGAAAAAGAACTCCTTGCGTTGACAACAGTGTGCCAAGCTTTGTTTGCAAAAGGCGACGACGACCAAGACGGAGAGGAGGACGAAGAAGATGACCCAGACCGCAAAGTGGAGGAGGACAACTAGACCGCGACAAAAAATAATCCCGCGAAGAGACCACAACGACAGAGCAAAAGCCATGTCTCGTGGGATGAAGTTGTGGGGTCTCATTAGCCTTTGCTAGACATGTGATTTGTATTTATTGCACAAGACTATACCACAATAGAATGTTAGAAAAAGGAAGAATAAAATTGATCAAGATTATTGCCGAAAAATATTTTAAGGGGTAGTACTACGCAGTAAGTGATTATAGCGTGTTTGTCTCGTTCGAGAAGGATCCATGCCATTCCATATTGAAAGTGAATCATTTGTCGCCCTATTCTTTCTTGTCGAACGACGAGACGATGGTCCATTGGACTTCATCTCCGAACTTCAGCGGCGTGACCTTGTCTCGGCCGAATTCATAGGTCACCGGCACCTTCCATGGCTTTCGCTCCAGCGTCATCGTCTCGGTGTTGCGCGGGAGTCCGTAGTGGTCGGCTCCCCAGGAGCTGCAAAAGTCCTCGAGCTTGTCCAGGCAGCCCGCCTCGTCAAAGACCTGGCAATAGATCTCGACGGCGCAGTGGGCCGAAAAGACCCCGGCGCAACCGCAGGCCGAGAATTTGGCGTATATGGGGTGGGGGGCGCTGTCCGTGCCCAGGAAAAACTTGGGCAGCCCACTGGTAGCGGCCTCCACGAGGGCCTTCCGGTGGATCTCGGCCTTTTGGAGGGAAGTAGTGGCGTCGAGTCGGTCGCAAACAAGGCACGAGTGTTAGTTTGTGTTCTTTCTTTCCGTTCGTGTCTTCAGAACCCACACGGAAATTGTCTTACCTTGAGAATCGGGAGGCAGTACAAGTGCGGACGAATCCCTCCGACGAGCATGTCTGAAAGGTTGGATTCGAGCATTTAGCAATGGTGGGTGGGATATACGTTGCACAAACAAAAAAACAAAAAATGTGAGAAAATATTCGCTTGATCTGGATTCAGATCTCATGCACCATATAAAGTGGAAATAGGTTGTGAGGCTCTCTTGATGTGTTTTTTATTTTTTCCTGCAAGAAATTTTTCGTTTTCCTGCAAGAAAGAAAGTGTCGTTCGTCACACTACATTCACTGAGAGAAAGACAACCACAGCAAGTGACTTATTCATTTGTGAGATTGTGTCAATACCTACGATTCCGATTGTAAATCAGGTGCTGGGGCGTGATGCTCGCCTTGATGTTCGATGGTGCTTCGTTCATCACGTATTCCACCGCCTCCTTGGTGCTGATGTGTTCCATGGTCATTTTGAGGGTCGGAAAGTCCTTAACCAGCGGTTTCATGATTTCCTCGATAAAGACGGGTTCCCGTTCGAAAATATCGGCGTGCGTGACCTCTGAATGAATGCAGAGCATCATCCCAACCTCCTGCATCGCTTCCAGAACCGGGTAGATAGCTTTGACGTTCGACACTCCAAAGGCAGAATTGGTCGTAGCTCCTGCCGGGTAGTACTTGCAGGCGATAATAGTCGGTGTCCCATCAGAGTTCTTCATCGCGGCTGCCTTTCTGATTTCTTCCGGATCCGTGTTGTCGGTGAGATAGAGCGTCATCAGGGGTTGGAAGTATGCTGGATCTTGCCCATTTTGCGCTAGTGCGGACATGATGCGCTCCTTGTATTCCAGGGCGAGTTTGATGGTGGTGACGGGGGGTTTCAGGTTCGGCATCATCAGACAACGACGGAATCGAGGGTATGCGTGTTTCAGCACAGATGCTGTCGGCGGACCATCTCGGCAATGGTGGTGGAAGTCGTCGGGGTAGCGAATAGTGATCTTTTCGTTTTCCGTCATCGTGGTGTCTTGCTGCGCGCTACGAATCTATTTTGCAAGTGAGATAAGATCACCACCAAGGGTTGTTCGAAAGTGATGTGTTGCGGAATTATGGTGATGCGATCCTTCGATATGGATTCGGGGAGGATTGATTTGATGTTCTGAAAAATTTCATGGCATAAAGACGTTTGACATCTTCTCGTACGTCCGCCATCCGTCGTCCGTCTGCGCGCCAAAATTTCTGGAGATTTTTTGGATCAAGAAAAAATCATTGATTTTCTTTGCGCGATGTTCACGGCCGCAAGACAAAACATTACGCATTGCCATTGGCACCAGAAACAACAGGATATGATAGAAAGGCAATATTATTTTTGCATTCAATACTGCTGTGGCGTTTGGTAAGGACAGGGTGAGCCTCGACAACCCATAACGCACATACTATCGCAGCATCCAAATTTTCGAGCACGATGTCTGACGAACAATCTCAATGTCAATCCCATTCCGAGTCGAAGGCCCTCACGGACAACCCGGTGTTTTCATCGGCTGCTTTGTGTGTGGTTTTAAACCACCTCGGCCAGAGTTTTAGACCTGAGTACACCCACCAGCTTGTCGAAGGCGAATGTTGGCGGGGGTACAGACCTATCGCATCGGTCCTTCGAGCAGCGAATAGCAGCTACGAAAAGTCCGTGACCAACGGAAAGGAGCAACAATCCTCGCTTTCATCATCGACAACGGCAACGACACCCGATCAATCCATCTTGCACAAATCCCACGGAAACCACAGCTCAGCCGCGAGCGAATTGGAGATCACGGTGGAGATAGCTCCGTCGTGCCAAACATGCTGTGTAGAGATCAAACGTGCCGAAAGCAAACGCGACAATCAAAATTGCGACGATGAACCAGCGACGAAACGACTAAAGACAGCATTGGATTCCGTATCTCGGTCAGAAGGCAATACAAGTTCGCCTGAGAATATTACCTCGTTGTCCTGTCAAGCTCCAATGACAGATTCCGAGATCATCGGCGCCTTGTCGAAGGCATTGCCACGAATAATTTCCGCAAATGCCGACGTCAAAAAAAGCTTTCTTTCCAAACCAATTGGCGATATCGTGGAGGAGTATTCGATTCCTGCAACCACACAAAGTGAGAATAGTCCTTCTGCATCGGCTGTAGAATTCGTTCTTACCGTTGCTGATGGGAAATTGCCAGAGGTGACCGAATACCAAGATTCCGTGCAAAAACTGTCTCTGTTTTACATCGAGAATGCGGATACGGTAGATGTTGGGAAGGATGGTGACGGTGGATTTTGGAAGATCCTGTACCTGTTTCGAAAACATACTCTACCCGCTTTTGACAACAAATCGGGTTGCGAAGATGGTGATGCAAAGGAAAAGACAAAGAAATATCAATTTCAATATTCGCTGGTGGGTTACGTCACCCTTTTTCATTTCAATGCCCTATTCCACAAACCTGAGCCGGGGTGGATTCTCCGTATTTGTCAAGCACTGGTCTTGCCACCCTTTCAGGGCCAAGGCCACGGGAAACGGCTCATGCAGGCCGTTTACAGCATGGCTCACTGCACGAATAACACAGAAAATGCGAAAAGCAGCCACAACATTGTTCAAGTGAACGTGGAAGACCCGGCTCCGGCGTTTATTGCATTGAGAAACAGCATGGACTGGAATCTTGTTCGGGAGCATCACCAGGAATGGAATTGGCCACAAAAAGGATCTTTAAGAGAAGAAAATTCCAAGATGGTGGCACCAGCGGACGAGCTTGTTTTGTTCTTTTCTGCCATGACCGAAAAGGAGGCAATGGAGGTGAGCACCAAAGCCAGGATCACTCCGAAGCAAATCCATCTCACAAACGAGTTGCTAAAACTACAGGCGGTCCGTAATTTTCTCGATGAAGAAACAGTTAGTAGCGGAGACAAGGAAGCTATTGAACGGTATTTTCGTTTGATGGTCAAGAGACGTCTGAACAAAGACCATAGGGATGAACTCTTGGAATTACCTAGCAAGGACGATCAGAAAGCCAGGTTGGCAGCGCTCTTTGCGGAGGAGGTAAAGGGTTACGAACGAATTCTCACTAAAGGATAATGCAATCTTTACCTTCCGGCGTCTGTCGATTTCGCTTCCTTTCTTTTCCTTTGTGTCTACATGAACCACTTGAAATTCTCCTTTGCATCCTTACGACTCCCATGATAGAAGCGAAGTTGATGTACCTATGAAAATTCTTTGATATATAACTTTTGTTTTAGGGGCAAAAAAGCAAATATTTGTTTTACTTTCTCCCACAGCTTTGTTGCATCTTATTGCATTGCATATCAGGTAGCGAGTACGCAAATGAAAATCTATTGGTAGCAGTAGCAGTAAACTTATGTACAAATTCCGTCGTGTTGACTATCCGACAACCTCGACCTTCTTTGCCGCATCAACTCCCCCATCAGAATTCGAATCAACACTACCCCGCATTCGATTGATCAGTTTGCCTTTGCGTTTCTCGAGGAACTCATTCCATTGATCGCGGTGATCATTGCGAGCATACGCAAAAGGAGTGTTTCCGCGAACATCTTCTGTAAGCAGCAAGGCCGGATCGGCGTGGTCTATCAGCAGGTCCACAACGTCGAAATTTGGAGTCGACGTCCACAGTGCATCGTGAAAGGGATTTCGCCCAAAGTCATCGCACCGATCTGTTCTCACCTTCACTTCCACTAAAAGAAATTCGACAACCTTGCGGTAACCTCTTCTGCATGCCATGTGCAAGACAGATTCACCAAATTGATTGCATGCGTCCATGCTTTTCCCACTTTGCCATAACTGCCGAAGTAAGTCTAGGTTGTTCGATCGAATCGCCTTGACTGTCTCAAGATCGTATGCAGCGATGTCTACCTCTGAAGGTTTCTGAAAGGTGAGTGCTTTTGGCGTTGTTAGTGATGTTGATTTTGGTGTTGTCATCTGTTGTTGTACTGCCGCCGAGGAGTTTTCACTGCTGCTGCCGTTAACAGCATCAGCAGATGAAAGTATTGTTTGAAGCACATCAAGAGGTTTACGTTTCGTGACCTTAGGCTTGACGGTTGCCGCTGAGGAATCCGATGGTGTTTGCATAGCTATTGATGTTGTTGCTTTGTTAGTTTTGGGTTTAGCTTTCGTGTGGACAACCCTGGGTTGTTGCGCAGGAACTTTTGATGTTATGGGGACAAGATTGTTGCCGGTATAAGGCATTAGCTTCGGTGCTAATGTCATCTTTCGAATGAATTTTGATTGAATGACTGATCGTGATGTATTCGAATGACGTGATGTTATTTGTTCTTTTCTACTGCCAATGGATTGAGCTTGTGTTCAAACAAAGAGCAGTGCTCCCGTGGTATTTGTTCTTTTGAAGTGTATCGACCTGGCACATAGATGTATGCATCATTCGCGTGTCCAAAATTTTACGGATGCTGTGGTTACGATAGGAGCGAAAACGTATAGTAGGTGATGGGTTGATACCAATTTATGTCGCTTATTTCTGCGTATTTGTCGAGAACATGTCGAAACGTACGAAATAATCAAATTGCTGGCGATCGCAGTCGTAATTCTGGCATCCAGTACACCACGCACTATACGTGAACAACACGGGATAACGTATGTGATGTCGCTTGCCTCCGAGAGAGCTCACAGTATGCGTGGTCTAGAAGACATCAAGGTGCAATGCCGACGGAAGCTGGAGCAACAATTTGGAAAGTACGAGTACGAAGACTTTTTGTGAAACGATTTGTGATGTGGCAGAATTAAACACGTAGCAAATAGTTGTCAATGTGTCGCAAACATGTCGTACGGGTTCGCCTATTGAAGAACCATGTAAGTAGAAATCAACCGATATTGCATTGAGTGTTTTCATAGGCCACAATCCCTATTACAGAAATAGTTCTTCTTTGTGACGTGTAAGGGGATTTGATTTTAGAAGAAGAAGAATCTATTCACGACTTCGGTCGTACCAAGGCAATAGGAGAAAATCTGTAACGGCGTGGTCTAATGTTCAGCATATTGGGTGATTCCCGTTAATAGATGTGCTACTTTTGATAGACTGACAGACCGAAAATTTAGCACATCTAATAACAAAATATATTTCTTTTGACGAAGGTCAAACTGGTGTTATCAAACATAATAAATTTGATGATGGAACTCACCAATGAGTCGGTTGAACTAGTAGTAGTACTCAAGAGGATTCCAACAGATTCCCAACTGCTGCAACAGCAGCCAGCCTTCCTCTCAGTCTGTCCGTTGAAATTTTGATTCCCATTATTACTACTACTACTATAAGAAGAAGTAATGAAAGTGTTAAATATACGAGTTTAGCACATCTGCATCTATGCACGAGATTACGTGTACCTTCTTAGTAGGTGTTAAGTGTGTATGAAAATTGAATTATAAGATTAGAATTATTCGAAGATTACCAAGSGCRTTCACKAGAATTMCGAAGTTCTGATCAGAAGCTCATGTAGACCTGGTAGGGATTCTACATGAAGCTCCTCTATTCCGGACTCGTGACATCTCTGTTCTTCGTGAGGTATTCTTGAATAGTATCTTAGACCTCTTACGATCCTCGGTCCTCTTACGACACATCCTATGATACATACATAGGAAGTGTACCTTACGATAGGTACGTAGGAATGGTATGATCCTTCATTCCTTTCTTCGGAGCTTCGTATCGTAACGATTCATCGGTACGTACGTCCGTTGCATTATCTATAATAATGGGAATCACCCATTGCACCATCAGAGGAATCGATTACACCAGGTACAAGTTGTACAGTACTCGTAGTAGTGGTAGTAGTGGTAGTAGTAGTAGTAGTAGTAGTAGTAGTAGTAGTAGTAGTAGTAGTAGTAGTAGTAGTAGTAGTAACAACACAGCATTTTCAAAAAATAGCTCTGTAGTAGAACCACCACATGATATTAGTACACCTTGTCTGAGGATGAGTCTATTATAAACCTAAATAATAATTAACTTCGTGAACTAGTAGAAGAAGAAGAAGCACTAGTATGGCCAGAACCATTCCTGCACCCAAGTGGAAGAATGCACCTAGTAGCTGATCCAAAGAGTGGTGCTTCACTCCAACAAGGAGTCTTTCTGAAAGTGACCAAGTGGGGATTCAAATCCCCACCCTCAGCCTATCCCTGGGGTGTTACTATCTAAATCATAGGATAAATCCTCATTACACCTTGTCTGATGAGTACTAGTACTACTACTACTACTAGAAAAGTCCAAAATAACTTTCAATTGCTGTGAAACAAGCAGGAGTTCTTCTTGTTAGTACTAACAAGAATTTAGAATTACTAGTTGTTCTTCCTACTACTACTTGTAGTACCACATCGTTGGTGTTACTGTATCATTCAATTGTTATGAGATGCATTGTACTATGATGGCATTGCCAGTTACTAGCAGTACTAGTAGTAGTAGTAGTAGTAGTGACCTACTAGTATGAGGACTACATCTAGTAGTAGAAATGCCAACTTATTCTTGATTGGTGGTTCCCATTAGCACTACTCTTACTAAAAGTAATACTAGTAATTTAATAGCATGATAGGTGATTCCCATGAAATCTTCAAGCTTCAGCAACATGGAATGACAAAAGACCACATTGAAAATGGAGCTGCTACCAATTGCTCCTGATTCAAGTAAGGCTCAGAGGAGGTATCAAATCAAACCAGGCAGAGAAGAAGCATTCCTTTTACAACAAGGTCAAATGCCACCAACTGAAACCTGTTGCATTACCTGAAGCAGTACAGTTTGACAGCATCCTTTTTAGTTTGCATGGTGGTGCTTGTGAAGGGGGGAGCAAAAGCATCAAGTTTAGATGGGATTCTAAGGATCTTTCTTTCCATGAGGACATTGCAAACACTATGACTCTTAACAGGTGGTATGAAATTAAAAGGAACTTGAAGCTGTGGAAGAATGATGCTGAACAGCCTTTTTGTTAAGACCCTAACAATGGCAATGTGACATACAAGTTTGATTTCAACTACCAGACTATTGTGACCAACATGAACTATTTCACTAAAAGGGCTGACTTACTAGACCTCTGTATTGACAAGACCAGCTGGCCCTAGTATCAAGGATTTGGCTGTCCTCTTGTTTACTATCTCAAAGGAAAGATGATTAGTACAAGAGGCAGACAGACCGTTCTCATATCTGATGTTCATTGAATCTGCCTTCACGAGATCCTTCTTTTTCAACCAGGTCTTCTTTAAACAACCAGCACAGGTCTCACTCAGCTCCTGTAAATTACTGAGCCACATCTATACGATGCATCCTTATTGAGGCCTTCCACAAGAAAATCTGGTGTTTTGAGTTTCCCAGTATGCTTGTTTTGCTGCTTGCTTTTTTTAATATCCTCCATTTTTAGCAGGGGTCTCTTCCTTCACAGGATGTATTGTTCTCGATCGATTTAAGGAGAAAATTTTGTGAGCTAAAAATAGTATTTGAGGTGCAAAGTGGTGTCTGTTGTGGGACTGGGTCAAAGTAGACTTTACACTGTAGTAAAAAGATGGCCCAAAATGGATGCACAGTAGAAAAACAAGTAGAATATTATCAAATGGTCAACTCACTCTAAAAGCTATATCTTGGTCCCCAACACCAGATGTTCAACAGCAGAGATAAGCACACCATTGTGGTGTTCCTAATGAAGAGAGGAGGAAGATGGCTGTGTGGTGGTGGTGGGGGAGCTTCTTAATGATATACGTGTACATATATCTAACATTAAAATGTAAGATTAAATCAGCTATTTTTGAATTGTCACAATTATACAATAAGAAAAAATTCTTGGTAGTGTTTGCACTCTAGCCTCTCTCACATCTGTCCCCAACACTAGCCAAATTACAAAGTATTTTCCATCCTTGTTTCCTCACAGCACCAGTAAACAGCAACCACCAGAGAGCATTACACAAGATTGGCTTATCTTCTTTGATATCTACTTTGCCTACAATCCATTCTGACATAGTTTTTCAACCAAACAACAAAACCAGCCCACCCCTCCTTAACCTCCTGTGGTGCCTCCATTGTCACCAGCACTTCTCCTGGTACTAGTAGTACTAGGAGGGAGTTGCCGCCCCTTGTTGGAGCAATTACTAGAAGCATTCTGGTCCTCAGCATCATTAAATTAACAATGGGAACTTTCTTAGTGCTGGGATCACTTGTTATGATATCCGTAGTACTATGATACTAGTAATAGTACTAGTACGTGTCCAGTCACCAGCACAATTGATTGCAGCACTACTACTAACAAGTAACAAGAAAAAGGTGGTGGTTCCCTTTGTTAATTTCTTAATGATGCCATCCTTAGCACAGTAGAACACAGTATGAAATCTACTGAGGAGGTAGTTTGCAACTATTCTGTTGGTGGAGAATCAATCCTGCTTCTTTTTCAGAAGGCAAATCATGCTGAAAATTTTGGGGAGCAACACTCTTTAGAGCTCATTAGAATTTGTACTAAAAAAAATAACGACTTTCTTAGTGCCACAATCAACTGTTACTGGATTCGTAGTATTCGTAATACAATACGGTAAGAAGCGCTCAACCAACGGAAGTTATTTTAGATGGAATGGAGAAGGCAGCACGACTGCCCGTGGATTGTCACCTTGATTTGCGTTCTCGATTTAGTTCCCTCGAACAACTAAGAACCTAAAAATATTGACCAATCAGCGCCAAGAACTTGTTTCTATTCTTCCATGCGACCAAAATCTGCTAAATCCCATTGGTTCTGTGTCAATCAGACACAAACCCAAATGGTTTTTCTGCTCGGCACTTTTCATGTTCTAGGAAATAGAGAATAGAAGAGCCTTCTCGTGTGTTTTTTGTGATGGATCCACGGCGTTAGGATGTCATGGGTATCGTACAAAACATACTGTACCATACCGTACTCCGATCCATTGAAGCGTCATGACATCCTAATTCTTTTATGTTTTCAGCATTTGAGCTCTCGAAAAAGCAGGCGGAAGATATCGACACAATTTAATTATCGGGGACGGCGATAGATTAAGTCCTCACGTTCGACTCCTAACTAGCAAATATCACAAAACAATATCATCCTACCATTGTACATTTACCATGAGACGCGTTTCTTCTCGCCAACGTTTGGTATCTTGGGATGCTTTCGATGCAACCGCTGTTTCTGATTCCGGAAGCGGCAATGACTCTTCGGTCGGGGGATTTGAGGAAGATGATCGATCGTGTGCTTCTGGATACGAAACTGCGTATTCACGATCCTATCACTCATCGATGGCTCTGAATATGCTCTGCGAAGGAAATCTTTACATCAGCAACAGCATTGATAATACAAATAGCATGGAAGAAATAACGGGAATCGACGCGACGACAGAGCTAAGAAGGCGAAAAAGAGACCGGAAATCGTCGCGTTCTTCACCTACTGAGCGTGCTAATAGTTCCAAGATGGTCGAGACACCAAAGACTTTTGTATTCACAACTCTCTCCACGTCAAAATCCCCAAAACTCGTTCCATCGCACTCCTGGGAGACTGGCAAACCGCCGCCGCCGTCGTCCGTTGGATTCGATGACATGATTAGCGATTTACACCTCAAGATATTCTCGTTCCTAGATTTGTCATCACTGCGATCGGCAATGTATTCCAGTCGCCACTATCGAAATTTGATCATCTCCAATGATGCAAGGAACAGTCTCTGGATGGATCATTGTGAAAAAATTTGGCACATTTCAGAATTTATGGAAGAAAGTGGACAGAATCAATACCATTTTCAACCCCATCCAAAATTCACGGACAACTTCCATCTACCAATAGCTGCTCATACTAGCACTGTGACCAATTCCACTGGATTTGAAACTGATCCAGTAGACACCACAAATATTTCCTTGCTACTCAGCTTGACACCAAAAGATTTTCCTACCTGTGTCGACAAAGATGCTTTAAAGTCACGAATGCAGCTCAGCGGTACCATTCGGCAAACTATTCCAGTTGATCGACAGGACGACGAGGACCAACAGGTTCAGTATTATAAAGAACAATCGACGGGTCGTTCTCTCATTCGCTACACCGGATACGTTGGCCAAGGTGACCGATGCATTCGTTCCAATCGTCCTATTCCAAGACCATCACAACGAGCTCGCTTAAACGAGACCTTTGAAAGTGCCAAAGATATAAACGAAATCAATAGCAGTCGGAGCCTAATGAATTCCATTGGTCCGTCGTTTTTGCACATTGACGACTCGCACCACCCATTGTTGTACAGTCTTCTACAGAAATGCAGTTCCAAGGCCATGAAGGGTGATGGCATGAAATCTTCCAAGTCGTCGTCATCGTCAAACTCATCGGTGCTTTCGCCACCATCCCCATCGCTCGCATGGACCCCCTTTGTCGTGCCGTTTGTCGACAAGAGCAGCAGCGACGATAATAGCACGTTCCTGAACGTAACTCCTCGTTTCATTTCGTATTACGAAGTGAGCATTTTGAAACAGGATGGAGGTGAAAACCAGGCCGACTTTCCAGCAGAACGAATGGTGCCACCACCTCTCCATCGAAGGAGCAACATGGATTGTGTAGCAGTTGGTCTCGGAACGAAAGACTTTAACAATCGAACCAGAATGCCCGGGTGGGATCGACAATCCTTTGGGTATCACGGTGACGATGGTGGGATTTTTCACGCTTCTGGAGGAATGCTGAAACAATACGGACCCAAGTTTGGTCCTGGAGATACGGTGGGATGCGGTGTCGATTACATTTCAAAGGGAATATTTTTTACATACAACGGCAAGTTTCTAGGCTATGCATGGAACAACGTCAGCGATGATATCTTAAATAATGACCTATACCCGGTGGTGGGACTCGACACCAATTTTGCGGTCCATTTGAATTGGGGAACAAGCGGCCCGTTTGAATTTGACCTATCCAAATTCATTAAAAAACATGAGGTAGCGGTCATGGCAACATATTCCCTGGATGGGTGCTCGTGCCTTTGTCCCCGTGATACTACTGTCACTGGCGCAACCGCAGCAGAAACAGATTCTTCTACGAAGAAGGTTGCCCGATCGTTTTCCGGCCGTTCGACGTCGAGACGACATCGAAAGGGTTTCATTGGGAAACGCAACCAATCAAGATAGTGTGAATGGAATGCCTAAATCATTTGTTTCTCTGAAGAACAGTCGTTGTCAGTCCGTAGTATAGTATGTGTGGTAGTATTGGAAAAAGAAATGTAAAACAAACAATTTCAGTAGTGTGTGTTTGAATTTTTTAAGCAGAAAAAAATCAATTTCGAGTTACCGCTCGAAATGGAATTCCATTAGAGTCCTTGCTAAAGGACTTATTCGGAGCAGCATGTTCCCAAGGAGCGTTTTTATTTGTGATAACCAGAGCCCTTCTGTATTTCTGTCGCTCTGTAAATTTGTTCGATCAAGAGAAGTCTCGCAAATTGATGAGTGAACGTCATCGCGCTCAGACTGATTAGCATCGGTGCCTGGTCCTTTGACTTTTTACCAGAAGAATACGACGGGTATTTTAATTCCGCCGGGAGCCCCTCCGCGCCACCAATAATGAACGAGAGGCGACTGCCCCCCTCGTCCAACCATTGGTAGACCTTTTCCGAAAATTTCTCGCTCGTGGGTTGGGTTCCCGTTGGATCTAGAAGAATCACCTTGTGGTTCTTGCTTCGGTCCGCGTCAACACCCTTTATCAAAGCAGCATTGTCTTTGTGCCAAGTGGTCTCGACTTCTACGTTCGATGGACGGAGGCGCTTTTCGTACATTTCGACCCCCTCCTCTAGCCACGGCTCGCTCGTCTTCCGGCCAACGATTCGTATGTTGACCTTCATTCCCATGTACAGAACACTTCTGGTTGAATCGCTGGCATCTCTGCGTCCGTAGTGGATTGGTGACGCCGGAGAGAAGGCCAAACCTTGACGGCGGTGGCGATGCGTCCAGGAACCCGACATTCTCGTACCAAAGTAGCTGGATGCACTTAACGAGCACACCTCGGCCGCCAGTGTTGACAACGTCAGTAAGAGACAGACTATTGCCCAAATCATCTTGGGATAGGGATGAGTGCTACCTAGTCTCGAAATTGTGGTTTGCTGCTGTTTTTGATGGGATGGTTGCCAAAGCAGAACGGTTGCACAGCAATAGCAAGGGTAGTATCGCACCATCGGCCATTCCGGAAGCCATCATCTTCAGTCTACTTCCAATACTGTATCATCTAACAAAACAAAGCCATCACTTCTTTTCGGGCTTTTTTTGACATAGGTGTATCGTGCGTACTGCGTACGTTACCTCTCTTGATGTTAGTACTTTACATAGGTACAATACCAACCTATCCCACACTGCATACCGCGCGCCGGCGGGCTATCTATCCGCAAAACAGTATCGGCGTTCAGGTTTAGAGTTAAGGTTTTCTAAGTTGAAGTGTATCGCCATGTTTCCACTCGAAACTCTTTCACGTGGAACAAGAATTCGGGCTTTCGTTGTCTTCCGGTCCCCATCACGGAGATCCTGGGAAATGCGTTCTGTGAAAAACCCTTCAACAACGACGGTGTGCTCTCTGTCCTCTCGACGACGACGAAACCCAAGCTAGGGCGTTTCGTCGATACACTAAAAATCTAGATTGCCGAAAGAGGAACACAATATTCTATCCCGCCCCAAACACACCTATATATATACACACAATGAAGTTCGTAATTGCTGCTAGCCTCCTCGCCTCGGCGTCCGCCTTTTCTCTCGGACCCGCCGCCAACACCCAGGGATTCAGTTCGACCGTGAGTGCACCGAATGTCGTTGTACCGATGCGATCGTCTCTTCGTGCCCATGAGTGACTCTTGTTCGCAGTGTTCGATGTCGTTCCTTTGTGCGCGCTAACCGATGTTTGTTCCTTCAGGCTCTTTTTGCGGAAGAGGGCGGAGAAATCAAGCCCCTCCGAATCGGTACCCGGGGATCTCCCCTGGCCATGGCACAGGCCTTCGAAACCCGAAGACGCCTCCAGGAGAACTTTCCCGAAATGAACGAGGACGGTGCCATCGAAATTTGCGTCATGAAGACCCAGGGAGACATGATCCTGGACAAGTCTCTCATGGAATTGGGAGGAAAGGGACTCTTCACTAAGGAGCTCGATGTTGCCCTTCTCGGAGACGAGGTCGACATCTGCGTGCACTCCATGAAGGACGTTCCTACCTGGCTGCCCGAGGGAACCGTCCTCCCCTGCAATTTCCCCCGCGAGGACACCAACGATGCCTTTATCACGAAAGACAATGTATACAAATCCATCGCCGACCTCCCCGATGGATCCGTCATCGGAACCGCCTCCCTCCGCCGACAGGCCCAGATCCTCTCGCAGAACCCCACCCTGAAGTGCGTCAACTTCCGGGGCAACGTCCAGACCCGCCTCCGAAAACTGAACGACGGTGTCGTCGACGCCACGCTGCTGGCCATTGCCGGCCTGAAGCGAATGGACATGGACAAGTACGCCACGGCGGTCCTCGACTGGGACGAGATGCTCCCCGCCGTCGCCCAGGGAGCCATCGGCGTCCAGTGCCGGGAGGGAGACGAGCGCGCCCTGCAATACATCAACAAGCTGAACGACATGGACACCCACGTGTGCGTCAACTGCGAGCGCGCCTTTTTGGAGGCCCTCGACGGAAACTGCAAGACGCCCATTGCCGGACAGGCCCGGATCATCGACGGGGAGATCAAGTTCCGGGGGCTGATCGCCATGCCCGACGGATCCCAGAAATTCAGCGTCGAGTCCTCGGGAGCCATCGAGGACGCCGTCAAGATCGGAAAGGAGGCCGGAGAAAAGCTCAAGGCCGACGCGGGTGACAAGTTCTTCGAAATGATGGTGGAAATGTCCCCCCAGCAAGTATTGGGACAAATCACGAAATAAACAAGAAGAAAGGAATCGAACGGGATGACTCGAGGAACATTTTTTTTGAAACACCAACAACCATCACTGTAAAATCATAGAGAACATTGTTATCCAATACAGTACAGTACTTTTGCTTTTTGGTTCGCATCCTCGCAATTCGTCGTACGACGTGTGTATGTACCGATTGTTGGGTTCGGTTTCGGTGTCTCGCCTTTTCTTGGAACGAAAGGCCAAAGACCGTCGTCTCTCTGGGAACCTGGAGAGAGCCCGGAATCGCCGCACACGGGACGAAACGACACGAAACGACACACCGGTCGTCTCGATCGGGCATCCCGCAAACCACTCCGCGAGCGGTGCGCTACGGCGGGGGACGGTCCCGTCCACCGAGCGAATGCGGCTTCCGCCCTCTCGTGTTGCGCTGCCCGAGGCGATTGTGCCCCCCGCACCGCTTGTCCGGCAACGGGAAGGGACGGATTGGCTTTTTGAGGCCAACGCGATCCCGATCTACGGCAGGCGTTTGTAGAGGCATGCAAGGCATCGCAATAGAAATATAAATATAATATAGTATTTACAAGTAGTTTAGGTTGGCAAGTGCCGAATCCGGCAATGCACGACAACTTTCTGTTCCACCCCCAGCTATCTTCCACAAGGGTTCCAACTCGAGCGGTGGCTGCGAGAGCAGTGCCTTGCCGTGTCGCACGGCATGCACCACGGCAATAAGAAACAAAAGGCCTGGTGTGTCTGATGTAGCTGGTGTGCCGTATGTGTATGTGTATTTGTATGTGTATTTGTATTTGCACAACACTGCATGATCGTTTCCTGGTGGTGAGAACGAACAAGTTTGTCGCKGCACGACGGTCCCTGTTCGGTGCAAAGTGGTTCGTTCCAGCATCGTTGGCAAACGCTCTGTTGCGGGATTTGTGCGTTGCAAGGTTTGCTGCTGTGGACGCTGCGACAAGCCACAATGTTTGTTGGTTCCCGGACGTTGCCCCCCGCCCCCTCTCTTGCTCCCGTCCGGGATCTTGTCTCGTCTTTTTTCAATCTTGTTCTGGTTTTGGTTCGTTTTGTTTTGTTTCGTTTCGTTTCGTTTCCGGTGGTCCGTCCCGCTAGGTCTCCCCCATCAGGAGCCCCTCGTGCATGTCGCCGTCGGAGAAGATGACGTCGTTGAGGGCCGCGTTCCGGGCGCCGTTCCGGCCGGCCCGGCGGCGGATCCCGTGCCAGAAGGTGTACCAGGACCCCCTCAGGTAGTAGTAGATCCGGTAGCGGTTGGACATGGCCGCCCCAAAGGCAAAGAAGAAGAGGCCCGCCAGGACCAACCAGCAGGCCGTCTTGGCCAGGAGGACCAGGAGCTTCTTCCAGCCGTGGCGGCGGTGGTGAGCGGGACGGGAATCGCTGGGAGCGGCGGTCGGAAGGCCCGTCGTCGGGGCAGCAGTGGTCGGCGCAACGGTGGTCGGGAAAGGGGTCGACGGGGCCACCGTGGGAGAGGGAGACACCGACGTCGAGTTCGAGGAGGTGGCCGCGCTGGGCGCCGGGGAGGGAGACGGCGAGGGTTCCTCCGTGGGATCTTCTCCGGGGGTCGCCCTCCCCCGCAGAAGAGCGGGTTCTCTCTCGCGCAACCACCCCGAGTCGCCCGAGACCGTACCAGCGGAGGCCTCGGCACGAACCAGGAGAAGCAGGAGGAATAAGAAGAGGCGCTGTGGTGGAACCTGCCGCATGGTTTGTTGTTCTGTTCTGTTCTGTTCTGTTCTGTTTTGGGTGCGAGTTTGCTTGCTTGTTTTTGGTCCCGATGGATTCGAGGATGTGTTTACAGGTGGTGCTTTGGTACGGTTGGCCACGGGGAAGATTGGCTGCTGCTGCTGATGTTGCTGTTGGTGATGCTGGTGATGGTGACGACTCGGTTGGTCTTGTTGTTGAGGATAGCACCGAAGCGCAATGGTCTTTCTGCTGCTTCTTGCTTCGGAAACTCGGTGTGTGACACTACCGTACCTACGAGAGACCGGAGGGTGACTGCATACTACTGCATCCTCTCAAGTCGTGTCAACCGAAACCGCAAGACGGTTTGAGAGAACTCAGCAAGAAATTTGTACGGTACCCTTTGTACTAGTACGCTACCCGTACATACGTACGAAGAAAGCCATCGAACAAAAATGGTCGTTCGTTCTGGATCAGTGTTTTTCTTTCCTTTGTTCTTTCCCTCGCTCCGTAACGAGGAAACAACGAAGAATCACAAAAATCAATCCATGCTGTGCGGTACATACCGTAGAGTTCCGTGCGGCAAGTACGAGTAGTATGTAACCGTAAGTATCCTACTACTACTGTGATCACGACTGTCAACGCTAAAATCCACTACTCGTACCTACGTAGTACCAGGGGTCTACATCATACAACTCAGTCGTGGGTGAGTCACGAGGCAGTCTCGTGTCACCCGGCAGGAGAAAGATTTGGGGCTATGGTTCGACACGCGTCGAAAATCCAAAAATCCGTTCCCCAAGAGTTCACGAGAGCAAGCCCGGCATAGACCGGCCTGCTCGCTCGGAACCACGGATCGGTACGTGCGATACCATAGGTCCCAGTAAAAAGGGTAAGTAGAAATTTGTGTGAGTCCGTGACACGACTGTATTTTTTGGTTTGCATTGCTTAGTACTGTATTGTTCTCTCTCTCTCTCTCTCTCTCTATCCCTTGCCAAAGTGGTGGCAGCAAACAGCATTTGAAATTTTTAGAATTGAGAAAACCAAAAAACAGAGCTTCAACTTTCGAACAAACCGAACTTACCGTACGAGGAGTACCGCGGGTTACAGCAATACATACCTTTCGTACAGTTCTGTACGAAAACGTACTCGAACAGGTTCAAACGGTACCGTACGGCACGACAAAATACCACCACTATCCTTGTAACCTACCGGTATTCTACCGTACTTGGTACTGCACGATACGAGACGATACGATACGATCCCTGAACTCTTTCCTTCTTCTCTTTCCGATACGACAGCAAGGACGCCGAGTTTCGGAACGATCGCATCGGCAACAGCAATAGCAACACCAACACCGGCTCTAACGAGAAAGTGCAAATCCCATTGCCGCACCACGACAAAAACACAACACATACACCCCCGCAACCATGTCGGCTCCACCAGTAGCTCCTCCCCCGAAAACATTTCCGTACGATTTCCTCTTCAAGGTGCTCATCATCGGAGATGCCTCGGTCGGAAAGGTGCGTCGTTCTTCCCCGGTTCCGTGATCGCGGTTTGGTTGGACGGATCGAATGGACGGATCGAATGGCCGGATCGATTTCTGGCAACCGGGAACGGACCCGCGTGATTTGTCGCCCTCCCCCCCCCATGTCGCTGTGCGTGTTTGGCAGACGCCACACCACAACAACTCCCGCCGCGGTTTGCCTTCCTCCCGTTTGTTCCGTTTTGCGCCGCGTTGTGCAGGACCCCTCACCACGGTGTTGTCTCTTTTTTTTTTCTCGCGCGGGAACGCCCTTGCCGACGAACCCACTCCGTTGCACGCCTCGCCGTTCTCTGTGCCTTGCCACGACGCGCCGCCCAACAGTCGTCGATGCTCCTCCGGTTCACGGACGACTCCTTCGACGAGCACATCCAGTCGACCATCGGCGTCGACTTTAAGGTCAAGCACCTCGAGATGAGCGGGAAGCGGGTCAAGCTCACCATCTGGGACACGGCCGGCCAGGAGCGCTTCCGGACGCTCACGAGCTCGTACTACCGGGGGGCCCACGGCGTCGTACTGGTCTACGACGTGACCCGAACGGATTCCTTTGAAAACCTCGAGCAGTGGCTCAAGGAGGTCAAGCTTTACAGGTACGCGCAGAATCGCAATGCTGCAGTGTTGTGTTGTGTTGAATTGAATTGTTATTGGATTGTTATTGATTGCCGTATTGAGTAGCACTGCAGTTTTGCGTGTGGCGTGGCGTGGCTTGGAATCGTGCATCAAAAGAGATGGCACCGACTCAACCGGTTTCGTTTGCTTGGTTCTTTTTGCCGCGCACCACCCACACCCGCGCCGCTCGTTTTCCCGCTTGCAGCCCGAACAACGGCGAGTCCGTGGTCAAGCTGCTGGTGGGGAACAAGATCGACATGGAACGCCAGGTAGAGCGGGAACGGGCCGAGGCCTGGGCCCGGTCGCACGGCATGCTCTTCCTGGAGGCCTCGGCCAAGACCCGCCTTGGCATCAAGCAGGTCTTTATGGAGGTCGTCCAGAAAATCCTGGAAAACCCGGAGGCCCTGGCCTCGGCGGTACCCGGCAAGCCCAAGCTGCAGATCAAGCGGCCCATCGAATCGATGGACGACGACGACGAGGACGACGAAGGGGGTTGCTGCTAGGGAGCATCCGGCAGCCCGCGTACCGCACGAAACGATAGGAGACGGGAGTGGTGCCGGAGCCCGCGTCGGCTGTGCTGGTTGCTGCGCTGAAAGCTGCTTGCGGTACCGGTACCAATCCGTGGCTGCGGTTGGAAACCACCCCTTGCGATGGAATCGGTAGCGATCGTTTACGGGTTTCGACGCATTCCTTTGGAAGAAAGAAACGGCCGTGCGTACCGGCAAGTGCGTGCGGATGCAAACTGGATTGGAAACGAAGAACTCAACAAACAAAGAAACAAACAAATAATTATACGCACACCCACACACGAATGAGATATCTAACGAGGACTCAAACACTATCTACTTTGCTCCGGAAGAAACGTGGGGCGGGCGATCGGTGTCCGCAGTTTGTTGTTGAAAAATACCGTTATGCGAGTGAATTGAGGCCCTCCAACGGCATGCCAGACCCTCTACCGATATAGTGACTAGTTTAAGAGTTCATGTAACTGTACATATATTGTAAGGGAATGATTTTTATGCACCAGCTTGACGCTATCCCCCTTTCTTGCTAGATATTGTAAATGATAGCACGATACAGCTCCAAGAGACCTCTATTTGTAGGAGTCAAATTCTATCAATATTGGAATGCTACACATGTTATATATCTGGTTCTTCGTCCTCGTCCTCGTCCTCCTCGTCCGAGCTGTCAAAGTCCATGTCGTCCAGGTCGTCGAAATCGTCGTCCGAGACGTCGAAGAGATCCTCGTTGATGTCTTCCTGGGCGTTTTCGGCCGCGGCCTCCATGGCCTCTATGTTAAGTGTTCCTCCCGTCTTGTCGGTAAAGTGCTGATAGCCCGTCAGTCGCCCGGACTTGTCCACCTCCTTTACGGCGCCCTTKGCCCCTCCCTTTTTCCTCGTGTCGGCCGATGCCTCCGCCTTTTGCTGCGCCTTGAGTTCTTCCATCTCGGCGTTGAATTTGTCCCGCCATTCCGCGAATGTTTCGTCCGTGACGGGTGTTCCCTCGGCACGGCCTGGGATGCGCGATTAAAGCAAGAAAGCGACAAGCCAACAGGTCAGCCAGGGCAATGAGAAGATTTGCGGGGTCCGTCGTTGCCATCGCTTCGTCGAGCGAGCAGAACGGTGGCAAACAGAACAGAACGAAACAGAACGAAACGAAACAAAACAAAACAAAACAAAACAAAGCCAAAAACAACTTACGTCTTCGAACAGCGAGCTCTTCCGATTCCGCCTGGGTCATTTCTTCCTTCTTCTTTTGTGCCTCGTATACCTGCTTGGCTTTTTCCTGTCGCCAAGCAAAAACACACCGAGACAACGATAGAAATACACAAAACGGATGTCAAAGCGTCAATGTGAGAGATCCTTCCCTTGCAAGGCAAGCGACTTCAAACGGATTCCATCCATCTGTGTGCTGAATTGTACCGTTCTATAGTACAAAATATGTCAGGCAGATATTATCCCACTGAAAGGTGGAGTCGATTCCGTCGCCTTGGCGGCGACCGAACCGTCACATCTAACAGCCAATGGGATCTTGTCTGCTTCCACCAAGGGTGCTATTCTAGCGCGAAACAATCTTTCGGCGGAACGGCGTGTGAAGCACGGAGGCAATCGCTACAAACGCCCAACTCCACCAGTTTGCGCAATATCTTGTGTCAAAGACAACCAAACCAAAACGAGCTGGTGCCAAACACAGAACCATCCAATCGTTTTGAAACCGTTCGTCGAGTTTCCGCTGAATCCAAACAGATTCATTTGATTCGCTACGTACCTCGTCTCGCTTCTCTTCCTTTTGTCGTTTCAGCATCAGCGTGTACATCGATCGATCGTCCATTCCCTTCTGGTTGTTTTCCAGCAACCATTCCCGCAGCCGTTCGCACACGGCATACACGACGGGCATGCCCCTGTTGTTCTCGGCCTCCTCGTTGGCCAGTTCCAACAATTCTTGCTCGTGCTCTTCCGTCAACCCCTTGAGCACCTTTATGTTAAACTCCGGAAGGGACTCTTCCGGGTAGTCGAGGGGAATCTTTGCCACTACCTTGACACCAACGTGGTTCTGGGGAGCGTCCTCGTCTTCCTCGTCCGCGGCGAGTTGCTCGGGGTACAAATCGACCGCCCATTCGAAGGGTTGTTCCGAGGATATGATTTCTAGGCAATCGTCAAAGATGGCTTCGAGGGCCTCGGCCTCCATTTCTTGCTCTTCGCGGAGTTCCTCCGACATGATGGTTCAATTGTTTTGGATTTTATTGCGCGCTGTGCTAATATTGCAAATGCTTGTTGTGTGCGCGAGTCTATGGTGCAAATGTCCCGTTTGGAACCGTCTTGCTCTCTCGTGCCGAGATTCGGTGTTCTGCAGCTAGTGCCTCTGCGTACGAGCAGTCCTTGTTGAATGCGATTGTGTTCTCGACGAGACGAAGATTGCAGGGTTCAATAGCAGAGAATTTCTTCTTTGTATTCACCTACCGACCATACCGATGCTGTGTGATTTGCTGCATTGTGCTCCATGCTCGTTCGTAACATGTGATGCCTCGTTTGGCACATTTGTTTGAGACGGTTGACGTACGGACTGGGACTATGAGCGTCAATTTCTGTGGGAAAAGATCCTAGTTGTAACGTACGAATGTCCTACACGAGGTAGTTGCTGCTTGCAAACTACCACAACGTACAACTGCCGTACTATAGTACGGCTGATAGTTTTCCATACAACAAAACTTGCGGTGGTCGTGTGTTTCACCTTCAATTCAAAAATGCGTTTAAATAAAATAATTCCAGTCGAAATTGTCAATAGCACGTAGTGTTGGACTTGACAACGAAAGAAGAGAAAACACTTCCTGAGACAAATAACTTAACACCATGAGCGACGAGAAAGCTGTCGAAGAACTGGCAAAGAAAGTCGACCGATGGACGCTGCAGGACGATTCTACCATTGATTATGGGTATCTAGCCCAAACGTACGGCGCTGGCATCAAGGAAGCCAAGGAGGGCGACAAAACATTTTATCTGACGACCGCCATCAACTACACCAATGGGCCCGCCCACATGGGCCACGCTTACGAGGGAGCATCCAGCGACGTTATCAGTCGATTCCAACGATTGAAGGGCGACAGGCCCTGTTACTTTGTCACCGGTGCCGACGAACACGGACAGAAGGTCGCGGCCGCGGCAGAGAAAGAAGGAAAGGACGCGCAACTCTACTGCGACAAGGTATGTTGTGCAGTGATGCGCTGTGCTGAGTCGCATAAAGAATAGCTGCTGCCATTCGGAACAGCTCGTATTCTCGTTGAATGTTCAATTTTCGTTTCATTCTTTGTTATTGAACCGACTCTTACCAAACACCATCGCATTCTTTTTCGAAACGCGATGCCGCACAGTATGTCGATGGGTTCAAGAATCTTAACCAGCGCCTTTTGGTTTCCAACGACGACTACGTTCGAACGACGAGTGCTCGCCACAAGCGCGTGGCACAAGAACTCTGGAAGCGTTGCGCCGCCAAGGGTGACATCTACCTCGATGCCTACTCTGGATGGTACAACGTCAAAGAGGAAACCTTTGTGACGGACATGGAGGCCGAGAAGAACGATTTCAAGGATCCTTCCTCGGGAATTCCACTCAAGCGAGTCGAAGAGGAATCGTATCTCTTCAAGATGTCTGCATATGCGGACAGGCTCATCGAGCACATCAAAAACAACCCCGACTTCATTCGCCCCGAACAACACAAAAACGCTGTTCTTAGCCGGTTGACATCGGATCCTCTTCGGGATCTATCCATCAGCCGCACCACTTTCTCGTGGGGTATCAGTGTTCCGGAGGGATTCGACGACAAGCACGTCATGTACGTGTGGATCGATGCCCTCTCGAACTACCTGACTGGTATCGACTACTTCGGAACCAATGGAGACGGAAAGGAGGGGATCGAAAAGTTTTGGCCCTGTGACGTCCACATCATCGGAAAGGACATCTTGTGGTTCCACACGGTGATCTGGCCGTGCCTCCTCATGTCCGCCGACATTCCCCTGCCCACGTCGGTCTATCTCCACGGCTTTGTCAACGATCGGGAGGGAAAGAAGATGTCCAAAACCGTTGGCAACGTGGTGGATCCCCACGATGTGCTAGACCAGTCTCACGTTGACTCCTTCCGATGGTACGTATCTATATATGTGTGCACACGGCTGAATAGCAACGCAACTTTCTTCAGCGCTTGCTTGAGCGCATTAGAAGATGCGAACTCGTCCATATCGCATCGATCATGTGTATTGGTGACCCATAGGATATATCTCATGTGTGCTTTTGCTTTGTCTATCTTGAACCTATAGGTACCTCTGTAAGGAGGCTCCCTACGGAGGAGAGTTGTCCTACAATATTGACAACATGCGGGAAATGCATAACGCTGATTTGTGCGATACGCTTGGAAACTTGTTGAACCGCGCTACCAATCTCTGCAAAAAGTTTTGCGGCGGTGTTATTCCCGACGTTCCTGGTCCCGCCAATCCCGTAGTCGACTTGGCCTCCATCATTGACAATTACACCGCAAAAATGGACCAGTTCGACTTGCAGGGAGGCGCTGCCATTGCGATTGCGGGATTCCGTGATGTAAACGGTTACCTACAAACCGAGGCTCCCTGGCTCAAGAAGGGCGATGAGCACGCCGAATTTCGTCAAATCGTGGTCCGTGCCACACTGGAGGCCATTTATGCATTGGCCCATTTGTTGATGCCATTTTTGCCGGTGGGATGCAAATTCATTTTCAACAAGCTTGGAAAGGAACCCGTTTCGCTCACTGAGCTGAATCGTGATTGCCGAAGCCTTGATACCGGTGTAAAGATTGAGGTGGGAAGAGTGCTCTACGAAAAGATGCTTTCTGACGCCGAAAGGGACAAGAAAGCCGGTGGAAAGAAAAAGGAATCGTACGAAGAAGCCCAGAAACGCAAAAAGGAAATGAAGGCCGCAGCTATCGCTTCTTCCGAAAAGGGAAGAGGAAAGGGCGACGCCAATCAGTCCGACTTCACAAAGATGGAAATTCGCGTTGGAAAGATTATCGAGGTTTGGAATCACGAAAGTGCCGATAAACTGTTTTGTGAAAAGATCGATTGCGGCGAGGAAACCGGACCGCGTGAGATTGCATCGGGACTGCGGGATTTTTATTCCATTGAAGATATGAAGGACAAACTTGTTCTTGTCGTTTGTAACCTGAAAGCGTCCAAGATTTTGGGCTTCAACAGCAATGGAATGGTCCTTGCTGCAAAGGAAGAGGATGGCAAAACCGAGCTTGTGGAGCCGCCAGAGGGCTCTCAAGTTGGTGAACGAGTTTACATCGAAGGATTGAGCGGTGATCCTTTTTCTTCCAGTCAAGTGAAAAAGAAGAAGATTTGGTCCAATGTTTCGAAAGAGCTCAAAACAGGCGAAGGCGGAGTCGCAACGTGGCAAGGAAAAACCATTCAGACTGCAAGCGGTCCATGCAAAGTTGCGAGCTTGGTTGGGGCTCCTATTTCATAAAACCTAAGTTTATCGGTCGGTTCCGCAACTAGCAGTATTATGACTTGGATTTTACAAGCAATCGAATCAATAAACTACAGTATCAGTATTTCATTATCGTAGTTCTAGAGTAGTAATGTCCTGGGCTTTGCAAGAAAAATCATCTTCGTGCGCTTCATGTAAGCACTTCCTTAGTTTGATTTGTCGCGAACAAAGGCAATATATTATGCTTTTGCTTTCGTAGCCGTGACGACAAACATGGGATCTCCAATGATGCGTTGGTCTTTTCCTCCTTTTCTTGTCGACAAGTCTTTGGCTTTTATAGCTTCAAACCCACCGTCACAAAAATGCAAGTATGAGCTTACATAATATGCATGGTCAATGTCATCTCCACCGGTCCATAAACCAACTGCCTTGCTCAAAAAAAGGCGATTGGAAAATATGATGTGAACCTGCCCACCAGGTTTCAGAATGCGACCAACTTCTTTCAAAACTTGCAATGGCTTAGTCAAATAGTCTATGCTAAGTTGGCACAATACCACATCAAAACTTTCGGTCTCGTACTTGCTTAATTCCGGGTTTTGGTTTAGATCCTGGACAATCCATTCCGTTAGAGATGGGTTGCTTTCCAGTTCTTTTGCATTCATTCCCAGTCCTGCAATCCTTGGTATTTTCTGTGCAACATTTTTATCTATATGACTCGTCCAACTAGAACAGAGATCGAGGACTGCAGTGTCTCGTCCGGGTTGAATTGCACTGTTGGATATGTATTCTGTGACGAGTTTGACTGCATTCTCGTCTACATGCTCCACAAATCGTGGATCCTGGTAGAATATCGAGTCGGGTGTGTTATCTAGCCTTGCAAACTGAGTATTTGACTCGCTTTTGCTACCACTGGCAGGATCCGAGGAGTTGATTGGATTTTCTTCTGTGCTCCAATCCGTTGGAATAGAGGATTCGATCTCACCTGGATCTGGGAGGCGGATTCCGGTCTTAGGATCTACGCTTGTGCCCCATGCCGGTTGAAGCCCCAAAGCAGCACTAAGCACGGTTACCGAACTGCCAATAAAGCCCTTCCTTCCCATCTGCCCCGTTTCCACCACTTCACTCGACAATAGACATGCTGAATTATCATCTTTATCACCATCCAATTTGTCGCTAGAGACCGACCAAAGCGCAGCAGGAGATTGTGATGCCTGGGGTCCTCGTGTCCCTTGGTTGAATAACATAGGTGCGGATTGAATCGACGGTATCAATCGATTCGGGTCAGATATTCTTGGGAGAACAATGTATGATTGCACCAACAGAGTGGGACACAACAACAACTGGATCATTTTTGAAAACCCGACCATGGTAAGAAGTATCAAAGACTCCTGCGGAAGACCCAAGTTCTTTACGAAGACGCTAGTTTTAATGGTGGATGGTTAATATTAATATTTCCTGCGAGCCCTATTCATGGAAAACACTTCGGCCCTTGTCCCGGAGGGAGAGCAAAGCGTAACAACATGATCGCATTACTAGCCTAGGGAGCTTTAACTCCTTTCATCTCCCTATCGGCGAATTTCGAATCATCAAAATACGTCGAACGTCATGAATGCAGTCAGCATTTTTACTTTCCAGTCGTGCACTGTTTTGCATGAACGTTCTTGTCTTGTGTTGTCAGATTGCCAGATACTGTATCTGATTCAGGGGTCGAAGTGAAAGTTAGAGGGATGACCGACCCCTAAATGATCTCCTTGAGGAAAAAGGAATTCTGTGAACGATTATTACGTACGAATACGAGGAAATGTGTTAATTCAATACGTGTGCGTAGGTGCATGCGTATGAAGCCTTAAAAAGTATGAAACATTAACCTTATTGACTAGATAAATTAGTAAAGAATGAGAACAATTATATGGCTCTCGATTCACCCATTTTCAGGTCCTTGTTTCATTCTTGGGATTCACCAATTCCATCCACGACTCATTGACAAATAATCCACAAATATGTTTGTGATGAACAATTTTCATCATTTCTCGAGAACGCGCGACGTCTGTTCGTCAACACACTCCTCGCTGCAGTACCTACTGTGTCTACGATCATGTACAGGACTTGTCCTCACACGGTGGCCGCTGCTGCAGTGTTACTTTGCACCTTTATCTTCATACAGAGTGCTTGGGCGTTATGATACACTTGTTTATAATGGAGATAGTCCTTCTCAGAGATCCCTTGGATGGTGTTTCTAGTAAACCTTCTGAACTTTGCTCCTTGTAATGGTTTGGTGAAGTAGTCTGCAACAATTTCATGGGTGGGACAGTATTCGACGGTTACTTCGCCTGTCTTTACCTTATCGGTGATAAAGAAGTACCGGACATTGATGTGTCGCGTTCTTTTGGTACTCGATGCCCTCCCGTTCCTCTTGAGCTTAATGGCACTCTCATTGTCTTGATACAGGACGTTATTCCTGACCAGTTTCATGGACGCACAGTTGACATTACTTGCATTGTCAGTCATGTGTTGTTGTTGGGCCAACAGAAAGAGTCTTGTCCAGACGATGAAATTCATGTTATCATCTACTCCAATGATTTCTGCTTCCGTTGAGCTCTTTGTGTTCAGCTTCTGCTTGGTGCACGTGGTAACCGCCCCACCTTGTCCCAATGTCATCACTCCTCCAGAGTGACTCTTCATGTCATTGTGGACGGCAAAGGCTGCATCGACGTGCCAATATACATTTCCGGTTTGGTCCCAGCCCAGCACTAGTGGCAGGAATACTGTTTCCTTCAAATAACCCATCACGTGCTTCAGCTTCTTCCAATCGTCAACATCTGGTGCTGCAACCCGGGTACATAGGAACACAATCGCTGTTTGGATATCTGGTCTTGTCCGCTTAGATGCGTAAAGCAGCTTTGCTACATAATGATGGAAGCGTGTGGCTTGGTCTTCCCCAAGCTTCTCAGCTTCATCATTCACCTTGAGCAAATGGTCCGCCGCCGGTGTTGCTGCTCCTCTTCCTTGGAGGTCCTTGGGAAGACCCTGCAGCACGTCCTCCAGGTAGTCAAACATGCTTAGTTTAACCTTTCCTTGCGACGAATAATCCAGGGTCATGCCCACATAGTCATGTATTTTACCCCTGGTTTCAGTGAGTGGTGATTCAACACCAAACTTTTCATTGAGCTTCTCAATGATCTTGGTTACTACTTTTTCGTCCTTGTGTGAGATTTTAAAATCATCCACATGCCATACAATGGTGCATTGTCGACCATTGATTATTTTGTTTGCAGTGCATGGATCGTATGGATTCAGCTCAAAACGCCACTCCTCCAGTTGACCGGATAGCTTCTCCCAAAATAGTAAGGCAGCTCGGAGTGTGCTGTATATTGCCTTCTCCGCACGTGTAAACAGTGTTTTCTTCCCTTGTCTATTAAGTATGTACTTACTGTACATTCTTGGATCGACACGGCACAACAGCTCAGCCATTGTTCCATCCAGACGGATATAGACGTCCTCGCCCTCAGGCATGTCTGTCTGCAGGAAGGCGCCAGGAATATCCACTGTTGCAACATCCCTTTCCTCGATCGCATCTATGATGCAGGAGAGGATCAGCGCATATAGAGATACCGTTGGCGAGGTCACGTCCTCCTTTTGGATGTAGTCACGCTGTCGACGACCATCTGCACACCCTCTTCCTTTAATCGAGGTGTCCCTTTTTCTTTTGAGGAACATTAAATAAGGTAGAGCTTGCTCTACCACTTCCTTTTTCATAGTCTTCGGATCCAGCACTGATAAAACCTTTCGATCGTGGATCTGTTTGAGTTCCTTCAGCACTGCATTCACTCCTGCTTCACCAAACAACTTAATTCCTTTCTTTATCCCATACTGAGGTGTTACTGGCGATGCCTCCAGATTGTTGTATCGCTCTATCGCACTCGTGACTAGGGTGATGGCCTGCTGATTCTTTATCAGTCTGTTTACAGCGTTCCTGTATCCCATGGAGAAGAGAGTACGGCTGTGGGTATTGGTCGCGTATCCATCCTCCGCACCGTATTTATTGTGAGTGCGCTGGACTGTTGGCCTTAGCCTAGAGCTTATTGGCGAATCCTGTTCAACTTGTTGTTGGTGTTCATCACTGGGATCCATTGCGTCGTCTACGGTTCCTACCTCATCTTCATCATCTTCATCATCGGCGTTCTCCTCCTGTATGTCTGGGACACCAGTGGTGTCCTCCTTGTTGTCGTTGCCCGCCACTGTGGCGTCGGTATCATCCTGTGGTGTTTTGATGGTGTCAGCCGCATCATCCCCCGTAATTTCTATCGCTGCTGGGTCTATAGTTCCCATTGAGTCATTGTCATCGTCATCCTCATCTGCTCGGTATGTCGCATCTGATGCATCATCATCATCTTGGTTCTCCACTGTGTCTATATCAAGGATGGTGGACTCGCCCAATCCATCTCCAAACAAGATCCCACTTGGACACTTTTGCCCATCAGCAATCGCCTCAACTTGTTTCACCATTGCTTCCGTCAGTGGTGTCGGTGTTGCATTCATCCTGTGAATTTGCTTGCCGGTATTCATATCATAGGCCCAAAACCCCCCTGTCAACGATCCAGTGGGTCATAGGTATAATGCATCCACTGCACGTGGTGTCATGGTGTTATCAGTGTCATCAACATGTGCAAGGATTGGTTGCATAAACTGGTATTTACACTCCTTAGAGTCCAGTTGTATTCCTGTAACAAGCTCCCGCGCCGATAGTGACTTACACACCCCGGTTGTTCTACAGTTGAGCCAGAACACTACTGCGTAAACCATCTCGATAATACAGCGCTTTGGCAGCTTTCGAAATGGAACATGGTTGAAGTAGCATCTAACATTTTCCTTTACTGTCCTGATGCTCCTTTTGATAGTGGGGTCATGTTGACCTGCTCCAACACAGTGCAATTGTACGGGTGGTGCCATTTGCAGCAGATCGTCGCGAAGGCATTCAAACTGATTATCCCCACAGACCTGTGTAACGATGAAGCCACGTGTCCTATACTGTCCACATAACTACTTAATACAGTCAAGTAGGGTGGAAGTATTTGCGTTGGTGATTGCTCTAGCTGTCCTAAACTTAATATGTCTTGATATACTATGGACACATCCCTGTACCTGTCCAACACAGTGGAAGGAACGTGGGTTAGGTCCTCTCTAATGTGTCCAGCAGTGCTGCGGACCTGTTTTCCTTTAACTATGCTTGAGTGCTTGCCATATATCATTTCGGCCTTTTGTATGTCACGTCTTGTGACGGTTGTGTTCGCCAACAGTTTGTTGTCGATCATTCTCATCAGATCTCTAGAGGTTGGGAATCCCACAGCCTCCTGTAGTTGTCTTGCTTTGTCGGCTCTGCCGACGTCAAGGTCTGAGTACTGTTCCTTGCTGCCGTCCACTGTCAGTATCGTGAGCATTGTGCCGGTTTCCTTGTCATTGGACATGTCGTAATAATACAGGTTGCATGGTGATCGGCTGAATCGCTGTGTCGTCCCATCGTGCTTATGCACATGAATTGCATTGTCCACCTCTGTATCCATTGTGATCCTGTACTTATCTGACACTTTTGCCATGGATAGCACACTTGCTATTCCATCACGATAGAACCATACTTTGCCATATCCTGGCAGGTCTGCTATTTGATTGGTGTGTGCCACACCGGAGTTGCAGTGAATGGTCATGCTCCTTCCCTCGGGTGCCTTCCTGATATTTGTCACCAATTCTGGGTGTGTTATGAGATTGCACGATGATTCCCTGTCCAGGAGGATCCAGTTCTTGTTAACGCGTCCCCCGTGTCTTGATGCTTGTGCAAACATCCTCTCTGTCTCTTGGCTGTACGTAAAGCTTGGTGGCGCCCCGTGTCGTGGCGCCTGGTAGCAATTACATGGTGGGTTTTCGGGCTCTGATGACTTACTGTCACACCCCTTGAGGTTACACTCCTCAATTTCTTCGTGTACAGTCTTGTACTCACTTTTGCTGTTCGTTGTATCGTAACCGACAGTGTCGTGTTCCTCACTTGGCGGCGGTTCATCCCCGTGATTGCACTGCATGTTGGTCTCCACACAGATCTGAAAGTAGTTGTCCATCTCATCACCAAAATCATAGTCGTTCTCCACTGCCATCATTAGCATTTGTCGTGCCGTCATGCTGTTCTGTTCCTTGCCCTTGGTTGCGAATGTGGTTGCCTCCTTCATCTCGTTGCTGGTGTTATTATCCTGTTGATCTGTCTTCTCATCGTCGGATTTTTTGCTTCTGTTACCACCTCCACGACTGTTGTTACCACTGGTTGAGTTATTTTGTTTCGCTTTCGCCTTCCTGGACCCTTTGAAATGATTTAACATCTCAAGGGCTTGAGTTGTTGTTGCCKGGTAATGATTGACACCCAGAGTGTATTGGTTGCTCAGCGTCTCCTTTAATGTGCTGGTTTCTTCATCGCTGCCTTCGATGATGATAGCGGCCACAAACTGCTGGAATGCCGTGTGGTCAATCCGCTGTTTTGTTTTGTCGTCCTGAGGAAGGTCCAAATAGTCTTTGTATGTCATCCTATCATCTCCGTCTGAGTATCTGTTGTTGGTCTCGAGTTTGTATTTCACCAGCGCTGGGCAGATATATTGCCCCCCGATCGTCTCAACCACTTCACTAAATTGAGTTATACTCTGTACATAGGTCATGCAGTCAGTGTTGCGTTGGTTATGAGTGAGTAGTTTTCAAAGCGATCGAACCAGGTTTGTTAGTGTGTGTATCTTTGTCTTATTGCCTTGGAAGCAGATGTCCCTGAGGAGCTTCAGTAGTTCGACCGGGCATCTATTTTTGCTGATATCTTCCCACCTGTCATTACTCTTTAACTTTTCCTTCATTCCATCATCAATTTGCCCAAGGGCTATGGAATAGACCTTTGCCATGTCCTTTGTGTGTGAAATCCTTTGCGGTTTCTTTCACTTCTTCTTTGTACATGTCCAATAGCACGTCCTTTAGGTCCTCGTTTTCTATTTCCACTTCTTTGCCTTTCACTAGCTCTACTTGTGTCCAGTTGCGAGCGGTTGGTTTAGTGGGTGCAAATGATACTCGATTGAGTTGTTCTAGTAACTCTATGGACACTCCGACCTTCGGCATGTATTGTGATCCTCCGATGGTTTGCAGGCGTTCATGTAGTTCAGTGAATTGGGTGATGCTCCCATTTTTGGTGAGTACAATGCCCTCAAGGTCTCCTTTGTTATGGCCAGTAAACTTCTTTGAATTTCCTTCATTGTTCTTCTTGTTGTTATTATTATTAGTATTGTTTCCTCCCTTATTGGGCGATCCTCGTCCGGCGGATCGTTTACTGACTACTTTAGTCCAGTCTGATTGATTTTCCGTGCTCATCTTTGTGGCTTGGTTCTAACTTGGTCCTTGGATCCAATTACAGTTATGATACAGTATCCTTGGATCGGTATCGTACTGGCGATAGCTAGAGTAGACTATCGGCTTTAGTTCTCTTTACTAATTTATGTTAATTCAATACGTGTGCGTAGGTGCATGCGTATGAAGCCTTAAAAGAAAGTATGAAACATTAACCTTATTGACTAGATAAATTAGTAAAGAATGAGAACAATTATATGGCTCTCGATTCACCCATTTTCAGGTCCTTGTTTCATTCTTGGGTTTCACCAATTCCATCCACGACTCATTGACAAATAATCCACAAATATGTTTGTGATGAACAATTTTCATCATTTCTCGAGAACGCGCGACGTCTGTTCGTCAACAAAATGTACGTACCATTTACTCGTACAATCGACGTATTTCATTCATTCAGACGCTTTATCTAGTCAGGTCAGCAGTTACTAGTATAATTTTTATGCAAAAATAGGCCTTTTTTCACTTACAGTACATAAATTTTAAGTTTTTTGGTATTTCTATTCTACTAGAGTTATACGAAGTACCTATTGATTGTACTACTACCACAGGATTTTAATCGAATTTAAGTATTTTTTTAAGTTTTTCGGGAATGATGCATTGATGTATGCGCACTACGGTACGGTAGAAGTGAAGAACAGAATACGAGACTTCGGTGATGATTTTCTTCTTTTTCGAAATTGTTGTATCTTCCGTGACGTTACGGTGGCAGTTTTGTTTCTCTCCCAATATTTTGTTTCACATTGATAAAATCCGTCGCTATTCCTCGCAAAACACTCCAAATGACGAGTGAAAGTGGAAACGGTGACAAAGGTGCTCGATAGGACACATAGATCGTCGGGATTTGGATCTGTGAAATTCTGTTACCGCAGAACATTAAAATTATTAATTTACAATCATGTCATCGGTTGGGTTCTTTCCGAACCTTTCCGAAGAACTTCTATTGAAAGTCGCTAGTTATCTTCCGCCGCGAGACCTTCTTCGGTTTCAGTGCGTGTCGAAAGATCTTTCAAATCTAGACACGGATTCGATCTGGGAATGGCACTGCGAAGAGCGGTGGAAACCGTGGCCACGATACCGACTCACGGACCAAAAACGGGTCGAGCTGAACTCTGGGGGCACTGAAACCTTCGGCATGACCTGGAAACGGAGGTATATGTTCATCGAGAAAGATGCAACCAGAACCACGCTTGTGTCGCGAGATCTACAAAACCTGAAATGGTACCTGAGCTTCGTCTTGTCGGGCATACGGGGCGAGGGCCGGTCCGACCACCTACCCATCGAGTTTGCCTTTGGCGAGGTTTTGCTCGTGCCGGGATATCCCCCGCTCTCGTACCAGATTGTGAACAAAACACCGCCGTCGAATGGTGATCGCATCCGAAAGAACCTGAGGGGCGATCAACCGTTCTCTAGGAAGCAATACCTCAAGATCAGCAACTTCCCCCCGCATCTCATTTCCCGAAAGAAGTCCGATGCCGAGTGGCTGATTGGGAACGAGAATGTTATCATGGTAAGCCGCGGCGAGTTATGATGCGCTGCTACACCCTCTCAAAAACCCATGCCTAAGGAAAGAATGCCAAGTACATTACAACAAGATTTGGCGAGACATTTCGATTTTTTTTAGGGTGCTGTGTTTTGGAACATCATCACCACGTCAACACATTACATACAGTCTACAAGCATGAATGCCTCACTTTTTAATCCCATCGACCCATTAAAAAGGCACTTGCACTATGTTTTTTGGTTCGAGTAAAACAATCACTACAAAGGACATCGCACTTTTCGTCGTATTATTTGATTGCGATAGGCGTCCGCTGCTCCACCCAGCCGACTGTCCGGAACCTGATATTCATCTAGGAACGTCGTTGAGAAATGATGTTTTGCTCTTCTCTTTTTTTCACTTCCCATGTCATTGCGGCATTACGTTCGAAATTGTATCGTATTTTTAGAAGTCTACTTTTTTGCGGCATCATTTACTAGATGCGTTGTGTCGATTCGTGCTTGACAATAGTATATGCTGTTAGTTCTTTGTCCGAAGAAAACACGAATGTCATTCCAACTTCACCATGGAATAATGTCAGCGTGACAGTTCTTTCGAAGGATTATCCTTCCAACCCCCAACTTTCAGGCAAAAATTGTTCGTCCTTCCAACCCAAGATACTATCTCTGTACGGACGCATGGTGGTATCCCCCATCCCGGTAATTTTCTTGACAAATTTCCATATCTTCCCTCGGTGTCTGGAAAAGAGTCGATACCCAACGTCGCGAAGCATTTTCGGAACGAGATACAGGGCGACGAATCCCAGCACGAAATAGGGAAACCCAAGGTGGGGATAAAACAAGCGGAGGACGGAATCGGATTCGGTGTATGCGCAGTCCTCCGTGAAGAGAACGGCGGTCGAAACGTCGGAGGGCATCCCATGGGTGTGGCACAATTCCTGGGCCAGGCTTGTCTGTATCGGTGCGAACCGGAAGTGATCCAGGGAATCACGCTCGAGGACAAAGCCGGCCAGGAATTTTCACACGCCTCAGCCGCCGTCGTACAAAAACAAGGCGCGCGTATTTCCCTTCTTGTCGACGCCCAGCAGGCTTCTGGTGGACGCGAGCATTTCCGTCGTGCTGATGCTGGTGGCGGCAGCGCTTTCGGTGCCGTCCCGGTTGCTCGGTAGGAGTGTGGGATGGTTCATTGTACAACTCAACAAACAGAAGCTGGCCGGGATGGATTCGATTCCGCTACGGATGACGCTGTGTGTGGACGACCTGCTTTCGTGATCAGGAAATCGCCTGCGATACCTTTCTTTGCTCTTGTACCGCCAACGAGAGTGCTAGAGCTGGTCCAAACTGGTTGCTTCGAAGGCGAGTGGAAGCCGAGTGATCGGCACGATGGAACAAGAGTACAGTTCGTAAAGCAAGAACTCGTGTATGACTCAGAACACTAGGCGTACAATAGCGTTCTCGTACGTATTGTCGGAACGTTATGTTGGGGTTGGGGTTACTAGGAAAGTTCCGTTTAAGCGTTAAATAGTTAAACAAGAATAGTACAGGCACCAACGTACAGTAATGATGGTGTGTTCGAAGCTTATGTTTTAGGCATCAGAATAACCTACCGTACCTACCGGTACGCTTGTCAAAGAAGCCGTTCCATCCAGTTACGTACCGTACTAAAGTAATGTTCATACGAAGTGCTGTACCGTACGAGTAGCCGCAACAGTTGGAAGCTGCTTGAGAAAGCGAACCTACGGTATCGCAACAAGTTGTTGGGTTAGTGAGAACCCAAACGGAGAACCAAGCATTCCGTGTCAATACCACATACGGTATAGCTCTAGCGCTCACTCTTGCCTGCCATTGTTTGGATTCGAACAAGGGGTAGTAGCGAAACACAACACACCGTTCGGAAGAATACCAAAACTCCGGGGATGGAGGAAGGTCGGCAACAATTTCCTTCTGGGGACACCCACGGGAGCGATGTTCGCGTCCCGTCGGATGGCAAACGCCCCAGCCAACACGGGAACAACGAGGGAGGCAGACGTATTCCGAGCTACCAGTCCGATCAGAAGGATCGGCACGAAATCTACCGAGAGCGTCTCGGCGATGCATCCGGTGGCCACGGCGGGAGGAGGGAGGAACCGAGCAACAGAGGATACCGCACGAAAGAGCCGCCACTCAGGTCGCTGTCGTCGCGACGGGAAACTCCTTCTGCAAGCCACCAGAGAGGCAACGAAGGCGGCACCGAAGAACGAAGACCCAGAAACAACGACGGCTGCCACGACTCTCGGCGAGCAAACCCAGCAGGTAGCTGCCAAAATAACGAAACAAGAACATACTTCGTTCATATTTCTGCAATCATTGGTGTCTTCTAACGAATCGCATTCGTCGCTTCGCTTCTTATTGCTCCTGTGACACAACTCTCTGTCTGCTTTTTATGTGACAAAAAGTGAACGCCCGCAGAAGCTGGGGTGGCGACCATCGTCGCCACTACCGTGACCACAGCGGCGATTACAATCACAACGGTGGCGACACCAATCGGTATGATTCCAGGCGACGGTACGATCGCCACGGCGACGGAGAACACGAACATGCCGACGATCGCTATCGGCGCGACTCGGTGGGACGGGGTAGGAGGACGGGCGACGGCAGAGACCAGCGATACGGCGATCGGTACGACGAGTTTGGGAGGCGGGGAAGAGGGCGCAGCATCGACGACGACGACTTTTGCTACGGCGACAAAGGCGACCGCCGAAAACGGTCGGACAGCGGCTATTGCTCGGACGAGCCGTTCGAACGCTCCCGCCGCGACGGAAGAAGGACTTCGGCTGGTCGTCGCGACGGTTGGGAACGCCCACGTTCTCGTTCCAGAGACTACAAAACCGATGGTGACTACGATTATGATCGTGATCGCGACAGCAGCGACAACGACAACTGCGAAGAAACCTCGAAGAAACGCGAACCAAAGGAGAAAGAACGCGAGTGGCCGCCGTCCTTTCAAAAGGATGGATCCGCATTCACCTTCGATACTCGTTCTGCCATGTTCTACGAACCGCTCTCAGATTTCTTTTACGATCCAAAGAGCAAACTGTACTACGGGAACAAGAAATCCGCCTATTTCCGTTACGACGTAGCGGAAGATCCACCCTTTGTACAGGTGAAAAAGATGACGGCCGAAGAAGTAGAGGAACAACACCGAGGAGACGGGGGAGGCTTTTCCCAAGAAAAACTGGCGGTCAGCGACCGGGCATCGGCGGTGGTGTCCAAACCGAAAATCGCCATCAAGCTAAAGACCAAAAAGGTCAAGTCGTCGAAAGCCACCGCGAACACCGAGGGGAGCAATCACCAGCCTGGTGCTGGGACTGTTTCCAGAGCGAAACAAGAGCAAATAGCAAACATCGGCAAGTGGACCGAGAAACAGGCAGAGCTGAAGCAGACCGAACCCGGTGCCGACACTTCTCGAACCGCTCCTCCGGCACCGCGGCAAGGGGAAGGAACCGATACAGCGTCCCCAAAGGTTCGCACCACGGCCAAGGGCGAGCCGATCTGCCTCCTTTGCAAGCGCAAGTTTCCGGACCTAGCAAAGCTCCGGCTTCACGAAAGAGCCTCCGAGCTCCACAAGAAAAACCTGCAGAAATTCCGGGAGAAGAAAAAACGGCAGCAAAACGATGCGTCGGCGAAACGAAAGCCGGAAGGTAGCGAAGCCAGCGCTGCGGGTACAAATGCCGCCCCGGTTGCCAACGAAACCGTATACACGGACCGCGCCAAAAAACGGAGGCAGCTGCACGGAGTGGAGCTGTGCGCTTCGGCAAACGGGCTGCCCTCGCTGGGCCGAACGGGCGAGAGAAAGGAACCGCCGCCGGATCTTCCTTCCCCCGCGCAAGCCCCCGGAAGCGATCTGTTCCAGGAATCCAATGTGGGGAAGCAGATGCTCCAGAAACTAGGGTACAAGTTCGATTCGGTCCCACCCGGTTCGAACCCGCCACAGCAGGAACAGGAACAGCAAACGATGGTTTCCGATGCTAGCACGAAACCCAGAACCACGAACGAGCACCTTCGCAAAGAATGGGATCGCATAGAAGCCTTGGCCGCTGCTAAGTCAAAATCTCGCTATCCATCGAAACACTAGGTTGCAGATGCCAAGTTCTTGCAGATGCACGTCATTATGAGTCACCTTGCCATCCGTCGATTAAAAACATAGTTCCTGTCCTAACCAGGGGTGCTCGTGTGTGGCGGTGATACTACTCTCCAGTGCGTTCGGGTCTCAGCTTTGACCTAGTACTAGTAGTCCATCGACGTTTCTTCTTGAAAGGCTAGCTTTGGTAGTTTTACTCTACTCGCTTTCGTAGAACTATGAGTCTTGCACCAGTGCCACGACTTCATTTGTTAGCAAAGATAATGATGCAATTGCCGATTAATAATATTATGGATACAAAACATGCAGTGTGAGAGGATAGCGAACGGGCCGAGAAGCACAAATGGTACCACTAGTACCTTTCCTTTTGTGACTTTGCTGTTTGCCATAAGGTATGAGTATGTACTCTACTTCTACCATGCGTACCATAACTTAACACTTGAATTCGAGTTACGAGAATGAAATTCTCGATGAATGTACCGGTTCTTACGTACTACTTGTACTCGTACGCATTACCATCATGTCAGATCGAAGATACGATTACGAGGTAGGCTATCGTACGAGATGGTACGGTACATACTTACTGATCGATATCTTTCCTGTTGTGTGCACCGAGCTCTGACCTCGGTCCACCATGCTTTATGCACTCGTTTCCTGTACTGGTGTATCCTGATAGAGGCGCTAATCAGCCAAGCCTACAAGAGTAACGTTGCAGAACCAAAACCAAATCATCGCGAACTGTAAGGGATCTTCTAAAGCCACAAGCCATAACATGTCAACAACCGCGTCGGGAGAAAAAGAATGTAATTCAGCGAATATCGCGGTAATCGGCGCAGGCTGGTGGTAAGTCACGTAGTGTTGATACTGGAAACGAAAGCAATGTTGCAAGCTCACGTGAGTCCTGCATGCACACAAATTGTTCAAGAACTTCGCATTGCATTGGGTTCTCTTCCAGTACCACATGATTGCATTGGCGAAATAGACCCATTTCCCCTCTATTTCTGCGAATGGGGGTTAGATGGATTCGAGTGAGGAACAAAGAAGAAAATGTCATCACTTCACGACAAAAATGCTTATATACGGCGACAAAACATCTACAATCTTTGAAATATCGCCTTTCCGGAGCATCATTACAACCCCAATTTTGATTTAGAGTGGTTTCTGTTTGATCCGGAACGCTTGGCTCAAAACTCACAATTTCGTTCCTTGCAACTTGATACCTCTGTTTGCGCTTGGGAAGGTCCCAAGGCTGGCATCTTCCAGCACTGAACAATAACCCAAGATCGAACCTCGTCGCAATCGTGGACACTTCGGCGCAACCGAAATCCAAACTCAATCCCGATCTCGAGCCCCTCTCTGTTTTGGCGGAAAAGTACAATACTGTCACATTCACTTCGATCGAAGACTTCTTGAACGATTCAGATATCGAGTCGAATCTCGATGGAGTGGTTGTGGCAACTCCTCACGCTACACATTACCTGATTGGGCAAGTGTTGATCGAGGTTGTGAAGAAACGAAAAGTTACCAATAGCAAGCCCTTGCATATCTTAATGGAAAAACCCATGACTACCGACATCGAGGACGCGATGACTTTGTACAGCCTAGTAGAAGCAGAATCGGATGGCGAATCGCAGTTCTGGCTTAATCACAGCGCAAACTATCGAGCCCAAACCGCAATGGCACGAGAGGCCATCACCTCGGGAAGGCTTGGCTCCGTTCGTCACGTAACAGCGTCTTTTGCAAGCCCACTAAAATGGATTTTTTTGGATCCCGAAAATGATGGATGGAACAAACCCTCCGGAAACATGATTGGAAATGGTTTTGGGTGGGCGCAGACATCACATATGCTAGCCTTCCTCTTTCACATTCTACCAGATTTACAACCCGAAAGCGTGTATTGTCGTATGACGCATTCAAAAACTACAGGAGCCGACATTTCACATTCTGCGACGATTGAATGCGTTGACGTGGCAACAAACGAAATTGTCCTGATCAATTTGTCGGGAACGACGCTACTTCCTGGAGATCAGTATGCGGATCCACCCGTTGCCAAGCTGGTCCAAATCGACGTCTATGGCAACGATGGTAGTCTCCATTACTCTGGCAATGACCTGGATCCGTCGAGTGGGTCATTAGACTATAGACCAACCAATGGGTCAATCGAGGTACTTTGCGATCGGTTTGAATTCGAGGGATACGATAATGAAAATTACGGTCCCGAATCGATGCAAAATTTTGTGGAACTTTGCTGTGGAGGTTATGGTGAAACCATTCCGACCGCCGGTGCAACTGTCATTGATGGTCTGGTACGTGCGGTAGTCTGAAGAAGAGGTCCCTGTTGAAATTGTTTGTCGTTATGGTCGATTGTAAGAGGAATCGCATTCATTTTTGTCTCATTTCAATTTTCTTTTCAAAGCGTTCAATTCAAGTGCTAGATGCCATGTATAAGAGCGATGCATCGAGACGAACAGAGTCTATTGTGCCGATACCAAAAGAAGAATAAGGTGCTGTGACTTGGATTTCTCAGCATCGATAAATATGGCACAGTGTAAAAATCAAGGCGCAATTCGAACGCAAAGTCTATACTTGTAGTCCCGCATTTGACAACAACTCAATGGTAAAAGCACAGTTCTAGAAAAAGCTAAGCGATTTTAATATTTGCACTTTTCGGGTCGATTATTAGTCCGTTTCCAAAGGAGTCTCTCTGAGTAGAAGTAAATTTCCAATGCACGAGAGAAAAAAAAAGTTGTAACAATCTGGCATAAAGATGACCCGGTCGCCTTTTTGGTACGAAATACCTCATTGCTGCTGCTATGTCGTGAAAAATAGTTGCATCAGCCCCTGAATGTACATAATGATTTCTTTTGTGCCCAGCTTGGATTCACCGTAAATTCTATCCACAAACGTAATAGGAACCTCGTCCACCCGAAAACCGGCCTTTTTCGACCGAACAATAATTTCCATTTGGAAGGCATACCCCTTGCATCGAATTTCTGGAAGGATTTGCTCCAATACCTTTCGTTCGTAAAGCCGAAAGGATCCGGTCAGGTCCGACACACCGGGATTCAGTAAAAAGTCTGCAAGGAAATTTGCTCCCTTGCTAGATTTTCGCACGGTTCGGAGATCGACGAAGAACGGATTTGAGTCAAAGAAAGAGGGCAGGCACAAGCATTGCAGCAGAAGCACAGGGAACAAAGCACGCAGAACATTGAGCACGAACATCAGATCGGAATTGTCCAACACAACTCGACGTACCTCGTCAATTTTCGTTTCATGTCCCAACCATAAACACCTCCTCCACGGGCGTACCGCGTTCCCGTGACAATTTCTACCTTTGTTTTGTCCATTAGATCTACCATTTGTGGAATAAATTTTGGGTGGTGCGAAAGATCCGCATCCATTAGAACGATCCGATCTCCCTTGGCTGCCTTCAAGCCCGCAATGTAGGCCGTCCCGAGACCGAGTTTTCCCTTTCGGGACACAATCTGCACATGATCTTCTCCGTATGATTTCTGAATGGCACGTGCTACCCCTAGCGTGTCATCAGGCGAGGAATCGTCGACGATCACAACCTCGTAAGAAAGTTTGGCATCGTTGAAGCTCTTGTCGATGAGGTAATAAATGATGGGAAGATTCTCTCGCTCGTTGTAGGTTGGTAGGATGACGGAATACAACATGGCTTCGAGAAGGAAGTCCCTTGGTTTTTGCTCTAGATGATGTTTTTGAATTGAATGGTTTGTGTGTTGCGATCAGGAATAGTTATTGTCACAGGGCCCGGTATTGGGCGTTTTGTTTAGCTTTTGCAAGGCGAAATGAAACAAAAGCTTGTTCAGATGATCACATTGACCGTGAGAGACAGTCTCATGATTTTACTTACCACTCTGCAGGAAAAAACCGAGGCGAACTGTCGAAAATAGCATCTAGTAGAATTTACGGTGGGAGTAACTTCCCCCAAATTGCACCTCGAATGACTTTCCAGGTATGAAGTAAAAATTAAAAATAAAAATTCAGGAAAATCGTTGACTATATCGTTGAAGAACAAAAACCAAAAACAGTACTACAGTACGATACGTACGGTACCTACCGTAATCGGTATTCGGAGAGTACAAGTGCCGTACGAGTACCAGGTACCGGAACAGAAGAAAAATATTCGTAGAAAGGAAAGAAAGTGATGCCTACGAAGTGTGACAGAGGTGTGGGTGTCAGCAGCGACACTACACATTCCCTTCCATTATCCGTTTCATACACTACAGAATTAACCCATCCCTTCGCCACACAAAACCGGAGAGGACCGATCATTTCCTGTTTTCAACGATGACTAGGGCGATGGCCATGAACTTGACGCTAACGTTCTACTGCGTGGCCATCGTGTCTGTTGCCCTCTCCTGCTTGTATTCGACGCTTGCGTTCGTCCCGGCACCGAGGTCTTCGCCCTGGTTTCCGCCGTTACCATTCCACCTCTACGGAAACGTCGGGGATGGTACCGGAACCTATTCCGAATCGTCCGTGCTGTCGCGATTGGAGGCGCTGGAGGGTAGAGTGGAGTCGTTGGAACGGAGAATCATGCAAAGCGGTGGTGGTAGGGACCGTAGGAATCACAAAGCCGCGGCTGTGGCTAGGCACACGACAAGAAAATCCGTAGCAACACAAGGGAGAAGAATCGAAGAAATAACTCCAACCTTTCGAGATTATATCCAAGAGGGAACCCCCGGCTACACGAATCCATTTCTCTCTATGGGTTCCAAAAGTAGGAATGGCGACGACGATAGAGAAATAAAGTTTGTTACAATTCAAGGCTCGTTTTAACACAATTCCAGAATTATCGGTGATAATTACAGCACTATAGGATACACGACATGATTCCAAGGAACCCTTAATCTTCGACATCATTACTTGTTCCTTTCCGACATTTTCCTATTTCATTTTCGTTGAACAAGGAGAATTGCAATCCGCCAAACAACCTGGTGTGCCAAATCTATGCATTATTTTTTCTAATATTTGTGGCCATATTTGTTTTTACTTCTGTGAGATTATTGTAGCTGATTATATAATCTCTCTTCTCTCTCTCTCCGTCATAATGTACTAATACACGTGACCATAGTGCTCTATCGAATGCATGATCTATACTATTTACGTGTATGTTAACTCACTTTACTTCCCGTTTGATACAAACATGAATTTCCAAAATCTTACACTTCGGTTGGGCCGCCATCTGTTTTCGCCATCTTTGGTTGGGATTCCATCTCCGGTGATGTAAAGGATCCTGAACGTTTCATTCCTACACTGGTAGATGCAGCAGCTTCCTCGAAGTGTTCATTTGTACTTTCCCCCGTTTCATTCCTTCTGATTGCTTGCGTATTGGTACCATGCAAATTTGGTTCCGTTTCTTTCTCCCCTCCTTCCTTTGTCTTGGTCAGAGGTTCGGCGTCGTCTACTTCAGAAAACGTAAAAGCAGCGACCGAATTTATCGGAGTGGATTCTCCCCCCGTTCGAATTCCTTCTTTGGTGTCTACCAACCCGAGTGCCTTTGCAGCCAATGTGTAGTATTTGCGAAGGACAGAACTTAGCGAGGATGCCCCCTTCATACTTTTCAGCTTGGCTTTTGAAGTGGCTGGTAAATTTGGACAAGAATCTAGGTGCAAACGATGGAATTCTTTCACGGATTCATAAATCCCGCTAATTGAATATGGATAGGCAATAGCATGGCCGACAGCATCATTTCCCTGTGATATCGCACAGTGAATGCACCGAATACCGACCTGTCCCACACTTATGGGGTATTTGCGGTCTGCCTTAGCAGCAGCCACGTCAGCTTCGGTTGCGCAAAAGACTTCGAGTTGCTTTCGAACATAAGAATCAATATCCGATAGCCATTCCTTATCTTCAGGTATTGCAACAAGGATTCTAGATGATGGAGACAGGGGCCCCGATTTATTCAACGTAGACTCCGCAAGTGCCTTTGCTGCTTCTTTTGCCGATCTTTGTATGACAAGAATCGTTTCATCGCTTGTTACCGTAATACTTCCAGAATGGGAGAGATCTTCGATACTCTTCTCTGGACTCGTTTTTATGGTGGGAACTGGTGGCTTACTTTCTGAGCCGGCATGAGCTCGTGCTGTTGATTCGACTACTACGTCATCATCCTGGGGGTCACCTTCGTGCAAACGCCTCCACATTCTCCGGAAAAAGATTTTTTGAGATCCACGAGGAAGTTTTGACATCTGGTCTGGATGACCTTTTTTCAATCGCATAAGTGCATCTTTATTTGCTTGAGGACATCGTCGGCATTTCAAAACGTGGCCTGGAATTTCAGCAAAGCTGTTGGCGAGTCGATCTACGTTACTCCAAAAGAATTTACGAGACATGGGCAAGTCGGCACAGTGTATACATTGCAGACCACCATAGCCAACCTTAATTTTCTCTCTCTTTCCTCCTCTTGTCTTCCTATCGTTCTCAGTAAACCGGACCAAACGGAGTTGTTTCATTAGCCAAAAGAAGTAGTCTGTCAAAAGTAAGTGATCTTCGTCCAAGACCAATTTTGGGATCTCAGCACTGGCCGGATCGCGAGCGTAATAATCGGCGTCATAGCTTGCTAGAAATGACATCGCGTCTTTCATCGAGTCCGCCGTATTATCGCCACTGCCAAGTGCATAGGAAGGCCCCATAGCACCTGCTGCTTGCATAGATGGCATGATTGGAGCTCCTCCCCGTTCGGAATAGCCACCTCTGTTATCACCCTGTCCCATTGGTAGAAATCTACCACCACTACGACCGCCTAGGCTATTGTCTAAAGAATGAGGCTGAACAAGACCTGGTGGCAAATATCCGTATCGGTAGTTGCTGGGGTCCTGGTGCGGTGGTAGTAGCCCCACTGGAGGGTATTGCATGTGACCACCCATGCCCCCAAGAGCAGTCGTCGCTTCCCAGGAAACAGGAGGATATGATATTTGGCCCTGCATGCCTAGTTGCATTGACGGAGGATTTGCATATGAAGGTAGAACGCCAAATGGTGACTGTTCCGATGGTAACAAGCCCCGTCCAGGTGGCATGGACGATATGCTTTGCTGTCGGTAGGCCCGACATAAGCTCAAGTGTTGGTCGACGAAGCTATTTGGTGGATGCACTCCAGAAGGTGACGACCATATCGATTTCGGGTCGCGTAAGTGATGAGGTATATAGCTACAGTACCTGCAATGCCATGTTCTATCATTTTCTTGGTAAAAAGGAAAATTGGCAGGAGGTGTATCAGATTGAGATCGTTGTCGTGTTCCATGCCCACCAGTACCGACCCCCAGAGGCCTGGTTTGCATGGTTGTAAGATATTGTTGCTGCTGCTGCGACGGAGGAACGAAAGATTCGCCGTGTGGTGTGGCGGAAGATCCAATAAATTCTATCCCCAATTTATTGTTTCCTCTCTTCGAAATTCCCACTTCTCGACAAAACTGGACACAGTAATCAACTAAAAGTTTTTTACTGGATTGGTCGTCATTTTCGTTGTTGCCCCTTGCCGAAGCCGCTACGCCCAGTTCTCGCTGCGCGTCGGGATTGGTCATCTCGCAGGATATCAAGTGACGATCTGAGATACTTCTTGCGCATTCCCCTATGGTCTCAAGATCGATTGGGAATAAGATAGCTCCCGATATCGTGCTGCGAGAACTCCCGCTACTATTGTTGCTCCCAGAACCGCAATTTCGACATCGAATACCGACTTGGTTCKGTTCAATACGATTTGTATCGCCACTGGTGCGTTCATACTCGGCAATGACTTCTGGCGTTGCTTCAAAGAGCTCGATATTTTGAATCAGTGTTACATCCGGCCTGTTGAGCCTTTCCCCTGGATCAGTAGGGGAATCGAAAAGCGAAATACAACGCGGTCTTGAAGTTGTCTGAGTCGAAGCTAAGATTCCTTCCCCTGACTTCTGGGAATAAGCTGCTTCCATGCCAGGAACGGCTGGTGCCTGTGATATCCTTCTACCATACTCCCCGTAATGTGCACTTCGTGCGTATGGATAGGTTTCTGCCCCTTGCGTGGTTGACGATACTAAAGGCCCCATTCCCGTAGTAAATCCGTGACGATGTTGTTGTTGCTGCTGTTGCTGCTGCTGCTGCTGTTGTTGTTGTTGTTGTTGCAGATAATAGCTGGGATATTGTTGTGGCAAACCCTGTTGTGGTTGAGCATTAAGATACCCTATAGGACGCGTTCGAGCCGCCGCCTGAAGTGCTTGTGGGCACTGGGTTTGTTCGTGCTCGATCGCTTCCTCAAGAGTATCATGCTGCAAGCCACAGTAATCACAGGCAAAGAAGCCTCTGGACTGAGATGGCATTGGAAGTTCCAATCAGTGAATAAACAATTAACAATAGTGGATAGCGCTGATTGGATGGAAAGACGCAATGACGCTTTTCCGCCGTTGCCCTGAGTGTCTTTCCTCGCTAACCACCGGTCGATGGGTTTTCACTTGTATACCCGCTTCCCCTCACAAACGATGATTGGAGTCGTCGGTGCAATACCCGGTCATAAATTTGAATGTATTGCTCGATGATCGATGCTGAAGCCGGCCAGAAGATGGAATGTCGGATTCGATTGTGCTGCCAGTGAACCGGATCAATGTTAATTGATGCTGTGATGTATCCAAATTCCCTTGAATCGTTGCGATGCCTTGTGATGTATCTTTGTGATTCGAGGTATTGCTTGGATGCTAGATATCCTGCGAGGTTCGAGAGATGTGAAACGAGTTGCAGCAAATGGGATGTAACACATGTAGATTAGCAAATCAACACCAATGAACGCAGAGCTTCGAATCAAATTTAGTAGGATTTAATTTTTGTTGAGTGTGTCGGTTATGGCTGTGTCACATAAACCGAATAGTAACGAATTGGGACTGTTTGAGAGCTCTTAAATTTCTTACTCATCACGCCTACTAGTTATCTACGGTATTCTATCTGAGTTGGATGTCCAAAACGCGCGCAAAAAGTGCTACAACCACTTGTAGATATTCAGTGAATTCATAATTGAAGAGTGAATGAATGCACATGGTAGTGCACACGCGCCTGTTATTCATTCCCACATAAATTTTTGTTTAGACCCACGAAGTATGGTATTCAGTCATTAACGTTGATGGTCGCAGACACGAGTCATTTAGGCTAACGGCTTCAAAACGTCTATAAGTAATTAAGTCCTCGAATGCATCACGACCGAAGTTGAGTAGATGCACGACCGAGCGGACAGCATCGCGAGCGCAATCCGGTGCAAGAATTTTCTAAAAAAGTAGCAACATTATTGCCCTGAAATTCAGCCACCTCGCTTTTTCCTCGATGAGCCTCTTTCCATGGCCTCATGGAAGTTAATTTGTTTTTGGCAAGTCGGTGCAGTCGGAAGGTACCAAAACGGGTACGAATACGACTTCGTAGAAATTTACCGTACGTACCGCAGTTGTGTAGTGGTTGTAATGGAGAGAGTTTTTCGCCAGAGCGATCTTAGGCTTTTGGTACACGATTGAGCGTTGTGTTGGTGGTGGTTTAGATTCTCGTCGTGAACCACCACCAACCCGACGCCCATTCGTCTTGTTGCTCATAACCTGTGAAATGCTAATAGACTCTTAGTGTTGCATGATTACGTGGTTTACAATAAGAGTGAGATTATTGACTAGCTACTCGTGATCCAGTGTTATCCTCACAACGAGCACTAAAATCCTGTTCGAAGACAGCGCAGCGGTTTCGGCAAGACATCAATTTTTAGCGCATCGAAGTACTTGATACGAATTACAGTACCACAAATACCACCGTGTTCCTTCCGGGAGTAGTCAATAACGTACAACTGTTTCGGTTATTACTAGTACTTGGTACTTCTACCTGCCAGTGAACACTGTACGTCGTAGTACTTCTAGGACCGCCCATCCCGGAATTTGTTGTCCTCCTTTCTTCTGGAAGCAAAAGCAACATAAACAAGAAACAGCAGAAGTACTAGTACGTCTAGTACTAATCATAGTAGTAGAGCAGTAGTACTAGTACTAGTACTACTACTAGTAGTCGTTTCTTGTTCTTCCTGAAGCAACAAGATCAAGAACAACCAAGCACCACCACCACCACCACCACCAGCTACTGCTAGTATTCTTGTTGTTCTTCTTCTTCTTCTTTCCAGACACCATAAGATCATCATGATAGTAATCATCAGGATGATCATTCCTGGTGCTCTCTGAGCTTTATGGAGTGTGTAATAGTAGTATGCCACCATTTGGTAGTAATAGCATTTGTTGCATTTTATTCTTGCTAACCTCGATGGCTATTTTGAAATAAATACAGTTTCTTCAGGTGTTGGATACTAATATATTAAAATGATACATAGAAAATAAGCAAATACTACTATTCTTGCTAAATCAAAGGATGAGGGACACTTTCTTCACATGGAAGTCTTGGTTTGGGCATTTTACCTGTGTAACAAGATTTTTGCAAAGAATGAGGGACCCATACCATACTATCGTTCCCTGACTAACATATGATACGTATCTACGATTCATACACACCATACATATATGACTCACATGATCCCACTGGATTCATATGATTGACATGACTCATTTCATTCACTTGCGTGAGTGACTCGACTCATTCGATTCACACATCACTCGATCCTTACAGCGATCCATTCTAGATTTCATAGTTCATCGTCGATCCCCAATAAGAGCAT